TCTCTGAACCCTCTCTAAGGTATCAATATCCTTCTGGAGATACGGTCTCCAGTACTGCGTACAATACTCCAAGTGAGGTCACACCAGTGTTCTGTACAATGGCTTGAGTACTTCCCTTTTTCTACTGCTAATACCTCTCTTTGTCCTTTATTTTGTTTTCGGTTTTGTTGTGCGTTTGAAATAATTCAATTGTTACGATGTTCTTTAAGTCATGAGAGTCGTAGTAACACAGCACATATCTTCCAATACACTGTAGTTGGCTATGATGACCTGTATCGGGCTTTGTATTTTTACCTAGATTCTTTAACTAGTATAGTTTTTCCCTTCAGCCATCTAAAGTGACTTTGCTATGAATGTTGTTTAGATCATTTATGTGATTTGGTTACCTTTTGCTGAGACTTAGTTGACTTTACACTACAGTCTTTACATTACTTACCTTTGTAGTCTGGAGCTGGTACTTTGGACACCTATAAACTGGGGATAGTTTAGTTTAATACTTGCCTGGTATCTCCTGGCTCATTCTATATAACCTTAGCTTGGACTTTAATACTGTTACTCTATGAGGCTCAGAATCATTTGCATCATTGCATCATTTGCATCTATTACAAATACAAGACCTAGGTCATCTAAATGGGGAGGGAGCTTTACCTGCAGCTGCCTACTGCCAAATGTTTTTCTGCACAAAACTGTGAAAATTCAAAAATAAGCATGGAGAAAAGGGTCATATGTATTTAAGGTATTGTATTTTATATTCGTAATGGGTAATGCACTGCCCATACTTCCATTTTTTTAAGGCATCAATGTAATATTTTTGGATACGCTTTTCAAATTAGTTAATATTTTGAAAAATATTTTAATATGTTGATATTTTTGATAAAGAGAAGTATTTTTTTCATAAGCATGATATGTTTTTTTGATAGTTTAGTATTAAAAACAAATCATTTTAAAAGTTTATCCAAAAATGTTGTGTCATTTGAAAAGGATATACAAAAATATTAATGGTCTAAATCTGTCAGCTGTCAATGTCCTTAACCATGCATGGCTTGTAACCAATGTTTGTGGGATCTACTCACTCTTGCCATTATAGTTAAGATAAAATTAAAAAAAAAAAAGTTTGTCATAAACTTCTTTAAAAATCATTAAAAAAAATGTTTTTCCCACTTTGTGACAGTAACAGTTAATCTGGTTAAGTATTCAAAGTTGGAAAGCAGAATAAGTTAACTTATTTTGTGAAAATATTAATATTTGGAGGAACATTGGAATCACTTTTAACAAAACTAATGGAATGTATTGCCAACCACAAGTCTAATTTTGATAAAGGACATCTTTTAATATTAGCTGGATGTCATTCTAGTGGGCAAGGGTACAAAGATACAGCGAATCATTTAAATGCAATTAAAATGTTCATTTAGGACAGAATTGGATTGGAATCAAGAAATTGTGTATCCCTGACCACCGTCTGAATATAAAATGTAATGATTCAAATTGTTTAATGAGTCTTCTTATTGTTCATTTGGTGGTGAACTATGGGCACTGTGTTTGTAATTGTATCTGTTAATTTATTTTGTATTATAATATTATTTACTAAGCAATGCCAGACTCACTATTATAAAACATTCTAGAACTATTTGGGCCAATCCATTGAAACATTTTGTAGTACTGAAATGTATCTAAAAAATGGAATGTAAAAGATCTGAAAGATGTGGATATAACTTGTATCATTCATGAACAGCATACGGTATATTTAGAATTGTTTGAGATATAGTTATAGAGTTGGAGTTACCCTTGGTAAACCTTCAGTGACCACAACCACTAGGCAAATATTTTTTTTTATTTGAAGGTCGAAACGTCACAGCATCTTTGTATAAGCAATGGGGTATAGTAAGAAATTATGCTGGAAGAAAGAATCATTTTCTTACAGACAAATATAAAGGAAATGTTAGGGAGGATAACGAGGCAATGATATATATTTGTGTATAATAACATCATTATCCATTAGACAGTGAAATCTATGTACTTAACTGACAGAATATAAGTGCATAATAAGTGATTATGGTTAAAGGAACACTATAGTCACCCAGAGCACTTAATTTCAATAAAGTTGTCTGGGTGCAGTGTCTCTGTCTTCTTAACCCTGCAATGTAAAACATAACAGTTTTTGAGAAACTACAATATTGACTTTGCAGGGTTCAGGCCATCTCTGTTGACTGTCGGTAAAACCATGTCACGTGAGGTGATAACCCCATAGGAAAGCACTGATTCAATGCTTTTTGATGGGGAAGCTAGAATGCATGCACGGCACTCGCCCAGCATGTAAATTCCCAATGCTGCTCTATCTGGAGCATTAGACTGGACTTCGGTGGAGGAAGACATGCCTCCTCCATGCCTCACGGGAGGTGGTGAGGTAAGCAGTAAGGAGCTAGAGAAAGGTAGGTCATTTTTATTGTTTACATTTGTATTATACCAGTGGTGGGATCTGAACAAGAACAGGGACAAGGACACTATAGCATTACAGATTTGTGTTCTTAACACCGTAGTGTTCCTTTAAATAAGAATTGTCATTTTTGCCACTATATTATGCATTGATTGCTCTTTTTGTTGCAATATATTTGTTGTGAGAAAATGTATTTGAAATGTATATAACACTGCTCCTGCACACGTATTGGTTTTATTTGATGGCACTAGGATCATTGAGACTGGTGTACTGCTGGCAGTGCTAAATTAACACATTTATTGAGCCTAATTCAAAGCTTGAGTTTCTATGGGAGTTATGTAGAATGAGTAATTGTGGATCAAAGTAAAAATTAGAGCAGTCACATTGGAAATCAATAGAATGTTCCTTCTCCACTCTTAGAACTTTGCAATACAAGTAGTCTTTGTATAAACATTTGCAGTTTCCCCATAAATATGGATTGGATCCATTCCTCTCTCTTTATTCAATTCTATACATCACTGATACATATATTGGAGGAGATTTCTCAAAGTATTCTGCTCTAAAAAGTGGTACAAAAATGTAAAAGTGAAGCACTCTTCATTAAAATATGCCTAATGGGTCAACTGGTTTCGATTGTGATTGACCCACTTTGAGTACTTCAGATCAATTTTTCAGAACAGAACATAGAGACAAATTCCCCTCTCTTATTAAACCTCACTCCAAAACCTTAAAATACACTTTTAACATGTTCCTAAACCTCTTTTTTTAATTTGTACAAAAGGAAATCTATCTGCCTTTGTTATAGCTGTTGGAACCCAGAGTTATTTGATACAATGCTCTATGTGCACCATATGAATTTATATGGCGTGTCACACACACACCATTTACAAAGAACACACTCTCTTTGATACATGCAGTATTAGCAAGAACCTCTTAATAACACTATTTAGCATGTCATGCAGCCTACTCTAGTAATATCTGCTTGACATCTGCAAAATTATGATACGTGTAGCTTTCTATTCACTGGTCAAAAGTTATATCATTAAAGGCACTTTCCAGAAAGGATGAATGACCTACATAATGAAATCAGAGAATAAAGATATGACTGGGAGCATTGAGCATATGTAAAAAATAGATATTTCTTATATACATCATATATGATACGATGTTTTGCAACATAATGGGAAAATTGGTACATCTGTGTGCAGTATAGCTAATTTGGTCTACAAAGAGTATCTTTACAGTAAAATATCATAGGTTGTGTGCTCCTTCAATCTCGAAAAGAGTATCTTTACAGTAAAATATCATAGGTTGTGTGCTCCTTCAATCTCGAAATTTTAATAGAAGATAATGCTATTCAATATAATATATGTAGAGAATAAACATGGTGGATGTTATTAAGTTGTAGCACACATTGCAGGGTTGTTATCTAATTTTTTTTTTCAGCCTTTATAACATAAAACATATATATATATATTTTACTTTAAAATAATTTGTACCTGACTTTCATTTACTGTTATTTTGCAGATGCAAGAAATTCACCACCAATTGTTGTAAGTATAGTGGTTGCTCACTTACTATCATGTAGAATGGTAATAGATTATATCCGGACATCATCAACTGTCACAAAGATCATAGTAATTCACCCTACTTCTATTTGTATGAAATATTCCAAACCATACTATTTTTTTAGATTCATTATGTTCATGCTGCATTCATATTGCATTTAATGCGGCCTCCAGCTTGACGGTGCCATGGAACCTCTTGTTGCGTTAAAAAAATATTCTAATAACAAACGCTCTTGTCCTAATTCACATAGTTGCTTTCTGTGTACACTGCTTTGTGTTTTAGATAGTTCACTGGGTTATTTGAAATTAGCATTTGTTCTACGTGCAGTTTACACGTTTTAGGCATTGTTAATTTAGTCGGCTAACAATTTTAGTCACATTTTAGTCTACTAAAATTTTGGAGATTTTGTCAACCAAAACTAGACTAAAACAATTCAGATGATTAAAATACACTAAAACTAAAATGACTTTTTACTCAAAAGACTACGACTAAAACTAAATTAAAATTTGGGCCAAAATTAGCACTTTAGAGAGGGGCTGTGGAAGGGGCAAAAGAGACAGACCAGGGCTTGGGAGGGATACACATAGAGGGCGTGGGAGGACACAAAGAGACACAGAAGGGCTGGGGAAGGGGCAAAAGAGACAAATAGAGGCTTTAACTAAACCCATTAGATTTAGGTGACTAAAATACAACTAAAAACTAAATGGCTTTTTAGTCAAAAGTCTATGACTAAAACTAAATGGAAATTGCAATAAATAATTTTTGGGGGGTTATTTACACATTACTAGGGTTCTTCCAATGTCTAAGGATTTATCCATGCGTGGACCACTTGTCCATTATACTGAAATGTGTATTTGTTTTGTATATTATGCAGAACATTGTTTTTGTTGTTATATTTGATGAGGACAAAAAAAAAAGATTTGATTTTCCAAGCACGGTAATCAAAAACAATATATTTTATTACTATCAACAAAATAATAAAGATTTGTCGACTAAGCTAATTACTCAATCTGTTCTAATACATTTTTGCTATGTTACAGAACTTCTATATGAAATGTTTCAGAACATAAATTATCTATCAAACATGCAATTAATAAGAATTCTATGGTTTCATTTCATTTTACACTCTCTATCTCATATTATTTTTCAATTATATTACACACAATTTATCAAATTCGCTTCCATATCTATTTTCCACCAAATTTGTTCCAGGACTTTCAGATATCAAATGAATGAAATATTAAGTCAGAGGAAGCCAATTGTATTTGGAATATCAGTTTGTGGGGACTTTGAAATGGAAAAAATATAAAAAAGTTGCTTTTTATTCTTGTTTTAGAACAGAATGTAAATGATTTTGTATATGTTTTAATCATTCAAATCAACATATGTATATATGTAATTTTTAAGAAAACAATATTGTAAATATGAGCATTTAATTTTATGAGATTAAAACCATGCATTTTAGAAATGATTACTTACAGTACTTCCAGTAAAATTGATTTACCTAAGGTTTTATAATCTGTCAGAAAAAATATAATTGTTGGAAAGCTGGAAGTCAATAATGGCTATCTGCCCACTTTTTGATAAAAACAAAAACACTATTTAAATAAATAAATATATATATGGAGACGCATGGATATAATTTTGTGTTTTTAACATTTTGTTGACAAGTCCACAACTTTTAGATTTTAAAATACATTTTAAATATAAATTATAATGACAGTAGATATCTAAGTAGAACAATTGCGTCTTTTTAGTTTTGTATGTTGGTTAATAGCTGATCAAATAATGCAATGGGTGGCATCACTACTGGTTTTCTTATGACAATATATTTATTGTAATTATTGTTAATATGTTCATGGCTTCACAACACCTTTCCTTTTTTTCTCAATATTGTAAATAATCGTATTTCAAGTACGGTAGTATGTCAGCTTAGAACTTATGTCATGCAATTCCTTATCTCCCTGTTACGCTTCCGCTCTCCCTGATTTTTACTTTGGACTACATAACTTCAAAATTACAGAAACATTTGAACGTTATTTAAGTAAAATATAGTATGCAAGTCTAACACGGTCACAATCACTTTGTTTCCACCTGGTAAAGAATATTTGTTCATTGAAAAGTCACAAAAAGAAAGCGTCGCAATAGATTGTCCCTGCCAATCAACAAAGGGGTAATACTGTTCTTGATTGAAAACTGTGTTTAACTAATAGGTATTCTTCAACCAGACGACAAATATGGTGTTTCACTATGGTAATTGTAATCAGGGCAGACTTTTTGTACAAGTTTGTAATCTATGCTGAAAAAAGCGATATAAATGCAAATTACTTTGAATGGCTTAGAGCACAACCAAGAAACATGACTTTGGGTCTGCTCTTGGTAACAGATTTTAGAAGGATCAAAGTTGCACAATGCAGTCTTTTTTGCTCTGTCTGTTTTTTCATATTCAATCCGACAGTTAAAAGACTTGGAATCCTTGTTCTCGAGAGTTGACTGAGCAGATGTTTCAAATTCCACCACTTTAGAAGGAGGCACAAGACTGACAGAAACATTCCCAAGTCCAGTGGAGTTATGTCGGAAATACACACTGAAGGTCCCGTTCCCATGATCCACAATTTTTCCAGTAATGAGCAAATTCAGTTTTACAGTCTTAATATTTGAATGAAAGTCTCCCCATCCAAACATCTTTTTGAATTTGCCTGTTTTAACAATTGGCCGACGCTTAGTTCGTACAAGAGATTCTTGAGTATCACTAATGTTGGCCAACCAATTCCAGAAGTTTTCCACCGTATCCACATAAGACATCTGGGGTTGCCTTTGCAGAGCAGATTGCTTAACAAATAGACGGAGTGGACTGTGAAGTCTGCCATGGACAACATTATTCACCAAACTTTCATCTGGATCCTTTTCGTCCCATTTCAAAGCTCCTGTTGCTCCCAAAACTTGTTTGTCACACAAAATCTGTTACAATAAAGAAAAGTTGAAATTAGAATTTTGAAAAATCACAGTGATGTTTGAAATCCAATATTTAATGCTATAATTTAAATAGCAAATGTGTTTTGTCCTCTTTGCCTATATCTCACTTAACAAAAATGCCAAATTTATATAATTTATGAAAAAACTGTCTAGTGTCTGAACTCAGTAGTAGCACAAAACAAAAGTCGAGAAAAGATGAGCAAACAAAGCTTTCTTGGTTTCAATCTCTCTACTGTCACACATTTTTAAAATAAAGCTTTAAAACTTGTTTTGACTTTTAAACTATATCTCTTCATTTGAATGTGAACTAGTTATAAGACTGCTTATGGCTCAAAACCCATCCAGTACCTCTATTCAAAAATCTTTACATTCAAGCGATTTTACACATGTATGAAGAAATAACTCTATCTTATACTTGTTCACATTAGACTGCACATTGTACACAAATTGATTATAGTCTTTGCAATTGACCATCAATGCAGCTGTTGATCTATTTATCAATTAACAGGAATTGTCAGGTCAACAGCAGAAATGTTTACGTTTCTACTGTGAACAGACTCATCAGCCCTGCAAATTATTAGTTATTTCTGCCATAATGACAGTTTTTCACCATAAGAAATGTCTTTTCATTTAAGTCATGCAGAGATGGTAAACTACTCCTTTAATAACATTTTTTTAAAAACTTTTTGTTTTCTTACATGGTGATTTTTTACTGTTTTCATTGAGAGATCATGCCGTAGCTGAAAAGTGCTAATTTTATCCTCATTTGCCTTCCATTGTTAAAGGTAGGACACCTTTTACCCATATCCCATCTAGGACTACAATCTGGCTGAACTTTTTTTGGGTCACCTTGGTTACTCTGTTTCATAACATGGTGGAACATAAACGAAGAGACTTATTAATTGTTAAAATCTGTAGCTTGTGCTCCTATTTGTGACCAATCCATCATTTATGCAAATTAATAACCTCTTCCCTAACAAATTGTTTTTGTTTAAAAAATTGTTTGACATTTACATGAAACATGGTTTGCCTAGCTGACACCAAAATATATACAAAATATTAACTTTGTGTGTAGATCGGTGTTCAATGATGCCTGCAAAGGAATTATGCAAATTAACACAACCTCAATCCTTAAATGTACACTCTAGACAGCAACACCACTCTAGCTTAATTAGTTTTGGTGTACACATCAAGTCCCTGCAGCCTCACTGCTCAATTCTCTGCCATTTAAGAGTTAAATCACTTTGTTTATGCAGACATAGTCACACCTCCCTGCATGTGGCTTACATAGCCTTCACAAACACTTCCTGTAAGAAGAGTTCTAATATTTAGACTCTCTTTATTGTACAGTCTGTTTAATTTTTAAGGAGAGGGGGTGCAAATTCTGCAGCCCTTTACAATTTTATTAAGAGGACTTTAAGAGCAAATGAGATAGACTACTGCAGATTTTGAGAGGAACAATAGACTGATGAGGATCCCAATTGAATGAACTTAAAAACTAGAATATATTTGCTGTAGCTGTTGATGCTTTCCTACTTCCAGTTTGAATATAACATTTCCTTTTCGTCACTAATACAATATGTAATAAAGAATTAATTTGTCATAAAGTTTGCCTTTAACATCCCGTGGTTGGAGGAACGTCACAGACAGTGTGACAGAGTGAAATGAAAAATATGAGAATACCATTTACTTGAAGACAGGTGAATATTTGATAAAAGTCAATATATTCTGATCTAGAAGCAGTGCTTTTCTTAGTGGAATTATGAACCTCATCACAATCAATATGAATACACCCGGAAATTCAACACATTATACTTTTAAATTCCTTCATCCACTTTCTCAAATTATTTAACACAAGTTTAAATATTTTCAGACAATGAAGACTAGTTCATCAAGCTTTTCAGACTCTTTTATTCCAGATCTATGAAAAGCATTAACAAAAACTGTAACTTTTAAAAGTATAAAAAATAAAAAAAAATTCAACTTAATCTGTTTAAGCGTGAGACTTCCAAGCATTCATCATTACTTGAGCAATTTGCGTCTTGGCCGAGCTTATGAATTTCACAAAGGAATCCACACTTGGTAGATTCAGAGATAGCATTGCCACTTTGCAGCCCTGCAAGATTAATAACATGAATTTGTTTTACATCAATTAAAAGGGCCTTCCTTTGTTTGAAAATGTTGACAGGTCCTGTAATGCACATCAGGATACATTCAAATTTGAAGCTGCTTAAAATATAAATGAACCCATTGATGCATTTTTTTTTTCTCTCCACTTTAAGGGACAATGAAAGTTTTCCATATTTAATGAGGTGGGTATGAAAAATATTAATCCAACAAAATTTGATTTAAAACTTTTGTGCTTAATTATGATATCACTTATAGACAGAGCTCACGTATTGAATCAAAGCAAAAAAAAACTAAACCTAAGGTTTCTGTGTAAATTGATGGTGTAAGAAAAAAGGTTGAAAAAAACAAAGTGAATTAATTTTTTCAGCCTCATGGGTTCTAAAAGTGTAGTCTTGTTTCTGTTTTATTTCTTTCTGATTACTAGAATCACTAGAAAGTGATATTTCAGATATTATGACCTCACCCCAAATCATTTAAGATGCCTGATTAAAGCATATGTATGATGGCATATGTAGAATACAGCAATACATGCTTGCAAACACCTCTATAAGAGTATGTATGAAGAGTGGGCCCTTTGGTTTTCATTTTACAAAAAAATGCAGACCTCAATAGAAATTGGCACATTTATAAATGTACCTTGTTACACCCCCCTGGCTGTCAATCAGAAAACCAGTCCAGTCACTTCCTGGTTGTTTAGCTTAATGAAGTTAGCAATTGTCCAGAGCGCCTGTCTTGCAAACACTTCTCATTAAACTGCATTGGGAAGTCTGTGATTGGACAGTCAAAGTGATAATTGAAACACTATGGGACACTATGGCAAAACTAAAGTGTTCCTTTAAAGCTTAAATTCACTTTGAATTCCCAGTTTAGTAAATAACCCTATCTATAATGTCCTCAATTGAATAATCTCGCCGCAACTTGTTTAGTCAATAAATTGTCTAATCAAATGCGTATACACAGGAGGCCTAAGAGGTTGATCATGCTTCCAAACTACAACTTCCATGATGCTTTGCTATTCTACAGGCTGGCTGAGCATCACGGGATTTGCAGCTCTACAACATGTGGGGATCTAGCTTTTGGACAACGCCTGCTGCATGCAGTCTTTATACTCTTTAAACTGTTGTGGTATCTTCCAATTTCAGAACATGCTGTAAATAAAAAAAAATATGTAACAATGGTAACAGAAACAAAATGTAATCTTCTCTACGCTCAAAGCGGGAGCTAGGGAATATTTTAGATATAGAAGGGAGAATATGCACAAGCGTCTTGTGGAACATTTAAATGATATGGAAAGCAAAGTGCTTGTAATTTTCTAAATGTGAGTCTTAATGAGCTTCTTTTTCATGCCAGAATTACAAGCGATCAGCAAGTTTCACAGTTATGAACTGAGAACAGTTGGATTTTCAGTGCCTGTCGCCTTCTGAATAATATTTGCTGGATCCACCAGGGCTGCTCCTTTCCTGCTTGAATTCCTGTACAATTTTAATGTTGGATATTTAATAAATTGATAAATTTCAGTAACGAGCGCATTATATTTTGGAAGTATGAAGGAGCAGATTAACCATTCAAGTGCCAAATCAGACAGCAATTCATTTATGAGTCACATACTGCTGGCACTGGATAAAATGGTTGCCAACTACAGCGAATTTTTTTTTTTTTGTTTATTAAAACTCATTTTATTTTCAACACATTGTATTCTTTGCTACCTAAGAAATGATAATTTGGGAATAAGGGTAAAGTGAGAGGTCATTTAGTTAATGCACCAATTGTATATCTAATTGAATCCAGGGTGAATAGGCTTTCTGTCCTGAGAATTTCGCTGGCATATCTGGCTTTGTAATTTCAAAATCTATGCAAGAGCCTCATTCCAAATTAACTCTTGGAAATGTTTGGTGCTTTAGAGGTTGATTATAATATTTATATGAAAGAAAATAAAAACTTGCCAAAAATGCAGAACATCATACTTTCTACCCTTTGTTTGCATGTTTTTTTTTTTTTTTTAATTCTTTAATAATACATTGTGTTTTCTATGTAACTATGTTTTTTTGCTTTGCAAGTACAGTGGGACCTTGGTTTACAAACGACTCGGTTAACATAATTATCATTTTACAAATGAAAATCTATTGAAAATAATGCCTCGGTTTATAATTTTTTTACGCAATACAAAGCAAGTTTCCCCAGGATGCATTGCACCTGGGAGGTTTATAGCACCGCATGCTGGAGCCTGTGGGTAGCACGTGGCGTCGAGTGTGGAGGTGTTGGAGTGGCTTTTGCATCGAGTTTTGGAGTCATTCTGGAAATTGTTTGCAGTTGTTTTGGGACTTTTTGGTGCATTCCTCAAGCTGTGGAAAGGTAGGGAGCTGAGCTTCGTCGTTTGCATGCCTTTTATTGTGTGTTCTGCATTGTGGGTTGGTTTCCATGCCAACTCATTTTGACTTTTTTTCTGACCTCCAGAACGGATTAATTGTTTTTCGATGCATTCCTATGGGAAACCGCGTTTCGGTTTACAAATTTTTCGCAATAAGAAACGTCCCGGAGAACGCATTAAATTCGTAAACCGAGGCCCCACTGTTAATATGTCTCACTGTATATGTAGTAAGTTGATGCCAGAATGGCTGCTCAATGAAGGCAGGGAAAATAACATATGTGACATAGTTTTCTTTTCACATTCATTTAGTTTGTTCAAACAGTTGTATTTTAATTCAGACAGAGCTATGGTTAGATTATTGTAATCATTTACTACAAAATCAACATGATTTTACAAAGGAAAAATAATATAATGTTCTTAATCAATGTAATCTTTATTTGTAGACTATGTACGTCTGGCTTTCTCTTTTATCGTCATTGATATTTTATACATTTGTTGTTTGTATTCTATAAAAAAAAAAAAAATTCAAATATCTTTTCTTACACACAACTGCGTGAAAAGGAATAGATATTATCAGTAGCACATGTGAGTTTTTTTATCGACATTTTATTGGTTTTGATTGCATGTTTAATTTTTTTGTGAATAAGGTTTTTGTTGGTTGTAAAACAAAGCATGAAATTTAACACCAGCGGACACGCAGGTCCAAGTCTACAACCATTTTTAGGTCACACAGGACCATTAGAATGAAAATGAGTTACTTTTCGGGAATGGTGTTGAATTTAAATGCATTCTGATTTTTTTTTGTTTATTAAAATTCATGATTAATGCAAACAGTTAATAAAAAGAAATAGACATGAAGCATGTGTACAACGTTCTATATGTACTTAGAGCTTTCAAATATATTTGATTAAGAGTCCATTAATTCTATAAACTCTGACAAACATGTCTAAAAAAGGTTTCTGATTTTAAAGGACCACTATAGTGCCAGGAAAACTATAGTGCTCTCTGCCTCCGATCCTCCTCTGTTCCTCCACCTCAGCTAAAGGCGCACGCGCGGCAAGAGCTGCGCGCGCATTCAGCTGGTCGCATAGGAAAGCATTATCAATGCTTTCCTATGAACGCTTGCGTGCTCTCACTGTGATTTTCACAGTGAGAATCACGCAAGCGCCTCTAGCGGCTGTCAGTGAGACAGCCACTAGAGGGAATGGGGGAAGGCTTAACCCATTTATAAGCATAAAAAAAATGGGTTAACCCTAGCTGGACGTGGCACCCAGACAATTTCATTAAGCTGAAGTGGTCTGGGTGCCTAGAGCGGTCCTTTAAACTGCTACAAAATGCTGAGACATAAAGAGTCTTAAATCCAGTAATTCATTTGTAGAATGTAGTAATTCACAAACGCCATTTCTTCAAGGGTGTTCAAATGTATAATCCGTGTTGCTTGCTTTGCCCAAATGTAAAAAGATAAGATTATTCTAATGCTGAAGATTAGCTACCTCACTGGAACACATATAATGAAATTTGTAATTGGATTGTATGGGACCCAACATCCATAAAAATAATTGAAAGAGACACTATAATCACCAAAACAACTTTAGTTCAATGAATCAGCTTGGTGTATATATCATGCCCCTGCAGTCTCACTGCTCAATTGTCTGCCATACAGTAGTTAAAGGAGTACTATAGGGTCAGGAACACAAACATGTATTTCTGACACTATAGGGTTAAAACCACCATCTAGCCCCCCTGGTTTCCTCATGCCTCCCTAAATATAGTAAAATCGTACCTGTATTCAAGTCTATAGCTGCTTACATGTCCCTTTTCCTTTAGACCTGCCCACTGCCTGCTGACATCAGCAGAAGTGGTAGCCTGATCAAATCACAATGCTTCCCCATAGGATTGGCTGAGACTGACAAAGAGGCAAATCAGGGGCAGAGCCAGCACAATTCAAACACAGCCCTGGCCAATCAGCATCTCCTCATAGAGATGAATTTAATCAATGAATCTCTATGAGGAAAGTTCAGTGTCTGCATGCAGAGAGACTCTAAATTTGTTTGGATGCATTTTAGGCAGCCATGACCCAGGAAGGATCTCTAACAGCTATCTGAGGAGTGGCCAGTGAAGTTATCACTAGGCTGTAATGTAAACACAGCATTTTCTCTGAAAACACAGTGTTTACAGCAAAAAGCCTGAAGGTAATGATTCTACTCACCAGAACAAATTCAATATGTTGTAGTTGTTCTGGTGACTATAGTGTCCCTTTAAATCACTGTGTTAATGCAACCCTAGTCACACCTCTCCTGGCTGTGATTTACACAGCCTTCCTAACACTTCCTGTAAATAAGATCTAATGTTTACACTTCATTTATTGCACAGTCTGTTTAATTAAGACTTTTTAAATCTCCAAATCTTTTAATAGATTCCTAGACCCTCCAGGAGCCTCCTGTGTGTGACTAAAGTTCAATCTAAAGTCACTTAACATCTGATTGAAAATTAAAATTTTTTTTCATGCAGGCTGTAGGAGTCACAGCCAGGGGAGGTGTGTCTAAGGCTGCATAAACAGAAACAAAAGGGATTTAACGCCTAAATGACAGAGCATTGAGCAGTGGTATTCTGGTGTGGGGTTGGAGGAGTGATTTGTCCAGCATCACCTTGGTTCCTTCACATATGCAGAAAAGGGATTAAATTATCTACACCCCAAAACAGCTTAATTAAGCTAAGGTTGCATTGGTGACTATTGTGTCCCTTTAAAGATCAACGAGAATTCTCTAGCATTCTGTAGCTAGTCTGTAGCTATATTAAAACTAGTGAATACCTTATTTTAACAATTTATCATTGGAGAAAGGATATATATTGAGGAAGTGCATTTTATCATCTTCTCACTGTTTGTGATAGTACTTCTGGGGCACTTTCTTAAAATGTATAAAGTGTTATGCTGTATATGTTAAATGGCTCCTTCAGCCTCCATGACCACTCTGGCTTTTAGAAGTGGTTATGGAGTAAGCAATCAGTTTGTGCAGCAAATACATAGATATCTGCACTTTTGTGCCAGGGACTAGCTGCACCCCTGGCACCTATAACTTAGGTGGGTTGTCTAATATTAATTCTGTGCCAATATGGCGACAATTGTAATTAGCTTTTACCCTTCCAGGCAGAGCTTTATGTATTGGAATCTCCACCTATCTAAACGAGCTCTGAGTGTAGAGATCAGTCCAATCAAAGAAGCATTTTATTGGACCTCAGAGAGAGAAGTGATGCAGCACGATGCACTAAAAAAGGAGGGTTGGACAAAGTTACTAGAGCCCAACAAAGCATTAAAAATGAAATACAATGAAGAGCAAGAAAGGGTTGTTTTCCTTTGACTTCAATTGCTGAAGACTGGAGCTACTTTCTGTCTCTTGGTAATTATGGTAGAGGAGCTCCTTGTTTTCATTCGTTCGTCATCTGGTGTGTGTTGATCACTCACTCCATTCCTCCACCACTACATGAACTACACCAATGAGATCATAACCTGCTCCATAGCTCTGGTTCTTTAATTACTGAAGATGCAAATCCCACACCTCCTCGTAACAGCAAGAGGAGCAAGGCCTTTTGTTGGTTGCTCCTGGTGAACGACTAATTCTTCTCTCATTTTCTTAAACAGTGAAATATTTGATCTCAAAAGCCACACCGGATATTTGGGTGTAAAGGGGGAAGGATTTCTCCCCCATCACCCCGGTCCTTCACATATGCAAAAAATGGATCAAATTAATAACTACATGTGTATAAAACATACACACTATAATGCATAAACAAATTTCTTTTATAGAAAACATTTATACATTATTGGAATTAAAGCAATTTATTACAAGTGATAAGTATAGGAGGTTTAAAAGGCTTTCTTAGTGCTGAATATAGCAATCAGCCAATAACAAATGGACATGATGTATTTATATATTTTGTGATATAAAAATATAAAAACTACATGTGCTAATACCAATGATGCAGATGGAGTTATTCATACTGCCATTCATTTTTGCTTTGCTTTAGTATAGTCCTAATGGCCTTGGACGGGTGCTCAAATGAACACATTTGCCTAGTTTATAAGTATTTAATCACATTATTTGAGTGATTCTGTCTTTTCTAGTAGATAAATTTGAAATGACAAGTTGTTTCAGCAAATAAGTCTCAGATGATCGAACCTTGCACTCCATTACATCTTGAGCTTGTAAATTAATCTTAAATGAAACTTCCATTTCTTGTACTTATTTAATAGTATTACTTGTCTTGCTGACAAAACGGAAACCCAGTATATCTGCTGACGGTAGAATAGATTGGTGTTAATGATTAGTGATATAGTCTACCCTGGAGTCATCTCTTTCCTGACCCTGCAGAGAAAGTCAGATCAATAAGACAATAAAATGACATAAAACGTGTGAAAAATGGTAGAATGAAAGCATCTGTCATGATATTAAAACCGAGTAATAATATTTTCTAGCAAAACATCAAGTTGTCCAAAAAAGTAAGGCACATATTTTTTTTTTTTAGTACATTTTTACAGGGGCCCCTGGATATGAGATGTGGAAAAGGAAAAAAAAAAGTGAACTTTATTTTTAGTTTTCTGACTGTTTTTGGTTTTGACTTGCAACATTGTTGAAATGCATTTGATTTATTGATGGATTAAGGATATTTAATTAATTGTTTTAATTTTATTTTTTTAAAAGATATCACTTCCCAGGACTTTTAATATTATGTTTGCTTATCCCCTATATTTAACAAAATATGTGTTTGTGAGGTCTTAAAAAAAATTAAAGGGACACTATAAACACCAAAATAAATCAGTTAATAAATCAGTTTTGGCGTACAGATCATGTCCCTGCAATCTCATAACTCAGTTCTCTACCATTTAGGAATTAAATCACTTTGTTTATGCAGACCTAGTCACACCTCCCTGCATGTGACTTACATAGCCTTCCTAAACACTTCCTGTAAAGAGTCATCTAATTTTTACACTTCCTTTACTGCAAATTCAGTTTAAATTAGCATTTCTGTTCCTTTAATATAGAACTCCACACCACTGTATTTACCTCTATCTTGACTGCCTGTCAGTCATTGTTTTAAAGGATCACTATAGCATTAGGACTACAAATCCGTGCTCCCAACTCTATAGTGTCCTTTTAACTCTTGTCCTTTTTCAGTGTGCTTTAAGAATCCTCAGTGCTGCTTACCTCTCCACCTCCTCTGTAGATGTCCAATCCAATCCTCCTCATGTAGGTGCAATGGGGAGCTAATGTGCATGCACAACAACATGCGCAACAACATGCATTTAAACCTTGAATCAATGCTATCCTATTGGGACTTCCACGTCACGTATCCAAGTTTTACTTGGTTAGTTCCTCAAAAGCAGCTTAAGTGGCTGTCACTGACAGCCACAAGAGGAGGACTGAACCTTAATTTGTAAACATAAATGTTTCTAAAAAGCGGCAATGTTTTACATTGCGGAGTTAAGAGAACAGTGTCTCTGCACCCAGAACACTTCATTGAGATGAAATGGTCTAGTTGAATATAGCACCCTTTTATAGTTTGCCCTTTGCACCTCTAAATCAGACTAGAGAGATTCCAATGCAATGTATACCATGGCTGCGATCAACCTGAACTGGTTTGTGATGTCAACTATTAACTCTTTAAAACATGTTAAACAGAGTATCAGATAAAACTGTTAACACACGCTATTGGTGTTTTTCACTGTTTTATTCAATAATGTAATTTCCAGAGACGTGACAGTTCACCCCTGTGGCGTCAACATTAGATCATAATAAGGATTATAATAAGAACAGGTGTTTAACAAGGGATATGGTAAGTTCAGGTCAAACACATGCACAGAAACCCATTTATCAAGCTGGCTATACATATATTTTTTCTTCAAATTTGATGAGCTAGATTTAACAGACAGCAGTGGGAAGGGGTTTTATAATACAAGTGTAATAATATAAAATGTGTTGACTGCAGAGGTTATGCTTAGTAAGTTGAAGATCATCCAATTTCCAACTAAATTAAATCACAAAATCAAATCACATTTTAAGAATACGAAATGTTAAATTGGCACCTATTAGAGAAATTAGCAATGTATTTTTTTATAAATCAAAATGTGTACAGCAAGCAAATGTTGCGTAAGAAACTGTAATAAACCAATATCCTAGTAAAAACAGATGGTATTTTAGTTAACAAATCAAGCAGGGTTGTTCACTTAACTACGAACTGTAACAAATTAAAACTCAAGGTGCAAAATTTAGACAAACACAGCTGATTTGGTGGCAATTCTTCATCTCTGCTATAGTTTCAGTTCAGCTATTTTAACCTAAATTTTGCAATTTTTAATTCGACAAATTTACGAAAGATTGGTGTTTAATGAGTAACCCAGAGTCAGCATTGCAATTTTATGTTAAAATATTTGTATTTCAGTGACTATAATATTATCTTTACAGGGTTTACACCTCTACAAAAATGGGCCTGCTTTCAGCCTTTTTTTTTATTTGTGAAGAGAAGAAAGAGTGATTATATACACAGCTCCATCCTCAGTGCAGATTATAAAATGGTCAGGGGCTCCAAAGCTAGCGCCAACCCATTTAAAATGGTTTGATTCTTTACAGTGACATGGCATCATGGGACTATTGCTTAGAGTGGTTTTTATGGGCTTCAAAAATATACCAGAAGAGAGTCTTCCATTGTTGATCTTTTATATACCGTAAGTTGGTAATTTTTATTTAACCAGGATAAAACCTTCATTGTTATCCTCAGTTAGCTTTTAATTACTGTGCTCCTCACATTCACTCTTCTTCCTCACAGTTGTTAGCTATTTTTTTGTTATTATTTTAAATAGTGCCAAAATATTCATTATGGTGTAATGAGCGAAAATGGTATATAAGTAAATTCAACAAGATAAGTTTAACTTAAATTTTTAGAACATGGAGCATGGACTCTGCTTAAACAAGGTTCATAAACCTGGTATTGTGAAATAATGTTAGTTTTTTTACCATTACACTTCCTGATCCAGGCAAAAAGCAGCCATTAGCTATCTAAAAGAACTTTGATCTGAAACTCATAAGTAGAAAAAATTATTTGTAAGAAAACAAGGGAAAAAATGTCCTGCACACATCGTTAGCTGAAAAGCTTTTGAGATCTTGTGGAGGTCACCACAGCACACAGAACAATATTTCAACCAAGTTATAGGTCTTTCTCAAATTCTTGAGAACCTTCGAAAGATTGTTCAGTTTGCTGCCGGGATCTCAATGTATCAATGTAAGCTGGACATTTTTTTCTTTGGATTTTATGCTGGGTGGGTGCAGAGTCAATTTTTTCCTGAAATAAAAAGTTCTTCAGGACAACTGAAAGCTGATCATATGTCGGTTTGGCTCGGCAGAAAGTTGGTTATGAAAAACTGATTCTGGAAATTAATCTGATAGGTTATGAAAAAAGGCTAATCAGTGTACTTCAAAATGTATACATAATATAAATATTATATGTATATTTTGCAGTACACTAATTGGAGCATTTCCCCACCATTTGATTCACAGATAAAGTAAGAAAAGGTATTCGGTAGAGGGAAAAATAAGAGGAGCAGTAAAAATAAATAAATCTACCTTTATATATTGATATATTATATGTTTATTACTTATATAAATATAGATTGTTGTACTGATCCTCATTTGTCCTCTCTATTGATCATTTCTTCATCAGTGAATAAATTAAACCTTTAGTAACTATCCCTTAGCCATCAATCATCTTTTACCCATCAATCATCTCTCTTTTTTTTTTGGTACTATGAGCTGAACTCAAAATCATGAATCAAAATAAACATGCTCAGCCATTGCATGTTTCATTTTGGTCATGATTTAGCTGCATTTTGACTTGGAGTTGCGGAATTCAAACTATCACCCGATCGGACCAAATTTGGATGAATTGAAGATCGGTATGTAAAAATCTCCAAGTCTATTGAGTATGGTGGTTCCAAGGCTAGTGAGCTGGTGGCTTTTAATATGACTTTCGACTGACTGTTCTGAACTATGGAAGGTGCACAAAGTATGCAGAGATGGCTGACCTCCATCAATTACCGGGCAGTGGATTTTAAGATAAAAGTACAGTAGTAAAGATAATGAAAATGTAAAAAAATGGGATGACCTCAGAGCAATGGTGAATACCAGAACCCTAAAATAGGTTCTAAAAGGAATCCTTTTTAATGTAAATAAAAATGCGTAAATACTGCAAGCTGTCTACGGTTAACATCAACTATAAATGTTGACTACTGGATGAAAATAAATTTAAAATACGCATTCTATTCTTCAGCAGAGGCTTAAAGAAGTGCAGTTGTTAGTTTTATAATGCTCATAATATCATTTAAGCCTGAGTAATACTCATTATGTTTAAAATCCAACACTCCCCAAAGTCCTATTCTAATAGCATTCAAGCAATTTAGCAGTGCATTTGCACAGATCAGTTCATTTAAACACTAATTTTATATGCTTATTATCCATCTCTGTTTATCTGGGGTGACATTGATTTCTTACTAATTGCAAACTAGTTCACTGCCGCTACGGGTCTCGAAGTTCAGCCTGCTTTTTGTACAGTGAGATATTATTTGTAAAGTAAGAGTTTTAAGGTCAATAATAAGGAAAACCTTGTAAAATAATGCATAATAATGAGATGTTACCTGCCAGCAAAGATAATGATATCTTTTATGCAGTGTCGATCCTTAGCTCCATTAACTACTCCACGTAGAAGCAGACAGTGGGGGAATTTATTAGCACAAATATTAAATCTGACAAAAATGGCTTAACTATCCATGCAGACACAATATAAATTAACACGCAAAAAAAAAAAACTCAGCGTAGTGTCAGTTATGTGTCCTAAACAGTTTTTTTTTTAAATCCTTTAAGTCTTCAATACTGCAGTGAAAGATTGTCTACAGTATGCATCTATTATTAAAAAAATATATACTTGTATTTTAATTCTTCTGGTGTTGTCCCTGCTGCCCTTAAACATGCAACTGTAGTACGCATCTTAAAAAAAACATCTCTTGACCCGTCCTCCCCTTTTAACTATCGTCCTATATCCCTTCTCCCTTTTTCCTCAAAGCTTCTGGAAAGACTTGTCTTTACCCGTCTGACTTGTTTCCTCAATTCCAACTCTCTCCTTGACCCTCTTCAGTCTGGCTTCCGCCCTCTCCACTCTACTGAGACTGCTCTTATTAAAGTCACTACCGACCTAATCACAGCTAAATCCAAAGGGTACTACTCTATACTAATTCACTGCTCTGCTACCTTTTACACTGTTGACCATGTTCTCCTTCTCCAAACTCTTCAATCACTCGGTCTCTGTGACACTTTCCTCTCTTAGTTTTCCTCCTATCTCTCCCAATGCTCATTCAGTGTCTCCTTTTCTAATGATACCTCCTCCCTTTGTCCTGTCTCTGTTGGAGTCCCCCAAGGCTCTGTACCTGGTCCCCTTCTATTTTTGCTTTATTCTGCCTCTCTTATTAAACTTATTACTTCATTTGGATTCCAATACCACCTGTACGCTGATGACACTCAGATATACCTCTCCTCCCCGGACCTCTCCCCCGCTGTTCTGCAACGTGTCACTGCTTGCCTTTCTTCCATCTCTAATTGGATGTCCTCCCGCTTTTTGAAACTCAGTCTCTCTAAAATTGAATTCCTTGTCTTTCCTCCTCCTAATACTGATCCCCCTCTTTCGCTCTCCCTTCAAGTGAATGTTACCCACATCAGTGCATCCTTGCAAGTGCACTGTCTTGGCGTTATATTTGATTCTGGCTTCACATTTGAGCCTCACATCCAGCCTGCTACCAAATCCTGTAGATTCCACCTTAAAAACATAGCCCGCATCCACCCCTTTCTTACACAAGATGCTACTAAGGAGCTTGTCCATGCTCTAGTAATCTATTGCATGGATTATTGTAACTCTCTCCTAATAGGTATTCCCACAAGTCATATTGCCACGCTACAGTCTGTAATGAATGATGCAGCTAGACTGATCTTCCTCTCCTGTTGCTCTTCTCACACCTCTCCCCTTTGTCAGTCCTTACATTGGCTTCCTGTATCCTAAAGCAGTCAATTCAAGGTACTAATCCATACCTATAAAGCATTGACCAATTCTAGCCCCTCCTATATTTCTTCACTGATCTGCAGGTATGCCCCTTCTCAGTCTCTCCACTCTGCCCATGACCTTCTCCTGTCTGATGCTTGCGGGTGGCTCCTTTCCTTTGGAATAGCCTGCCTACGACCATCAAGCGCTCCCCTAGTCTTCAATAATTTAAACAGTGCCTTAAAACCCATCTCTTATGGCCCAGCTTATGGCCTCCCAGAGTAACCTCTACCTCATATACCTGTCCCTTGCTCTCTCCTAAAGAGTAGCACTCTATTCTCTCCTCCAGCTCTGCTTCACTCTACCTTGTTTGAGTGCTACCACCTGTCCTGTTGGGTTTTATGTCCCACCTCCTATAGACTGTTAGCTCGTTTGAGCAGGGCCCTCTTCAACCTATTGTTCCTGTAAGTTTTTGTAATTGTCTCATTTATTGTTAAATCTCCCCCTTTAATAATATTGTGCTGGCGCTATATAAATACTAGTAATAATAATAATAATTGAAAAATTAAATGCAGATAATAAGCACAATTTAGAATGCGGGAAAGTGGAAATACAGTATTCAGAAAGCACAAGGACAGGAAAGGATTATATATATAAAATGAATTTTTAAATAAAGTGTCACAACTGACTATCTTTCTCCCCATCCATCTGTCTAAATTTTTTTTCTAAAATCCCTCCAAGTTTCATTTGTGAAATGTGAACAGATTAGAGTTTCCTAGAGAACACATGAAAAAGATATACATCTCAACCGGGGGTCGACCCAAGACATTGTGCTGCCTGGGTTCAAGAATGAAATGCTGCACCCCCCACCATAAAAAAGCAATGCCCACATCCATTATATTATGAAGTGTCTGTAGTGAATGAGGTGTCTGTGTTTGTGCAGGGGATGCAGTGTGTGTAGTGAATGCAGTGTGCATGAGTATAGTGAATGCAGAGTGTGAAATGGATGCAGTGTATAGTGAATGCATTGTGTGCGTGTGTGTATCGTAGATGCAAAGTGTGTAGCGGATTTAGTGTCTGTGTGTAGTGGATGCAGAGTGTGTTGGTGTAGTAGATGCAGTGTTTGTACAGTGGATTGTGTATTTGTGTAGTGGATATAGTGTCTGTGTAGTCTTTGTAGTGTGTGTTTGTGATATTGAGTGCGTGTGTAGAGAGAGCAGGTATTTTTTAGTTTAATTAAGCTTATTCACCTATCTCTGCCTCTTACCTGTGGACAGGGAGGAGAGTAGACTGGATTCCCTGGTGGTCAGGTGGCACAGTACATTGTGTTGTAAAAGCAACCCGTAGCCATTCTCTTGCAGCTCGCGTGAAGAGTGTACCCAATGTTTGCATTGCAGATGTTCATTGTGCAAGCAGGCAGGGGCCCTGATCTGCATGTATGTAGCTGTACTCGCTATATCTATATATATATATATATAAATATATATATATATATATAAGCAAATAGGTGACCAGACCCCATACAGAACATTTGTTGGTGTACAGGGACGCCAAAATACCACCTGAGCCATGGTCCCATCAGGACCTATGGACAGGCCAGCCCTGATGGCAACATACAATAAACTAAATTTAAAAATGGGGAAACCTTCTTGATAAACCCAGTGATTATAGTTTCAGTAAGTCCTGACACTTGAATTATATAAACACTTGACCCAGGTAGCAAATTACAGTAGTTCAGTTGCCGTGAAAGACATTTGGATTTGTTTTGTAAGAGGGAAAAAGTGGGATAGAAAAATTTTTCTGCATGGAGCAATATTGTTGTGTTTAAGACTAAACTAACAGACAATGTTTTAGCGGGGGCTTTTTTTTAGCCCACATATTGTACAGCACTACAGAACATGTTGTCACTTAACAATTCTGATAATAATATTTCACTCCCTTTTTCTGATCTTTAGAACATATTGCCTTGGATTGCATAATGGTCAAACATCACTCTGAGCAAGTATTTAAAATAGTACAGTTTTCGTTCTGGCAGTCATTGAAGTAGATCGAGGCAGATACCCACTTGTTCAAGCACAGCAAGCAATTTCTTAAAAGACGTGAAAGATAAACACATCTGGGTTATCTAGAAATAATGGCCGTTATTTTACCTTTGCCTCACCCTTAAACTGCCTGGCATGGTGTTCGAGGGACGCCTGAAACCTCCGTTGGGTAAAATTTATATGTGCGCAAGCAACTTCGCAACATCATTCTACAGTCAAGGAAAATCTCAGGAACCAGCTATAATTAATCTTTATGACTGCAAGACATGGGATGGCAGATGTTACCAACAATTAAATCTTCCATGGAAATGATGGCAAAATGCAAAATAGAGTCATGAAAACATATTTAAAATATTAGAATTTCTGCGGGTTGTTAATTTTATCGAATATTCTTATTATGTCTAAAATGCATTAGCAATATTTTTATTTCGTTTAGTAATAAATTTAGTAATAAATTTAAACTGATTGGCCCTAAAATTGTTAATGGAACTTTCCAAGCACTTCCAAGCACCATAACCATTATAGCATGCTGTAGTAGTTATAGAGCCATGATTGCCATTAATTTTAAAAATTTTCTTACTTTGGATCAGTTTTAATAAAAATTCTAAATTGTATTAACTAACATGAACTTTGTATTGGGATGTTCTAAGTAAAAAGTCAATAAATCAATGTGTCCTACCCATTGATACCATATGGTGGTGCCTCTGTACAGTATGCATATTTGCGATTCACACCAGTGATGTTGCTGCTCTGTTATGTAGAATGTCAGAGATGTATGCATGTTATACTGTGGGTTTGTTATTATTTTTTATTTTTGCTGTTAAACCTACTTTGATAAGTCGTGTGCAAACCACTCATTTATGTGCCATAATGTTTTGTATATTTGACTGGAATATATTGCAAATAAAAAATGAATACAAAAACCCCCAAAAAACAATGTGTCCTGATTGCCATTGTCAGGATCACCAGGGTTGTACTTTAATTCCTCATCATTCTTTCAGATGCCACACACTCTCCGCACGCATTCACCGGGCAGTTACTATTTTTATCTGGAGATCTAAGATGGAGCTAGCCAATAGGAGACTAGTTTCTCTCATATAAACTTACCTGTCTCAGTCATTATTGCCCTCTTGTGGTTCTCGTTGGCCCAATAATACTTCCTTTATCTTCTCTGACTTTCTGGTATCAGACTCTTGACTTTGTTATTTGCTTATCCTGATCTCTGCATTCCTTTGACTTGGCTTGATCATTGACTCCTGCTTTTGATCTTGGCTATTCCTTTGTCTACTGTATTCCATTAGTCTGACCACTCTAAGGATTGTCTCGACCCTTCTTGTTGGTTTTGGTTCCTACATCATCCGGACAGCCGTACCTTAATCTGAAACTTGCAACCTTTATCTTATTTCTAGAGTGAGTCTAGAGGATTAGGAAATTTAAAAATGTAAAAACTAATTTTAAAAAGTATGACGCATTAATAATTTTAGATTTTTGACATTAATGTCCCTCTTAATTTTCCAGACACTATTATCATTTTTGCCTGTTATCTTCTCTAAAATGTGGAAAATTGATCTCAGCAAAAAGGCTCTGCTGATTCTTGCTAAATTCTCGCATGCTTAGAATGCACAGTGCGTGTGTTTGGCAGACTGGACAACAGGTGGAGTTACATTTTTTTTATAGACGTGACAGATGAACTATACGTTTTTCTGGTTTCCTATTCTTAACAGAATTCCATCATTCGAACTCTGTTGTTAATTAATGTTTTATTCTAGTCAAATGCTTGTTGAAACAAAAAAATAAATCGGTACCAAAGTTGTTTTCCTTGTGCATGCAAAATTATTCAGTCACAATTGACCCTTGTTTTTGTGAACTGAAATGTGTATTTCTGTATGCAGTGAATTGAAAACTCAATTGCAAAAGAAGAGCTAAAATAATAAAACTGAATATATATTAGTCTGAGATTTATTTTTTCCGATCAGCAGTTTTTAAAAAATGTATTACAATTCAGTTTGGCTACAATTTTTTAGTGTTTAGTAAATAAACTCCTTTTGGCTTTTATCACCCCTTTTTTCACTTTTTCTATTAATCTTATGATAATAATTGAATGGAAATTGTCTCTATGAATTTTGACACAATCTGAGTTTTTTCTTCTTGTAAGGACTTTTCGCTCTTTTACTTTTATTTAGCTTTTATTGACACTTTTTAGATGTATGATTGGATATCCCAGTGCTTTGCTTTGATCTTCATTTTTAAAAGGTAAAATATGCTGTTTAGCAGATGGCACAAGAACCTGTTACATAGTTACTATTCCAAAGGGTATAATTAAAATGATGAATTATTGAGTTCAATAAACTTAATATGCAAACGTGTGGAAACTGAAATGTAATACTAAGATAACAATATGCTGATGCATTTTTCATTCAAACAAAGGTTACTGAGTGGTGCAGGCTGTAAATACAGGATCTTATTATCCCGAGAGAGTGATGGCTAGTCTTGACACAGCAAATTCTTGTGAAATACATTTTAATGGATGTCTTTAGACTGGTGAAGCATCATGGGAAATATAGTCTACAAATGTCCTCATTGGCAAGGTAAGTTACTGTTAACATTAAAGATATTTCACACATCTTTATTAGCAAAACTAGAACAAACCATCAGTTTTGCTCTTAAAGGAAGGACATTGCATTGCAGTGAATACTACAATATGTATCCCACTTTTGAAATGTTTGCCCCATAGTCATTTAAACAAACTTCATGTTTTCTTGCAGTGGCGATTTATGCTCCTAATTATATAGGTGTCACAGGTGCTAGTAGTACATGCAGATATGTACAATTCATTTTTTTTTCCGGAAATATATGCATTTTATAACCTCTTTTTTCTCTCTTTTGACCTCTTTCAGTCTTGGACTTTTGGCCTTCCACAGAAATAGAACACTATACCACTGGTGTTTATTAAGCCCGTAAGCTTGTTAATTCCTTAGCTATAATAAGTGCAAAAAAACAATAAGTGCAACAAAAACACTTATTGGTTGCTATGGAATAGATTTCTTATTACCGATGTTTCACGGACTCGGATCTTATTCTAATATTCTAAAATATTGGATAGAGAAGCTATAGAAATTCCCTAAACTGTTGGTCCATAACATGTATCACTTTATAATGTTTCTTAAAATAAGCAAGCAAACAAATAAAGTAAGAAAAGTATAAAAAGTACTTAACGTTTATAAACTTGTTATAAACTTTTCCTCTTACTTGCCTCTCACCCACTAATCCACCCATCTCTGTTTCACGTGAACTAGCACATGTAGTGAATTAGAACCTGTGCATGGTCATGACGCTTGTATCCAAAAGAGCAAAGATTGCCAGAGAATGAAACAATAATGATTGTGAGACTGTCTGTTTGTATGTATGCATGTGTCTTTGTATGTATGTGTGTCTTGTGTGTGTGTGTGTGTGTGTGTGTGTCAGTCTGTATGTATGTATGTGTCTTTATGTATGTATGTGACTGTATGTGTCTGTATGTGTCTGTCTGTGTCTGTATGTATGTATTTTTGTCTGTCTGTTTGTATGTATGTGTATTTGTATGTATGTGTGTCTTTTGTGTGTGTCTGTCTGTGTGTGTGTCGGTCTGTATGTATGTGTTTGTGTGTCTGTCTGTATGTGTGTATGTATGTGTGCCTGTCTGTTTGTATGTATGTGTGTCTTGTGTGTGTCTTTCTGTGTCTGTATGTATCTGTCTCTCTGTATGTATGTATGTGTCTCTGTATGTATGTGTGTCTGTAGGTATGTATGTGTGTGTCTTTTGGAGAGGGTGGGCATGGATCAGTTTTGCACCGGGGGCACCATGGATTGTGTGTATGCCACTGGACACACATCTTGATGTCTTGTATAGTTCTTTTTAATACTCCCACCTCACCTTTATTTGATCAATGTATATATATATATATATATATATATATATATATATATGTGTGTGTGGGTGTGTGTGTTTATGCATATATGAAGTTGTACATTTGTATGCCTTGCTCAGTTTTTTTCTCATTTGAAAACATCACTTATTTTAACTGTTATATACACACACACATTTTTACACATACATTTACACACACACACACACACACACACATACTTTTACACATTTATCAAGAAGTACCAGAGATGTTTATTGTGTGAGTGGGCAGGTGAGTATGACTAGAGCAGCTATCACACATTCTAGAAGTACTTGAGTTGATAGTTGAAGTGTGGAGGGGCTTTATTTACATGACAAAAAAGGAAGGAATTGATAAGGAGACAGAAATAGTGAGAAAGTAATGGATTAAAAGTGGAAATTGTGTTGGCCATGAAGACTAACGTGAAGGGAAGGAAGGGGATGGAGGATGGAAGAATGGAAATAATATAGAGGGGTAAAAAATATTTAAATAGAGAGAGTGGTAAATGTGAGTGCTTAACGGAAATATAGGGATGAGCTCATTTAGAGAGGAATAACTTTTATGGACAGGGAATATATGTTTGTGTAACTGGATTGTTTAAAAATGCAATACAGTTTGAAAATGGCTTTATTTTATCTGGGATGGACTTCACGTATATCAAGGTAAAAGGAACTGGGTGTTTGTCTGGCAAGAGTTACCACTGCTCAAGGTTTAAGTTTATGTGGGCCGCAAAAAAAAAAAATACCTTAAATTTTCATAAAAACGTAGATTTATTTTAAAAATCCCAGTCCCCTCCCCCTCTACCACCCTGTGCCAAATCTGATCTGACACAGACATACACACATACTCACTGCCAGACACACACACATACTCACTGACAGACACACACACACAGACACACACATACTGACAGACACACACACATACTCACTGAAAGACACACACAGACACACTGACAGACACACACACACACACATTGACAGACACACACACATACTCACTGACAGACACATACAGACAGACACACACACATACTCAATGACAGACACACTGACAGACACACACACACACATACTCACTGACAGACACACTGACAGATACACACATACTCACTGACAGACACACACACATACTCACTGACAGATACACACACACACACACATATACACACATACTCACTGACAGACAGACACACACATACACACACATACTCACTGACAGACAGACAGACACACATACATACTCACTGACAGACACTCACACACATACTCACTGACAGACACACACACAGACATCTTTTACACATTCTTGCACTCACATCATTTAATTTATTGTTCCCTACCTTTGGGAGCTGGTGTGGGGATCTTCTATCTGGAGATCTCCTTCCTGCTCCTCACTGCTCCCTCACCATTTAGTGATGCTGGGTGCCGGAATATGACGTCATATTCTGGCTCCCGACTTCACTAAACTGCGCGAGGGAGCAGTGAGGAGCAGGAACACTGATCTCCCTCACTGGCTCTACTCCCTGGCCGGGTAAGTGTTAGCAGAGTAGGCACCTGCAATATGGGTAAAACAGGTGCCTACTCTGCTATAACACCAGCATGTACTCGCGGCTTGCCGGGCCGCAAAGATGGTCCTTGTGGGTCGCATGAGGGCCGTGAGTTTGACATGCTTGATGTAGATAAACCACTAAAAATCAGAGGAAAAGATATGTAACAATGAAAATGAGCATAGTTGTTATGTCACAATATTCCAAGACAGCTCTCTTTATGGCGATAGTTTGAAGAAACTCACTGCTACTGTATTATTTTGGAAATTCTCCTCTCATCTCAACCCATCACCTAGCATAGCCCTATTCTGTTAGCTCAAGTCTTAGACCTTCCTACAGTTGACTCATTTTGCTACATCCTTCTCTCATGGAAAACAAGTAATGTGACAAATATTGCCATAAACTTACAAATAATGTGTTAATTATTCAGAGCAAATTGTGTGCACTCGTCCTTGTATCATGAATCCAATTAAATGTCTTTAGGTATATTAATATTAGTATTATAATTATTCAGATTATAATTAATAGAATTGTACTGCAGCATATTTAAAATGAAACAGCACGCATTTTTACATAAAGACATTAAATTGGATTCATGATACAAGGATATATTGATATAAATATAGAAAATCCTTAGCTGTTGCATTCCAACTTTTAACATGATAGTAACATTAACCGGTGCTCAGGAACACTATAGAGAACATCCTGTCCTGAGGAAAGTTCCAATTGGGAACTGAAACGTTGATTACTCTAAAATAAAAAGAAGACGTATTGGAAATCCTAGAGTGCTACTATTTTGCTGGATGATATATATTTATGCAAAGGTATTAAAGTAGGTCAAAAAATATTAAAAAATGTTTACTAAAGAGGAACAATACATAAAATATGTTAAGTATAACAAGCTTAAATATATATATTTTTTTCTGCAACATACCTTTGTTGTGTGAGCATCCGATATCTAGTTTTATAATATATATAATAAAGACAATGCTATTCTAGTCAATGGACTGTTGTCATTATAAATATATTTTCTTTTTTTTCCCAATAAAAAGTTTATTGACATTTTTGCAAAAACATAAAATAAGTAGGTATGAAAATGCATAATAAGCAGTATGAGAAAGCACAGTCAATCATCGTTTATACAATGAGAATGTAACCAAACATGGATACACACATTGCTATATGAGATCTAGTATAAAAGTCAATTTATATTTGTTTGCTTGTAAGGTTACTTTTTTATTTTATTTATTTCCTCAAAAATAGGAATGGATAATCCAGACATAAGAGGTCCCGAAAATAAAAAATTTAATCTTTACTCTAGGTTATTCCTTCACCTCCGCTACAGAAGAGTCTTGGAATGCACTGTCCGTGGTGTCGTGTGGTAAAAAGGAAAGTAGTCAGAATTGCTTGGTGCAGCCTTTTTGGTCCCAAATCTTTGTGCACACCTTAATATTGATCATTGTTTTTCAATTATGCACAAATGATATTAAACATAAGGGAAATTGCTGATTATTTGCAACTATTTAGTTTATGATCTGTAATCATGTTTTTCATGAATGAAGCGAGACACGAAGACTAATGTGTAGATTTGAAACCAATGAACGAGACGTACATGGTATACATTTGATTTGACGACAAATGCCACGTAAGGCTTGTATGTGTAATGGAGAGATAAAAGGGACACTACCCAAACCCCAAAATACTAGAAATCATTGTTTAAAAGATATACCCCAAATGAGAACAAGCATGAATTTAATCTATTTTATCTATTTTTCATTGTTAGTATATCTAAAAACTACTTGCAAACGCTGCAGATCTCTTGTACGAAGTCTTTGTAAGCCCTCCCCTTCTAACTCCGCCCAGATTTTCTGTGGCTGTCCAATCACAGACTTCCCAATGTAGCTCAATGAGAAGTCTTTTCAAGGCAGGTGTCCCGGGCAATTGCTTGACTCTTGAGTTTATCTTCACTAAGCTAACTAAACCAGGAAATAACAGGGCCAGTTGTCTGATTGACAGCCACGGGGATGTAACAAGGTTACTTTATAAAAGTGCTAAAATCTGCACTTTTTTTAAAATGAAAAAAGGTGACACACTCTTCACACATAAGGCATTTCAGCAATCTAAAGTGCTTAAGGGGTCTAGAGTGTTCCTTTAAGAATTTCTGACAAATCACCTCTGGTATGAGCTGCCGTACACATAGAGAATGTGGAAAACAGACAGGTTGTTATGGTGGTTGGATAATAGTAAAAACTACAGTAATAATACAAAATATATTATAAATATATTATTTTTTAAACCCAGTAGTTATAGATTTAATTCTGCTGCAACTTGCTCATTTTATTTTAAATATTGTAACCAGGTTAACCTGAAGTTACATTAAAATTCTGTCTGAAAGAGAAATGATACAATGAAACGATACAATTAAATAAATTAGGTTATGTTAGATGTTTGTTTTGTTCCGCATTTGAGTAAATGCGCCTTCTTTTCTCTCACAGGGCATTTAAACATAACATAAATCATTTTTAAATGATTATTAAGCAGATGACCTACTAGAAGCAGGTATTCACTAAGCAGCATGTGATACCACTCTGTGGAAGCTGTAGCATAACAGACTAACACATGCTGATTTTATTTCTAAGATCAAATAATTTGTGTTTTCAATTAAATGTCTGGAGGGAGTGCTGTTAGTCAGCTTGTGGCAAAGAGGTAGAAAACAAATTTCAATTCAACATCATCTTCAGTTCCAACAATAGCTCTCATTCCATCTCAACTACAGTGGTCCATGCTCTGCCTGTCGACTGTCAATCCACAAAAACATACTGTTTAGTGAATAGATCCCATGAAGGTGTAATTATAATATAGTACATTTTCTTTCAATCGCTCAATTCAATGTTTTGTTTTGACTTGGCAATAATATATCCTTAATTTGCAGCACTGTCAGGCAACGTGCAATCACACAATAGTGCTAGCAACCTATCACGTGAGAGGGCAGTCTATTTAAATTTTCTGATGGGGAAGCTATGTTCGGCACTCCTAATGATCCCGGCGTGGTGGGTGAAACGTGATTACAGTGTGTGTTCCCTTTCTTTTCCTTAATATGTGTATCATACACCTGCAATGTCCTGGGTGACTGGTAAATATAAGGATACAGTGTTACATTTAGCCTGTTGGCCAGGGCTAGAAAAGGGAAGAGCCTTTCTAGGATATTGCCTTTAGCCTCAGTATTATTGTGAACCAGCTCTAGACTTTGTGAGGCCCCAATAACAACCAAAGTGAAAATAAATAGGGGTTGCATTGTGTGTATAAGGTGGGTAATCAAACATACTTTTTATCCTGGATTCATTCCCCTGGTGATCCTGTGGATTCCTATCTGGTCTGCAGCTCTGTCGGGTGCAGTGCTGCAGACCATGTGGTACGTGTCTTGCGATCTCCAGAAGTATCAGAGCGTTGCGGGGTAACCCACGGCAACACTCTGATTTGCTGGAGATTGCGAGTCACCTCAGTCCGCAGCTCTGCACCTGGAGGAGCTGCAGACCAGAGGCTGTACAGGGCGCTCTCCTCCCACTCTGTGGCATAATGGGCTAGCCACCGGGTTCCCTCCTGTGTCGGGTCCTCGGTCATAGACCAAGGACCCGACATGCCAGTCTGCCCTAAGGCGATTTAGGTGGCCGTGAGGCCCCAGTCTGCACGAGGCTTAGGCTTTCGGCCTAAATTGCCTAATTAGAGAGCCGCCTCTGTTGTGCACTGTCTAGCTACTCACTTTCCCCTTCCTTGTTTAGACTACCTGGGCATTGGAACCCCCAGAGTGCAAGTTTGGGTATTACTTTTTTTCTTTGACAAACTTATCAATTAGGCATCATCATGTTAGATGTATTCAGTAACAGGGACCTTAGGGATTGACATGGGGCACTACACATATGGATTTAATTTTAAATTTCTAAAGAACTTATTAGATTCACTTTATTTGCCCTTGTTGGCAAAAATAAATAAAGAAAGAAATATTTTACTGTGGTGGCATAATTATAGATTATTCTTATGGTAATACCTGCCTTTTTTTAAATAAAAAAAGTTACTTTTATCCACATCTTTCCATTTTTTTTTCTCATTTTGAAGGGCTTAAACCTCTTGTTTGAGTAGACAACCTTCATACACTATGGGGACTCTATTATTGTGTTTTTAGCAATTGTCTTTGGAAAATGTTTAAAATGAAAAGATATTACAGATCGGGCAGGATTTAGCTATGTTACCATGTCAACGAAAATGTCCTAAATTACATGTTTGGCTGTGGCACAAAATAAGCATATGTAAGTAGACTGCAAACATTAAAGGGACACTATAGTCACCCAGACCACTTCAGCTCAATTCAGAGAAACTGCTATATTTACATTGCAGGGTTAATTCAGCCTCTAGTGGCTGTCTTCCACTTGGAAGCATTCCGCTCCACTTGGAAGCTGACTCGGCGGGGGAGGAGAGGTCACCAGCGCCGAGGGAGCCCGGCGCTGGATAAAGGTAAGTGGCTAAAGGGGTTTTATCCCCTTAAGTCCAGTGGGAGTGGGACCCTGAGGTGGGGGGGGGGAGGGGGGAGGGGGAACCTAAGGGTTATATAGTGTCAGGAAAACAAGTTTGTTTTCCTGACACTATAGTGATCCTTTAAAGGTTTCTGAGCTGTCCATAGGACCCATAAATAATATCAGAGAATCTGTAATTCATTTCTCATGGCAGAAATAACAACCAGGGAACCCTAGGATACCCCAAAGCTCTTAAATGTCTCAGTATTCTTTCCAATGTCAGAGTCTTTCAGTACGCCAGTAATTCACATCGTGTCACTGTGGTCGTTATAGAAATAAAGTGAGTCATGGTCTTAGTTGTTAACACACCACCATATGTAGTGGATAATCTCCACAGTTATACATTTTGAACAAAATACAGTGTGTACTTTGTGCTTAGGACAGACTTACATTAAAAGGACACTCCAGACCACTAAATCACTTTAGCTTGCTAAAAAGCTTTATGTGAGAAGAGTGTGTCCTATTTTTGTCATTTTGGAATAAGTTTAGATTTCAATAGAAATTGACACTTTTATAAATGATCCTGGCTTTTTAAGCGGACAACCGGTCCTGTTACTTCCTGGTTTGGTTAGCTTATTTGCACTGAACTTAACAGACGGCAATTGCCCAGAGCACCCGCCTTGCAAAGACTTCTCATTGAGCTGCATTTGGAAGACTGTGATTGGTCAGACACAGAAAGTCTGGGTGTGGTCAGAAGGGGAGGGCTTGCAATGGCTGCGAACAAGAGATCTGCAGTTTCTAAAAACTGTTTTAGATATAACCCCAATGAACAAAATGCATAATTAAATGCATGCACGATTTCATTTGGGGTATATCTACTTCACAGTGATTTTTATTCAGTGCTGTCCTACAGTATGTAGGATTCATATACTGCATGAATGATCCATCGCTTGATTTCCCTCTGGTTGCGTTTGATTTCTACGTGCAGAAGAATTGCACTTTTTTTGCAATGAGGTGCATTTAAAGTCCCTGTCTATTTCCATTGAATACTGAATAGCCTTCTTTCCCATACAACTCTCTCATTGTCACTCAGTGTAGAGGAGGTCACTGGCAAGCCTTTTACCCTGAGACTATGGCTCAAAAGGGGTTAAACTGACTAGAAGTAACGAGACTCTTGAATGGTTAGCAAGGAGTAGTTGAGCGACCATAAAAGGTTAATCCGTATGAACATTGTGAAACTGGAGATTGGGACTCTAAGGATTATTGGCACGTTAGGGGTTAAGCTTGAGGAACAGCGTAACTATTTTGAATTAACATTTTGTGTGTGAGGAGTATACTTTACCACAATTGAATGCAGTGTCTGTTTGTAAAAAATCACTCTCACTGTCTTTTATTGACTGGGAAATCGTGGCTGTCATGGTTGCATGGGGAAGAGTTTCAGGTGTGCACGTTTCAGGTTCAGGTGACCAGGCACAGTGATCCTGTCACATGGGGTTTGTTAATTTAAACAGAATTTGTGACAAGGGGATGACAATTGCTTAGCAGAGATTTTTCCTCCCAGTTTGGGTTATTTGGCTTTCGATTCGCCCTTTGCTTGTCATTCCTCCACAATGGCCAATTTAGCCAAAAAATCCACAATATTATTATAATATTTGCTACCTATTTCTTTCTTTACCCTGTGTGACAAGTTTAGCTACGATTTTAAAATGTAGTTTTCAATGCACTATAAATCCCCATTTAGTGACTCAAGCCTAGTATGTTCTGTTAAAGATGCTAAATATAACATAATGAGATTTTACAGAATGAATTAATAAAAGGTGTAATTAATCAAATGGTTCTTATCTTCCATGAACATCCATGTTTCTGATTCCCACAAAATTGGAAAACAGCAGTCTGATAATTAGCTTGAAATGTAAATAGTGTTCCCAAGAGATTTGAGATGGTGCTTTATAAATAGGCAGGCTTATTCGCTAAACTGGACATTTTGTAGCAGTGACAACAAGGCTGCACAATATGGATAACGTAGCTGAATAGGAAAAAATGTTTTCACTTCCTGCTAGGTTGACATAATTTTGATAGTCTAAGACATGGCCAGAGGTGGACTAAACCATTAACAAACAGTCCAGCCTCCAATAAGCTAGGAGTGATTATAGTATCATATTTCTGTGTATGCTGAATGTATGTAATGCTGTATAAATGGATTTTAATTGCTCATGTGTTATTTGACAACTACATTATATCTTTCATTTCATTGCATTCTATCGACGGTGACAGTAGATGAGGTCTCCATCCTGAGAGCTGAATTAATTAAGGAGTTTAGGAGACATAAATTTAAATTTTCATGATTTTATGAGAAAAATAGCTTCCTTTTTCCATGATTTTGCCTTCACTGGAATAGTGCACACATTCTCGTGTTCACTAAAAGTTTATTTTTATGTTTTAGGCTATATGTACCATTTACATAGTTACACTTCAGGCAGCAAAATACAAGAAAGTATACACTCAAAACAGAAGATACTCAGAAAGTCATAGTTTACCTAAGATTAAAAAAAATGAAAGCACTTTCCCAGTCTGTAATTGTAACACTCTATAACAGGGTTAGGAAACCTTCGGCACTCCACATGTTGTGGACTACACCCCCCCATAATGCTCTTACACCAATAATGCTGGCAAAGCATCATGGGAGGTGTAGTCCAAAACATTGGGAGTGCCGAAGGTTGCCTATGCCTGAACTGGAACATATGTTTAGACAATTTAACAATAAGTTTGAACACGGTCATTGTTATTTAAGAGCGGAACGGTATACATAAAGGATGGGAAAATGTTGTGAACCTGAAGATTTTCTATACATACTTGACCATTACTAATGACAACAAACTCCGATTCACTCGAAATTCTAATAACCAAGTTTGAATTCAGGAGTTAATTTTTTATTCAGCAAAGAAAATAACTCTGTTTTTTGTCAGTATAGTGTAACTAGGATTGGATAAAAACCCAACTATTCAATTGTATCCACTAAGTAATTATATGCATTTAGGGTGAAGACATGCACTTGCAATAAGCAAGCATTAATGAAAGTGGGTACTCCAAATGCTTATTGTCACATAGTGGGTGAAAAGATAGTTAAACATAATGATGTACATTTTTCAATGCATTATGTAATGTTATTTGTTTCACATGTTTTGCTAAACATCTCACCAAGGTTTGAATCTTGGCAAGTAGATTTGTGCATTCGGTTTCAAATAAATTGCATTTCATCCCATTTTGGCTGATTGGTGTGTTGTCCGAATTCCCTATGTTGATGTATCATGAATAGTGATGTCCCGAACGGTTCACGAACGGTTCGCCACGAACGGTTCGCCACGGACTCATCATTGAGTAAACTTTGACCCTGTACCTCACAGTCAGCAGACACATTCCAGCCAATCAGCAGCAGACCCTCCCTCCCAGACCCTTCCACCTCCTGGACAGCATCCATTTTGAAGCTGCATTCTTAGTGAGCTGTCCAGAAGGTGGGAGGGTCTGGGAGGGAGGGTCTGCTGCTGATTGGCTGGAATGTGTCTGCTGACTGTGAGGTACAGGGTCAAAGTTTACTCAATGATGAGTCCGTGGCAAACCGTTCGGAGCGAACCGTTCGCGAACTGTTCGGCAAACCGTTCGGGACATCACTAATCATGAAGCAATGGACAAACAATTTTGTGATTTGGAGTTCTATCCACGATGCCAAAAAACAAATAGTTTATTGTTTGGGGATAGTCACTAAACAAAATTAATAAATTAATGTATCAAATAAATACATACCAAGCAAATAAACAAGCGATCAGCCAGACTGAATGTTTAAAATACATTGATACCGAGTGATCAAAATTGCTAAACAGCTGAACGTGGACCAAATTTGAATGGTTAAATACCATTCTATTTGGTGAACATTCCATTGGAATTTGGTTAATCAAATTAATTAAAAGAGTGCAAAAACATTTTGTATAAAAAATATATACATTGGGGCGGAGCCAGCGCCTGAGTGAGACGGTCGCAGCTTACCACAGCTCCGTCGGCCGACCCAATAACATAGCCGAAACGGAGGCAAAATCTGCAACGGGGTCCAGAGAAAAAGTCCCCCTGCATATCCCAGACCATGGGGAAAAAAACGAAAAAGCACAGAGCGGAGCTGAGCTCCGGATCCAGAGATATAGGCGCCTTTATGCGCCCGTCTCAGCGACACGAGTCAGCCAAGATGGCGCCGGCTGAGGCCTTTACATCGCAGTCCTCGGACGACGACAGCCTACCGGACCCTGTGACTGCACAGTCTGAGGTACGACCTAAGCCCCAACAGCCACCAGATCTTGGCGACCTAGCACCATCAACGAAAGCCGATATAAAGGCCATGATGATTGAAATTAGGGCGATGTTTGACGCCGATATGGCACTGATTAGAGGAGAGGTAAACACCCTTGCAGGCCGTGTAACCTCAACAGAGGAAATGCTCAGAAGCACTAGGGTGGCGCAAACAGCCACAGATGCAACTCTGGGATCCCTACAAAAACAATGCACCACATTAACAGCCCAGCTAGCAGGCATGGAAGATAAAGCAAAAGCGCGCAATGTGCGTATTAGAGGGGTACCGGAAACTGTTAATAATATGGAGCTACCTCACTACTGCAGACGGCTGATAGCCACACTGTTACCACCAAAACAGGCTAAACAGGCTGGAATTGACTCTTGCTTTCGACTCCCTAAGGCCACAAAGGCACCTCAAGATGCCCCAAAGGATGTATTACTTAAACTAGTTCGGGACTCTGACAGAGGGGCCCTTATGGGAGCAGCACGGGGTTCCCCTACAATCACTTTTGAAGGAGCAAGCTTGACTCTATACAGGGACCTGTCAAGACATACCCTCACGTGGCGCAGAACTTTCCGCCACATCACGCAACACCTACGTGACAACTCTATCCCTTATAAATGGGGTCCCCACAGACTGATGGCGGAACATAATGGAAAGACACACCTCTTACTGGCTATCTCGGAAGCATCACCCTTCTTCCAATCGATGGGCATCCCGATACCTGTGATGAACACAGAAGCCTGTCCACCGTGGAACATCGCGGAAGTTACTCCCTTTGCACCCAGAGGAACGGCACTAAGGGCGGCGGACCAGCAAACCTGAGATGAGCGGACACTCACCCCTACAACTTTATATAATGTACTTTGTCGGGGAGATCACAACCCCCAGTTCAAGGCCTCTTAGGCCCATTATTTACACCAGTTTATATGCATATATGCATGACTTCTCGTTACGTTGATACTTATTCCAACGTTTATAATCACTTTAGCTAGAATCTCACAGCTCAGATTAAGGGATTTCACCCCACCCTGGCTCCGTAAGCTGACTGCCTAAGACATGTCCTATGCAAATACCACCCCCTCCCCCACCCACCCACCCTTACGAAGACAGAGTAGGGTCTTAACAACTAGTATATACCTCCACACCAAGGGGTAAGCGACCCACCTGAAAAACTCCGACCGACCTAAGGGCCCACACAAAGGCAGGAGCATTCACAGGCCAAACCGACTACACCTCCCCAACCCCCTACTGTACTTGCCCCAGGCAAGGCACGACACCCCGAACCAATCTGCAGGGCACAATAAGCTTAACGCCAAAACCCTCCCAGACATATTGCTGTACTTCTTCTATACAGATAAAAGGAGGATTAGCCTGACTCACAAAACAAAAACGGGTAGACGACGCACATGTGCGACTTTATAACATGTAATGATGATCTAGTATGTAAAATGTTACATTTTATCTCTCTGAGCACATGCTGTAATTGATTATCTTGACTTGCAAACCCACAAAAATAAAGAATTCAAAAAAAAAAAAAAAAATATATACATTTATAAACATTATATAACAAATTTTTTGTGCCCTTTTGCTTCGTCTGATCATTTTTCCTGAGTCATTTGCATGGACAAAATTTGGACAAGCTGAACCACCATGTCAACTAAATTTGGTCGACTGAATAATGTTAAAAAATATATATATATTTTTTTTAACCAATTTTTCCACCATGCACAATTTTTCCACCTTAATAGTAAGGTCAAATCAGGTTATTAAATGAGTGCCATTAAGTTTGATAAAAATAGCATCTATTATTTACAAAAAACTATTATTGTTAGTGATATTTATTCAATAGTTGCGATGTTTTGATGTTTATTAAATAAATTAATTACAAAATTCAGGGTGAACCTTACTTATATGAGAGATGCTAATAGGTGAGATAAAAAGTGATTGTGGGTTGAAATTCTAAAAGTTAAGCTCTACTACCTTTCTAAATTTCCCCCTTTATTAATATTTATTTATTTATCTGAATGATATAAACATACTATAAACCAATGTAAGAGCAACAAGGCTTAAAATTGAAGAGACTTCCATCACACAATACTATCATTGAGATACATGATGTAATTAATTACAGGATACAGAAGTATTATGTACGGCAGGTACTTGTTGTCATTAGCTTTATTATAGTGATGGAAATGTCAAAAATACTCTAGGCTATGTTTGTTCCAGGCAGATAAGCAAGATGTGATCTATAAGGATGACCAATAGGCCAAAAAAGGAATATATGACTTCATGTAAGTAGTATATTTATTCTATATACACACTAGCAAAACTGACACAAAATGTATAAATTAAAATGTATAAAGGGAGCGGGGGCTGACCTTTGAGTTGAACAGACACAGCCCGCTTTAGTTCTTTGACACTTTACATTTAATAATGCCTAAATCACTGATACAAACATAATTATGGAAGAAATCATTGCAAGCCTGCTTTGGGTGTCTTTTGGGCACCTCCTTTCATAAGTAACGATACCCGTGCTGTGGCCTAGATCATGGTCTAGGTGGGGGAAGCCACTGATGACCTGGAGCATATCCTGCAAATAATCGAGGCCCCATAGTCCCCCCATTCTGCCTCAATAAAAACAAAGATTGAGAAAAAAAAGTATTATAATTCAGTTTTATAAAAAAAATAAAAAAAAAACATGAGGGATACATTAGAAGTGGAATAGCACAATATTAATTTGGGAATATTCTCAACCTATTTTTCTCAGCTCTCCCTCACCTGCATTGGAATCTCTCAAGGTGAAAAGAAGAAAAAGGACAAAATCTGTGATGTCCAGGAGAGCCCAGCTTGTGTTTTTTATTTGTTTATTCATTTTAACTTCTATACACGGACCCTCCTGCCAGTCTGCTTGTAATTTATTCCTGTGTTAAAATCCCCTGACTCTTTATCTTGCACCTAAACTTTTTTTGACAATCGTCTTTTATATTTTCATGTGATCATGGATTGTGCAAACAAACATATGGTTGTGGTTGTCAAGTCTGTTCAATAAATTCATACAATCATATTTTTTTTCCACCATTTTACTACTTCCAACCTTAAACTCTGTAACCTTGTCCAAAGGTTGTAGATTATGTTTGATCACTAATTTTGTAATTATTATGGGAAGGGGTACAGGGCTGGGGAGGGTGGCTGGTGGGTGAAGAAGAAGAAGAAAATAAAATTTTAAAGTAATCCCACATCTTGAGAAATATGTTTGCTGGTTCTTGCAGTCATCTTCCCCCTTCCTCCACCTTACCCATCCACTGCATCTAAATAGGTGCAGACTGTTTCTTCCACATAGTGGGGATTAGTAACTTCGCTGCTGTTAATAGGTGTTTTGTGAGAGATTTCTTATAGGGTCGTTAGGACACAGTGGTGTGCTGAAAAAGTATAGGCAAGGGCTGAAAAAGTAAGTCTACATCCACCAGCCTCTTTATGGCTGTATGGACATCTTTCCAATAAGATGCAATGGCTGGTCATGACCACCAGATGTGCAAGCTGGTCCCGACCTTTCCCAACTATCTCTAACAAGCGTCTGAGGCCCCTGATATATCCTATATATACTACTAGGGTCATTTACTCTTTTATGATCCTCTTGATCCATATTCTTTTTTCTCCCATTGTTTCCTTTCTCCTATATGTCCTTGCAGCAGTATATACAAGTCCTTGTGCTATAGCATCCCGTAGCCTTTGCAGCTCTAAATGGATGTAGACAGAGAGTCTCTAGCGCTGCCCTCATCTCTTTGTGTCCAGTTCAAATACATTCTAGGACATTCTATTTCTGGTTATGCCATGATTGACACCAAAAAGAGTATGTATAGTCAGAAAAATCCATAGCAAGAAAAAACAGGCACCCTTACATGGTTTGTTTTTGACAGAAAAGACATCCCTGGGGGGCAGAACCTAGCTGCCAAGCTGACTGGATGCTCCTCGGATAAGCTCCGGGGGAAAAACGCTCACATCTTACTTTATATCTATTATTTATCAAACTTCTAAAGTTTTCAGCATTCACAACACTTTTGTGAACATCAACATCTATCAGTCTGACGAGATTCTGCTAGCATCCAGTGGTTCCAAGTCATACAAATATAGTGGCCTACTAAACGTGGGCAAGAGGGAGGTAGTGGTACTGTGCTTTGAATCTGTTGGGAATCGGGTAGCTGGAGACCCAAGCAATGGTCTGCTTCAAAGCTGCAGGAATCTCTTATAGTTGGACCCCACACCAGTAGCCAGATCTACTTATACAGAATGTTGATAAATAATTATTCCTGAATATGCACCCAGTGCAAATGTTGTGCTCTACCTCCTTTATCTTTGGTTGTAATCTCTCCGCATTACGTTTTGTTTTCCTTGTTTTATTTTAAATAATGTGCAGTATCTCGTGTTATTTGCTGGATATCACTATCTTTATCGCTAAATATCTTCTAATGTGTGCATTATCCATAATACATCTCTGCACGTCAAAAATAAAGATTTACAACAACAACAAAAAAACACATCCCTGAGTGTTGTCTTGTATTTGGTGTGAACATGTCTTTTTGTTGATTTTGCTATAAGTTTGACTCCTCACGAGCTACATTTTTATGGTTATTTCACAAAACAGTTTCTTGTTTATGTTGATAGCTGCCAGTACCTCGAACCTGGTTAGATTTACATTTACATCAATCTAAAATATCTAAAACCTGTTCCTTGTCCTTCTCTGAGTTTTAATTACATCTGCCCACTCTAAGAACTAGTATTAACTCTGACTGCCAGTGTTTAGATCTGACCAATAGTCCTTTTATTGGGCATCTACTCCTTACTGCTGTGATTGTCTGTTAACGTAAATCCAGGAATTATCCCTTTTGTCTTCTAAAAGTACTTTCAGGCACAACAAGCTGGGCTAACCTTCATTATGACAGTATAACCATAAAGTATGAGTTATACCACTTTCTGATTTCCATACATTGATACGCTTTGTGAATGATAAACTAAACCATGTCCACATATTATCTTCCATACTCTAATAAAATGTGTCTCTTTAAATATAGACTCTCTGTCATATTATCTGGTTATAAAAAAATATTGAAAAATAAATCACTATCAATTGTGAACACCAGTCAGTTACTTGTGGATACGGTAAAAATAAAGTAAAAAAAAAAAAAAAAAAAAGGTTACATCTGAAAGGAGCATAAATTCTAAAAAATTGATTCCTACAGTGGACTACAACATTAATAGGAATAGATTGAATGGTTACTACAGTTCAAATACAGTAACAAATGAGCCTGTCAAACAATGATCTCCAACTGCTTTGAGGTAATGAGGTGATTACTGATCAGTGGCCAAATTGGGGTCAAAGGACATCGAGGGAAGAGAAAAACAGATACTGTTGCTTCTAGAGGTACATTAATCATATGTGTTGTGAAAAATATATATATGTTTTTAAAAAATGTCGGTATTCTAGAACAGAAATCTGTGTTTTCTGAGCTTGAAGGTACTTCTCGCTGTGTAGGTGATATAATTTATGATTCTTTTATCCATAATGTTAAATATTTAAATATATGGTCTTGCCTCTGATTTTTCTCCCAAAAGCTACTGCTATCAGCTGCGTTAAAAATATTTGCCATGCTTTTATTTTATGCTTTTAAGATATCCCTGATACCTATATTTTAAAATGTGTGTGTGCGTCTGTATTTAGGATGATTGTGTACAATACGGAGACAATAGTGACTATGAAACATAAATCATTGCAAATCATTAAATCTGTTTCCATAGCGACAACTTCACTTTCAAAATTTTGCACCAAAATTGTTCTATATAAATAACTCCTAATATATATTTCATTATGATAAGCGGATGAATTCTTTTCAGAGGGATGTACATATATAAGTGCTTTCACTTGTTTTAAAATGCAATGGCGTGCAGTCCTGAAGAAGATGCTGGGGGCCACTGGAATTAACGCACAGTGATTTTAAGCTGATTTGCCAAGGGAAATCCGACAGCACAGTTGGACTAATTTTGAGAAAGCCGCTTTCAGTCATATCTCCCAGAATATCTCAGCGTGTAAATGTCAGTCAGGCCAAACTTGCAAACTTGTGCTGACTTTCTGAGATTTCTGTTGAGTATAACCCATTTTTACATAATATTATCACAAAAAATGTGTTATCACTAGTGGCAGGTAACAAGTCTAGAAAATGTTATTTCTGTAACTTTGAAAAAGCTGAAAAAACCCATAGTTTGGAATTTTCATGTCAAACTTAATGAAGAGATTAAAAATATGAATAACAACTTGTCAACACTGCATAAAATCACAAAGATAAAGCACCGTGCTTACAGCAGCAGTAGCTTAGTATCCAACAGCTTAAAATACATAGTAAAAAATCAAAGAGAACGTATCCAACTGCATAAAATACCTAGCTCGAGTCGGTAACATAAACACAAAGAGCCCGGTACAGGGAAATCAGACAATGCCATATGGCAATGATAGGACTCTCTAAGTGATGTAAGTAGATAACTTCGGTGTCAGTAATATAACTTTCAGCTTTAACCCATTGGAAAACTTAAGGGTAGCAATTATAAATACAATTTATAGCCATACTACCATACCATTTGAACCATATCTGGCTTGCGATATACTTCATCAAGAACAATCTTTTGATTCACCATCAAAGTGGATTTTAGATTAGATTTAAGATCTTTAAAATGTTTTTAACATTGTGAATTTTATGTACAGCTGCTTTTTTTGTTGTTGGCATAAACCAGGACATTGATTCAGTATTTAGATTTATAATACAAAGACTATATATCACCAAGTGCATTAATATCTTTAAGATACTTATTTGTTGTTGTTGTGGTTGATGAACTATATATTACTGACTGTGTTTTTTTTTTTTTTTTACTAAACTTTTTAATTTGTGAGGAATGGCAAGGGCTTTGCAAATTCAAGCCAAAATAGCTCAACTGGATGAATTCTTCAAAATATATATTTTCCAACTCAGAGATCTCCCTGCCCGGTCCGCGGGCACTTTGCTGGCAGCCGATAGGGGAGGGAGAGAGGTCCCAGGAGCTCCTCCGGGTCCTTCTCTTGTGAACACGGAGCTTTGCCATGGTTACCATGGCAATGCTCCGGATCTCAAGAGAGTTCACTCTCACCACTGTGACCACCAAGGATTCCCCACCGGACCACCAGGGATTGAGAAATGTCCCCTCTCCTCCCTCAGTAAAGGTAAGAAGAGAGGGGAGGACATACAGTATATTTATTTTTATTAAATTAAAAATATATATATATGATAAAAAAGCCTCCCTACCCTCCTCACCACACAGTCACACACTGCCCCCATACACATACACTGCCCACACATACACATACACTGCCCCCCCATACACACACTGACCCCCCATACACACTTTGCCCCACACAAATACACTTCCCCTCATACACACATTGCCCCCCACACACATACACTTCCCCCATACACACATTGCCCCACACACGCATACACTTCCCCATGCACACATTATCCTACACACACATACACTGTCCCCCATACACATATTGCCCCACACATGCATACACTTCCCCCCATACACACATTGCCTCACACACACATACACCGCCCCATACACACATTTCCCCACACACACACATACACTGCCCCCATACACACATTGTCTCACACACACATACACTTCCCCCCACACACACATTGCCCACATATACTGCCCCCATACACACATTGCCCCCACACAGATACACTTCCCCATACTCTTATTGCCCTACCAGACATACACTGTCCCCCATACACACACTTCCCCCACACACATACACTGCCCCATACACACATTGCCCCACACACACATACACTGCCCCCACACACACATTTCCCCCCACACACACACACACACTGCCCCACACATACACTGTCACCCTCACACACACACACACACTGTACCCCTGACATACACTGCCACCCTCACACATTGCAACCTTCCCACACATCCTGCACCACTCAAATATTGTCCCCCTCATACACACACATAAACTGCACCCCTCACACATACACTGCCCCCTCACACACACACTGCACCACTGACATACACTGTCACACACACACACACTGACCCTCCCCCACACACACACTGTACCGCTCACACACTATACCCCCCACACACACTGAACCTTTCACACACACTTCAACCCTCACACTTTGCAACACTCACACACACCACTGCTCCTATGCCCTACTACTGCCCCATATCCCAGCAGACCCCAGGTAAGTTGTCAAACTGTTCTTAAATGGTTTGACTCCATACTCTGGGAGTGGGTCCCGGCACTGCTTGCACCATAACACTACACAGAGCTGTAGTGGTTATTGTGCCTGGATTATTTATGTAAATAATCTACAAGAGCCCCTCTGGAGATCAGGCTCTGGATCCGCCCCTGGTCTAATCACCTGTCAGGTGACAGTGAATTACAACAATGTATATCAATAAAGAGGAATTCTGGCTTTACAAATGTCAAGTGGCAACAGGATTGTAATTTTTCCTTCCACCAAAGAATAAAAAGTTAAAAAATTAAAGTTTTGTCACACTTTAAGGAGTAGTCTAGTATTTTTTCTTATAATAGAATCTGTTTAGGAGATGATTGCAGTAGACACCAAGTAGATAAATAAATAATTTGGAGATAAAGTGACACTAATTCACTGACAGCAGAAATAAAATGTAGGAGAACTCACCATACGTTTGAATTTATTTGATACTTCATTTTGTCTAGGAAGCGAAATTAGATTCAAAACAGATGAAATGTGTTTAGTTGGAAAGGAGAAAGGATTTAGCACACAGCCACACCGGTTAGTGCAGATGTTTCAGCGAGGACATAAAATGATTGTATATCTATGTTTCAGTCTGGGAACTTTAAAAGGCCCCATAGATTCCCATCCCTCAGATGTTATTGTGTTCCCTCTGCGCCAATAAATATACAATATAATGCAATAAAGGCTCCTACCCTGTCAGTGTGGCCAATGCTGGAAGATTTGAAGTCAAAGATTTGAAAACAGCACAGCAAAGTTATCTTCCTTCTGTTTGTATTTTACTGCCCTCTGTGGCTTATGTGTGAAAATATGTTTTGTGAAAAGATAGCGTGCAAAATATTTTATATCAACTTATGATATATAACAGTAAACTGTGCATTATAGGAAAATAAGACCATTAGGTTTTTTTTGAGGCAAAGTCTAAGGTCAGGTGGCTATATTACCAATATTTTTTTTTATTTCTACTACATGCCTCACCATAATATATCTTTTATATTACATGATGTTTTACATTTTTATATCATATATTTATTTATTAAATTAGTTCCATAGCACTTGGAATGCCAGAGATTGTCTTTTGGCATTCCACATAGAGACACTGACACACACACACATGCAAACACAAACACGCACACCCATCAAAGACATACACATTTGCATAAACACATACACAAACTTACAAATGCTACCACAGATATACTCATACAAACATGTTTTTTTCATCAGAAAGTGGTGATAGTTTTACTACCATTAGCATGATTTATTCTGGCAGAGGCACCTGGTAGACAGAGAAATATTTCCTTTCTCTCTCTGTAGTCCCTCAAATGCCATGTGAGTACAAGGAGGGGGACAGAATTAATGGTGGAAATTAGTGGAAACCATTAATTATATTTGCTGCCCTTGAGTGTTTCCCCATGAATTTTCTCTGCAAGTCAGTAAAGGCTGAAGAATTTCAGCTAATCGATGCTCTCTCATTTGTTGGAATAAGAGAAACACTGTGCATAGTGGAGTATGACATCATACACAGGTGCATCAACGCATGTGATGTCAATTTCCTTGAGGATATTCCTATTTCGATTGTATACTCGATGTAGAAAGGACAGCTAGTGTATGCATACCTGTATAGCAGTTTTTGCTTACCTACAATATTTGCAAAATTTTCCGGTAAATATCTGAGTATAATATTATTATTATTATTATTTTATTATTTATATTGCGCCAGCAAATTCCATAGAGCTGTACAATAGGGTATACACCATGCAATATCCATAAAAAGTATTCAACCAAAATCTCTTTCAGATTATCATATTTTTCTTGGGGTACTGCTGGGGTGGCTAACTTGGTCTGTAACCCCCACTAGGGTTTTTCTAAAAGCATTTGGTCTGATTTTAACATTGTTAACTCATATTTTCCCTAAAATCTTGCAATTGAAGGTGTAATTTTTCTTTATATTACAATTTCTAACACTGAGAGAGAAACAGGGTGCTTAATTATATATTTACCAAAAGGATCTACTATTATTAGTAAAATAAATATTATTACCTTGTTTCTAGCGACGAGATTCCTGCACTGTAGCCGCCCACTCCACCTACATCTTATCAGCATGCCTGCTCACATCTTGTCCAATTCAATGCTTCTCATAGAGGAGAAGTATTTCTGAGATACACATGTGGCCAAACCCTGCACTCCTTCAATCAAATGCTGCTACGAGCACCATTAGATTGCAGGACTGACTTTGCAGGAATCACCTCTAGAGGTGTGTTTCACCATTCAAACTATACATTGAGGGGGTTAAAATGACAGGAGCACTACAGCCAGGCCACTACATTGAGATGGAGTGGTCTGGGTGACTAGTGGTTCTTTAAATTCTTTCAATGAGTTAAGTAAAGGAAGGTTGTCCAGAAAGAGTGTCATTCCATTATTCTGTTTGCCTTATAAAAAGGTATTACAAGAAATCAGCATCTCCTGATATGATATGATATACTTTATCACTGTTCTAAAATCTCAATCTAAACAGTAACGTCAACGCGTGTCTGTTCACTTTGCGTGATGCCATTTTAAAAAACATATTCTATTACTTTACTAAAATAGTTTCGAAAATAGTAACAGGAAAATGTCTCAGTAATTTCTTCATAAAATGTTACAGTATAAAACACTTAAAGCTTTTTTTCCCATTATTGATGCAATTAATAAAATTTAAACCCGATGCAAAGTAATAACATATGCGAGTGTTTAAATGCGAGCAAGCAAAATATGTTGTTACCTTAGCTAATGTAATTAACGTGCTAGAACAAAACAATAAAAATGCTTGCAACACTGTTCTTGCTGTTTATTTTCCAAAATAGTGTTTATTTTATTTTTTTAGTTTCTCTATTAGTAAACGTTCTACTGAAATTGATTTGATAGATAAAATAAATTCATTAAGCAATTATGCAAACGGTGATTAGGTAAAATCACTCACCAACCATACATTTCTTTTAAAAAAATTACATTTTAAAGATTTCGTACTGAAGCTTAGCTTGTACCAAGAAATTTATATTTTTTTATATTAATCAATACAGAATATATTTATAGTCAAGAGTGAATTATAGAGATGTATGAAAAAGTTGTTTTGTCTGGACTCCTAGAAAGAATCAGGTTAATAAATCGAAGTTTGTCAAAACTAATTATGGATGAAGCTATGAAATTTATAAACCAAAATTACAACCAAGCATGGCCAAATAGACTTCATTTAGATTTTATAGTTCCGTCACATCTTATAAATATCCATTAACAGATCTCTGCTTTAAGCAACCACTAACTCACCATTCCTAGACCCTCCCTGCTTCTAACCATCATTCTTTCGTTTTACTTTATGGAACATGATTCACTATCTGCGTAAAACTATTCCAAGTTACCTCCTAATTATTTTTGTATATTCAGTGATATCCCTTAAATTATGCATCACCATCAATTTCTCAGATTTTTTTTAGCTTAACATACTATGTACATTCTATGTACAAATACGTGTACATTTAATGAAGGGACATTCTTTATTATGATGTTAGAACCAGAATGTGTGTGTTTAGGTTGTTGGGATGATATTCTACTTTCATAATTTTCAAGGTCAAGGGAAAGAGTTGCTCTCCCTGTAGTTCTAGAAAGAAAAAACAAATTAGACATTTTTGTGTAGTGAGAGCTAAATGTGACATCATTTTCTGTACTCTCTGCCTGTCTTACAAATTGCTTGATAATTAGCTGGGAGTCTGTGCCAACAAGGGAACAACTTTCACCTTCCTCAGCGAGATCAATAGGAAGAGACGGAGAGTGTTTTTTGGAAGGTGAAACACCTGCATTCTTAGTGAGCTTTTTAGTTACCCTATGAACTACATTGCATTACATGGACACCCCACTGCCAAAATACAAAATAAATAAAAATCAATGTTTATTTGATAAATCCCAAATGAAAACTTGCATGCATTTAATTATGCATTTTCTTAGTTATATCTAAAAACAACTTGCAAATTCTGCAGATCTATTGTCTGCTGCCTTTGCAAGCCATCCCATTCTAACCCATCCTAGACGTCCTGTGGCTGTCCAATCACAGATTCCCCAATGCAGCTCAATGAGAAGTCTTTGCAAGGCAGGTGCTTTAGGGAAATGTTGCCTCTTGAATTTATCTCCACTGAGCTAAATAAACCAGGAAGTAACAGGACCTGGTCTGTGCTTGAAAAGCCAGGGTTTATGTAGCAGACCACATAACCCGACTGGTTACCTCCACTATTACCTTCCTTCAGCCACTCTGGAACCATCAGCCCAAGTAAATACCCATTCCCCCAGTAACCAGATGAAACATAGTCCTGGGAGTCAACTGAACTGAACTTTTTTAATGGGACACGGTACAGCCAATTTATCCACAGACCCCCAGCAGGGGATCTCCATACAATTACACAAAACGTTTACCAATGGGAACACAGAACAGGTCAAAGAGAAAAAACTACAAAGCAACAAGTGATTCCTTACACTAGTTACCACTTCCCCCTCTGCCAACACACCATGACAACAAAATGTAATCTTGGTTGGACCCCCTGTTCCTTCAGAGCAATCTCTGGTTACATCAACACAGCCCTTTGCTGTATTAGATAGACTTGCTGGCTCCCACAGCAGGTGGTCACTCACAGTGCAGCATTTAACTTGATTAACACACATAATACATTTCACACCTAACTATGCTGTATAGTTTTTAGAGCTGCTGCCCCTCCGCCCCCCTCCCTTTTTGTTGACCCACAGCTACATATACAGACTCTCTCTATGTAGAATACACAATACAGCGGTACCTAGATACATGGAAAATAGTCACACAAAAAAAGCTTTTGACTTGCACCAAATAAATCAGACCATCAATCACATATCTCCTCCCAAAGAAATAGACAGACTTGTGGCCAGACACACTATAACTGGCCTGCAACAAGTCTGTTGGACCCCGCTGAGTCCACAGTCAGAGTGCTTGACAAGTGGGTGCAAGACAGTCCCTGGTCTCTTGGTGTGTGTGGGCAAAATGGTAGCCATTCTCCCCTCTCAATTACCCTCTCCCAGGGCAGAATCAGTCCAAGGGAAAACACAAGGGGACCCCACAAACAATACTTTGTTAATTAGCCCGGATCTGAGCTCCCACGTTCTCCAAATTGCACTCAGATCCATGCAGTGTAGTTACATATATAATAACTCCCAAACAGTGTCCCAGACCTGGACCATAGTCGGTGGGCAGGAGGCCGGCTTCTACACTCCTCCAGGAGTCCGTGGCAAACATACATGGGAAGGAGCATTTGTCACAGGGTTTAATCAGTGTAATTTATAAAAAGTGTCAATTTCTATTGACCCTGTTTTTTTCTCAAACTAAAACCCTGTTGATGCTATTGTATTGTCCAAAAACTATAAGAAGTCCAGACCACATTTATTCTTTAATAACCAGATTTGAGAAGACTATTATAAAGTGATGGTTTATAGACACCCTCGGACATTCTTCAAGAATTCTTGAATTTCAGAAAGTAATGTTGTATATTTTTTAACATGTTACATAAACTACCTTTATTTCTTTGGTTTTTTTTTGTTTGTTTTTTAAATTGGAAGCTGTCCAAAGAACGAATTCCTGCTGCCAGTTACTGTACCCCTACAATGGCTTCTACGATACTACCATTTATTGCACATGTTCACTGATGCGCTTGCTGCAGTGCAGAGCTTCTGGAATCTGTTTCACCACATGTACAACATTTTGTCGACCTAGGAGGGAAGACAAATAAAGTGCCTTCAATAGCTTTGTAAGATCTGTTGTTGTAATGCACCCTGGGTGGTCCTTCGAAGCTGTATGTGAATAATTACGCTGGAATAAAGCCATTTGCCCTTTTTGTTTGCAGTCTCTTATAGATTTATCCTAGATTTGTTTGTGCGGCTTACTGCTCAAATTCATCTGCAATGCAACTCCTTAATAACCTTTATATTTCAGGATTACATATGGGGAATCCTCTGGACTCTGCTGTCTCCATTACCCCCGCCTGGAGCTGAAAAGTAAATTTCTGCTCCCTTGAGTCTGCTTTCAGTGATTTTGCTAATGAAATTCAGAAGATTGCAGCTGTGCACATCTAAAAGAATAGTGGCATTTTGCAAAGGTAATTAAACATAACTTTTCTTTTTCCACTGCCTGCTTCTTTCTTTAAGTGGGGAATAAAACCTTACAGTTTACGTACGTAGGAAACGCAATGTTTTCACGCTTTATCATTTTTTTCTGTTCACCTTGAGGAGGTCATCATATCATGGTTTCATATAACAATTTATGAATTATAATACCCCACACCATATCCAAAGTATTTTCCCATCAAATATTGGAAAGACAGCCACGTCATTATTTGCTTGATTGAGGTATTCTGTACTCAGAAGAATATGTTTTACAAAACTGAAAGAAGGTGGATACTCCCATGATATATATGACTCTGAAAGTTCTTCGAGAAGGCATTATCCCACTCAAAAAATGATGTACACCAGGGTTCTCCAGAATTATGACCCTCCAGATGTTTCTGAACTGCATCTCTCATGATTCTATGAATGAAATAGATAGCCAGACAATCAGTGGCGTACACATGACCCAACACATGGCGGCGGGCACCTGGTCGCAGGGGTTGCAGGGCTGCGACCCCTGTGACCTCAGTATGTATGTCGGTGCATGCAGATGCACACACTTAAAGGACCACTACAGACACCCAGATCACAATAGCTCAATGAAGTGGTCTGGGTGCTAGGTCCCTCTAGTTTTAAACCTATAGCTAAAAACATAGCAGTTTCAGAGAAACTGCTATGTTTCACTGAGGGTTAATTCAGCCTCTAGTGGCTGTCTCATTGACAGCCGCTAGAGGAGCTTCTTCGATTCTCACCATGAAAATCACAGTGAGAAGACACTGAACATCCATAGGAAAGCATTGAGTAATGCTTTCCTATGGGTAGTTTGAATGCGCGCGCGGCTCTTGCCGCGCATGCACATTCGGAGCTGAGAGGCGGAGGGATCCCCAGCGCCAAGGGAGTCCGGCGCTGGAGAAAGGTAAGTGCTGAAGACACACACACACACTGTCACAAACGGACGCATACACACTAGCTAACAAACACACACATTTACTGACAGAGACACACTCAGCGACAGACATACATATACACTCACAAAACATACACTCTCACTGACAAACACACACCCACTAACACACTCAGTAACAGACATACACAGTAACACACTCACTGACACTCACTAGTAGACACACACTCAATAACAGACACACTCACTGACACTCACTAGCAGACACACACTCTAACACACACACAAACACACACTCTAACACTAACACACACTAACACACACACACACACACTAACACACACACACACTAACACCCATACACTAACACTAACACATACACTAACACACACACACTAACATTAACACACACACACTAACACTAACACACACACACTAACACTAACACACATACTAACACACACACTAACACACACACACTAACACTAACACACACACATGTTGTTTTTTTAATTTGATCCCCCCAGTCTCCTTACTTTTTGGAGAGCTGAGGGGATTCCCTGGGGTCCAGTGGTGCTGCTGGGCTCCTGGGCGGCCGGTCCTGCGGGCAGGCAGGGTGGCGCATGCGCGAGGGAGCACTCTTCCCTGAGTGCTTCCTCTTCAGCTCCCTCGCGTGTCGCGTACTGATGCCGGAGCCAGAAGATGACATCATCTTCCGGCTCCAGTATCAGTGTGGTGCGCGAGGAAGCTGAAGAGAGAGCACACAAGGGAGAGTGCTAACTCGCGTGCCCACAGGACAGGCCGCCCGGTGACAGCAGGGCCAGCCTCGGGGGGCCCTGAGGAGAAGAGGCTGGCCACAGTGGCATACATACCGGGTCGCAGGGCGGCTGGGCCTCCTGGTGGGCCGGGCCTGGTCGCAGCCGTGACGGCTGCGACCCCGGTATGTACGCCACTGCAGACAATCATGGGAGCAACATCTGGAGGGCCAGATTTTGGAAACCCGGGTGTAGACCAGTAGCCACAATTATAATTAAACATTACATTTTTAGCTTAATGAGACAGAGTCTTGCTAATCTAGAAGTAATTATTTATCTATGTATTGTGCTAGGAAAAAATCCCACCAAATATCCTCTGTAAGCCACCTTAGTTGTAAAGTATAATTCTGGGAAGGAGGGTCCATATTTATCATCACAATAATTTTAACGGGCTTAATGCAGTGTTTTTGGCGTCTATAGCATGCCCCTGCCGGCAGCTGAGCACTGTTAATGCTGCCTTTTCAGGGAAAATAGAGTGTTTACATTGCTTCCTAGTAACACCTCCAGTGGCAGTCAATCAGGTGGCCACTAGAGGTGCTTTCTGGGACAGTGCTGGACAGTGTGTAGCACTGACATTCAGCAGTTCCACTCTCTGCATGGATTGATTCAATGCATCTCTATGAAGAGATAATGATTTGCACAGTGTTGCATTTTGACATGCATGTGCAATAGCTTCCCAATTCTTTCCAATGAGAAAACATTGGATTGGCTGAGATGATAAGGTTTGATGATCTCAGTCATGCAGGTGGAGCAAGGCAGTGTCAGCTGCAATTAAGTCGATGCAGTGTGAGTAAAATCACCTTTACCATGCCATCGGAGGGGGGCCATGGACCTAAATAGCTAGTTTAACACTATACTGTCAGGAATGCATGTTTGAGTTCCTGACACTATAGTGCTCCCTTAAAGGACCACTCTAGGCACCCAGACCACTTGAGCTTTATGAAGTGGTCTGGGTGCCAGGTACCTCTAGGATTAACCCTTTTTTTTATAAACATAGCAGTTTCAGAGAAACTGCTATGTTTATACTGAGGGTTAATCCAGCCTCCAGAGCCTCTAGTGGCTGTCTCATTGACAGTCGCTAGAGGCGCTTGCGTGCTTCTCACTGTGAAAATCACAGTGAGAGCACGCAAGCGTCCATAGGAAAGCATTGTAAATGCTTTCCTATGCGACCGGCTGAATGCGCGCGCGGCTCCTGCCGCGCATGCGCATTCAGCCGATGACGTCGCGAGCAAGGAGGAGAGGAGGAGTACAGCTCCCTGCCCGGCGCTGGAGAAAGGTAAGTGTTTAACCCCTTCCTCTCCCCAGTACGAGTATGTTTTCCTGGCACTATAGTGGTCCTTTAATAAAATAAAGATGGTTGTTTTTTTTATGTAAGTGTATATACTTTTTGTGGACTTACACACACACACATGACATTGTTTTTACATTCTGAATGCATTTTATGTCACTCCATTCCTACAAATACCACCAGGTTCCTTCCAAATGTTAATGAGCAGTCTCACTATAAAACAGTGCCACATCTGAGATGCCATACTCTCACAATTGTACCAAGCTATGCCTGTAGTAGCTGTCAAGTAAACAAACACAACAACAATTCCCCCTTTTGCTTAGTTCATTTTATGAACTTTTTCACATTTGGTGCCATCATACAGAGCACAAGGAGTATTTAACTGGTTGCATACACTGTAGCTTTGCTTCTACTGTGTTTTGCCAATGCTTCTCAAAGAGAAGCACCATTAGGGAAACCAAAACACACTAAGGCAAAGAAAGGACAATGATAGAAACATTTCAAAACCATCATGAATTTTGGCCTTGTGCATTTGGTTTATTGGTAGGTTGTCCAAATTCCATAACTCCAAAGAGTCGTACATATGGATACATATGGAGGTATTACGAAATACCAACATGGACAATGGCAGAATAGGCTAGTTTGCTTTGCGGTTCTGTGTTTTCTGTCTGTAGCACCACAAAAAAAAGATGATTCATGGTTAGAAGACAAACACTATATCAAATAATTAAATAATAAAGAGATACAGTTGCAAGAAAAAGTATGTGAACCCTTTGCACAAATTGGTCATAAAATGTGATCTGATCATCATCAGATGATCAAGTCGCAACAATAGACAATCACAGTCTGCTTAAACTAATAACACACAAAGAATGAAATGTTGACATGTTTTTATTGAACACACCATGTAAACATTCACAGTGCAGGTGGAAAAAGTATGTGAACCCTTGGATTTAATAACTAGTTGAACCTCCTTTGGCAGCAATAACTTTAACCAAATGTTTCCTGTAGTTGCAGATCAGACGTGCACAACGGTCAGGAGTAATTCTTGACCATTCCTCTTTACAGAACTGTTTCAGTTCAGCAATATTCTTGGGATGTCTGGTGTGAATCGCTTTCTTGAGGTCATGCCACAGCATCTCAATCGGCTTGAGGTCAGGAATCTGACTGGGCCACTTCAGAAGGCGTATTTTCTTCTGTTTAAGCCATTCGGTTGTTTATTTACTTCTATACTTTGGGTCATTGTCCTGTTGCAACACCCATCTTCTGTTGAGCTTCAGCTGGTAGACAGATGGACTTAAGTTCTCCTGCAAAATGTCTTGATAAACTTGGGAATTCATTTTTCCTTCGATGATAACAATCCGTCCAGGCCCTGACGCAGCAAAGCAGCCCCAAACCATGATGCCCCCACCACCATACTTCACAGTTGGGATGAGGTTTTGATGTTGGTGTGCTGTGCCTTTTGTTTCGCACATAGTGTTGTGTGTTTCTTCCAATCAACTCAACTTTGGTTTCATCTGTCCACAGAATAATTTTCCAGTACTGCTGTGGAACATCCAGGTGCTCTTGTGCAAACTGTAAACGTGTAGCAATGTTTTGTTTGGACAGCAGTGGCTTCCTCTGTGGTATCCTCCCATGAAATCCATTCTTGTTTAGTGTTTTACGTATTGTAGATTCGCTAACAGGGATGTTAGCATTTGCCAGTGACTTTTGTAAGTCTTTAGCTGACACTCTAGGATTCTTCTTCACCTCATTGAGCAGTCTGCGCTGTGCTCTTGCAGTCATCTTTACAGGACGGCCACTCCTAGGGAGAGTAGCAGCAGTGCTGAACTTTCTCCATTTATAGACAATTTGTCTTACTGTGGACTGATGAACAGCAAGGCTGATGAATTATGCAAGTCAACAATTCTTAATCGTAGGTCTTCTGAGAGCTCTTTTGTGCGAGGCATCATTCACATCAGGCAATGCTTCTTGTGAAAAGCAAACCAAGAACTGGTGTGTGTTTTTTATAGTGCAGGGCAGCTGTAACCAACACTTCTAATCTCATCTCATTGATTGGACTCCAGTTGGCTGATATCTCACTCCAATTAGCTCTTGGAGATGTCATTAGTCTAGGGGGTTCACATACTTTTTCCACCTGCACTGTGAATGTTTACATGGTGTGTTCAATAAAAACATGGCAACATTTCATTCTTTGTGTGTTATTAGTTTAAGCAGACTGTGATTGTCTATTGTTGTGACTTAGATGATGATCAGATCACATTTTATGACCAATTTGTGCAGAAATCCATATCATTCCAGAGGGTTCACATACTTTTTCTTGCAACTGTAAGTCAGGGATCAGCCGGACTGAACACTTACAATATACATCTGAATGCTCACCGTACTCTCAAACTTGTGAATATTGACCTAATGGTAAAATACAATTCTATTCAGTCACAATATAGTCAGAATTCATTCAACCGAATTCGAGCCAGAATTAGCGTCATTAAAGGGGCAAAAATCTTAGCATATCACTGCAATATAAATATTATGTATATATTTTGCAGTACAGGGATGTGCTAATTTTTAAGCACTTTTGTTTCATCTGACTAGGCTTCCCTTAATTGTGTACATGGACGATATTTGGACAAGCCGAACTGCCGCATTGATGAAATACATTCAAACGAAATACATTTTTTTTTTTTAAATTGATTCTGCTAAACTGAATTTTTCCACTGTGCGGAAGTATATAACCATATAGAGAAAAAATTACTAAAAGAGAAATGGAGTGAGCTGAGGAAGAAATTGCAGAATATTTCAGTTAATTAACCAATTTAATCAGTTTGGCTACTTTTCCAGTTGGCTATTTAAATAAAAATATTGCAATTTCTTTTACAATTTACTATTATTCCCTAGCTAGATTTTAAAAAGCCCATACATATCAAGTCCATGGTTAAATTCAAATAGAAGAATTTAAGATGCAACTGCAATGAAATATAATGGAATCTAAATTAATCTATTCATTAACAAAATAAACAGAATGCTCGATGCTCAAAGTAGTGACTAGTTTGCATTATGTATACTTGCAGTTTGGCAAACTTTGACAAAGAGTGGAGTTTAGTTAAGCTTTACGTCCTTTAGCAACTTTCTTATTCACCATTAACTTTTCACTTATCTTATCGGCATGTCACGTCTGGTAGCGTCATACTAGGCATTGTCTGTGTTGACTCTCGACCACTTTATGAAGAGCAAATGTGGCGAATTTGGGCAGAAATGCTAAGATGGAGATGCTGTATTTAAAGATCCCGTGGGACCAGCACAACTTTATACAAAGGTAAGAAACACTGATCCCTAGGGCCACTAAACATTGTTGGGGCTGGAGGAAGTAATAAATAGCCTCTTTGGAGGGGAGAAGGGATAGAGACAGTTTAAGAGGTTAATATGCATGGCCTCCATATTTATATTGTCCACTAAAGATAGAAACATAGAAACATAGAAACATAGAAACATAGAATGTGACGGCAGATAAGAACCATTCGGCCCATCTAGTCTGCCCAATTTTCTAAATACTTTCATTAGTCCATAGTCTTATCTTATAGTTAGGATAGCCTTATGCCTATCCCACGCATGCTTAAACTCCTTTACTGTGTTAACCTCTACCACTTCAGCTGGAAGGCTATTCCATGCATCCACTACCCTCTCAGTAAAGTAATACTTCCTGATATTATTTTTAAACCTTTGTCCCTCTAATTTAAGACTATGTCCTCTTGTTGTGGTAGTTTTTCTTCTTTTAAATATAGTCTCCTCCTTTACTGTGTTGATTCCCTTTATATATTTAAATGTTTCTATCATATCCCCCCTGTCTCGTCTTTCCTCCAAGCTATACATGTTAAGATCCTTTAACCTTTCCTGGTAAGTTTTATCCCGCAATCCATGAACCAGTTTAGTAGCCCTTCTCTGAACCCTCTCTAAGGTATCAATATCCTTCTGAAGATACGGTCTCCAGTACTGTGTACAATACTCCAAGTGAGGTCTCACCAGTGTTCTGTACAATGGCATGAGCACTTCCCTCTTTCTACTGCTAATACCTCTCCCTATACAACCAAGCATTCTGCTAGCATTTCCTGCTGCTCTATTACATTGTCTGCCTACCTTTAAGTCATCAGAAATAATCACCCCTAAATCCCTTTCCTCATATGTTGAGGTTAGGAACTCTATCAAATATTCTGTACTCTGCCCTTGGGTTTTTACGTCCAAGATGCATTATCTTGCACTTATCCACATTAAATGTCAGTTGCCACAATTCTGACCATTTTTCTAGTTTACCTAAATCATTTGTCATTTGGCTTATCCCTCCTGGAACATCAACCCTGTTACATATCTTAGTATCATCAGCAAAAAGACATACCTTACCATCAAGACCTTCTGCAATATCACTAATAAAAATATTAAAGAGAATGGGTCCAAGTACAGATCCCTGAGGTACCCCACTGGTGACAAGTCCAAGCTTCGAATATATTCCATTAACTACAACCCTCTGTTGCCTGTCACTCAGCCACTGCCTTACCCATTCAACAATATTGGAATCCAAACTTAAAGATTGCAGTTTATTGATAAGCCTTCTATGTGCAACAGTGTCAAAAGCCTTACTGAAATCTAGGTAAGCAATGTCTACTGCACCACCCTGATCTATAATTTTAGTTACCCAATCAAAAAAATCAATAAGATTAGTTTGGCATGATCTCCCTGAAGTAAACCCATGTTGTCTCTGATCTTGAAATCCATGTGTTTTTAGATGTTCAATCAATCCTATCCTTTAACATGGTTTCCATCACTTTCCCCACTACTGAAGTAAGGCTTACTGGCCTATAGTTGCCCGACTCCTCCCTATTACCTTTCTTGTAAATGGGCACAACATTCGCTAACTTCCAATCTTCTGGGACTACTCCTGTTAACAATGATTGGTTAAATAAATCTGTTAATGGTTTTGCTAGTACACCACTAAGCTCTTTTAATAGCTTTGGGTGTATTCCATCAGGTCCCATTGACTTATTTGTCTTTACTTTTGACAGTTGAAATAGAACCTCTTCCTCTGTAAACTCACGTGTAATAAATGACTCATTTATCCTTTTTCTCAACTGAGGTCCCTTTCCTTCATTTTCTTCTGTAAATACAGAACAAAAATATTCATTGAGGCAGTCAGCCTGACCTTTATCCTCTTCTACATACCTTCCTTCTTTTGTTTTTAATCTAACTAATCCTTGTTTTACTTTTCTTTTCTCATTTATGTATCTAAAAAATGTTTTATCCCCCTTTTTTACTGACTGTGCTATTTTCTCTTCTGTGTGTGATTTGGAAGCTCTTATAACTTGCTTAGCCTCTTTCTGCCTAATCTTATAGATCATTTTGTCTTCCTCACTCTGGGTTTTTTTATAATTCCTAAATGCTAACTTTTTGTTTTTAACTATTTTGGCCACATCTGCGGAGTACCACAGTGGTTTCTTGAATTTTTTGCTTTTACTGACAAGCCTAATGCAATTTTCTGTTGCCTTCAATAGTGCAACTTTTAAATAATCCCATTTTTCTTGGACCCCATTTAAATTGCTCCAGTCTGATAATGACTCCTCTACCCATATTCTAATTTTAGAAAAGTCTGTTTTTCTAAAGTCTAAAACTTTTGTTTTTGTGTGGTGTGACTCAGTCACTGTTCTTATATTAAACCACACTGACTGATGATCACTGGATCCTAAACTTTCACCTACAGTAATATCTGATACCAAATCTCCATTTGTTAACACTAAATCTAGTATGGCCTCTTTACGAGTTGGCTCCTCAACAACTTGTTTTAGAGACAATCCCAGTAGGGAGTTTAGAATATGTGTGCTCCTGGCATAAGTAGCTAATTTTGTTTTCCAATTTACATCAGGAAGATTAAAGTCACCCATGATGATAACTTCCCCCTTCATTGTCATTTTAGCTATTTCCTCAACTAGTAGATTATCTAACTCTTCAATTTGTCCTGGGGGCCTATAAATCACACCTACACGAGTTACTGTGTGATTACCAAATTCTAACGTAACCCAAACGGACTCTATGTTTGCCTCACTAACTTTTATTAGGCTAGATTTTATGCTATCCTTCACATACAAGGCCACCCTCCCCTTTCTTGCCTTCCCTATCTTTCCTATATAAAGAGTACCCTGGTATTGCTATGTCCCAGTCATTTTTCTCATTGTACCATGTCTCAGTAACAGCGACTAAATCTACACTATCAGTTGCCATTATTGCCACAAGTTCATGGATCTTATTCCCTAAACTGCGAGCATTTGTAGACATGACTCTAAGCTTATCATTTTTAACACACTTGCTACAGGCACCTTCTGTCCTTGTTTTGGGGGACAATTGGATTGATGTTTTATCACCCTTTTGCCCCCCCCTCCTAGTTTAAATACATCCTAGCAAAACCTCTGAACTGCTCACTGAGAACATTTGTTCCCTTTTGAGAAAGATGCAAACCATCTTTTTTGTACAGCTTATCTCCATTCCAAACAGAGCTTCCATGAGAAATAAAGCCAAATCCTTGCTCCCGACACCATTCACCAAGCCACAAATGAAAGTCCCTAATACACATCCGCCTGTCGTTCTGAGTGTTATGCACAGGCAGAACTTCAGAGAATGACAGTGAATGACAGTGTGGATGACATTAATGTCTCCTGCTTTAGTCCTTCAGTTCAAACTACAGTAGTTTATAAGTAGGCTGTTAATCAATGAAATCCCATGAATGGAATGAATGGAAATTAAATAAGACTTTTTCAGATTCTTGTTTGTGTTTGCCCTTAAAGTGGGATAGCAATCGTTAATACCAGATCTGCCACAAAAACTATTGTGTATTTTGGCTGAATATGCTGGTAAGCCACTTGCACCATTAGTTTAAGAGTTTAATGTGTGCCACCATGCAGTACAAAGAGCTGTAAAGTAAAATCTAGATCACCAGATAATTTAGAACAATTCCCGTGATGTTTTCTAAACCCTGTGAGACTAGCAAAACACGCGTCCAGCCCTGCTCTAGAGAGAAATTGACCAAGAATCTAGATATAAATATAAGTAACGATGTACTGCAACATAGACACTCAGACATGTTGCGGTGAAATCTTACCATTCTTCGTGTGGATTTAATCTCTTGTATTTTTTTTTCTCAAGTCTTAGAGACTTCACAGCTTGCTCCAGATGTTTCATCTCAAGACAGTGTTAGACACGGTGTAAATGCAGGGATTAGGGCTATGTTATTCAAATGAATGCATGTGCCACCTGTCTTTTTGCTTCTGCCTGTTCATTTGCAAGCCAATACACGGAGGCCTTTGCTTTGGCTCTGCAGGGAGGATCATTTAATCACGAGAAGGCAGATGCATTGTGCTACAGAACTGCAGCCACACATTTGTGCTTCTTCGTTTTTTTAGAGCAGTGATGTTTAAGGAATTTGCTGACATTATCCAAGTATTTTGTACCTTCTGTCATCCTCTGGGTTGGTCTTGACTTTCTGGCATTGAATGAGTCAATTCTCACCCTGTGTTATACCTATACAGTTTGGACATTACATATGATAAATCTAGATAAAAGGAGCTAATTTAGATATACTCAGGATGGAATGTGAGAGATCTTTTGCTGTTAGTTTATTCTAAATATTGCTGCGTATCAATATTGCTGATTCTCAAGATTAATTCTTCCCATTTTGTGGCACAGCAGGATTGCTTTAAATTTATTTATGTATTTATTTATTTTTCATCTTATTTTGTACCAACAGCAGAAAATCTGATGTAAATATTGATGGATTCGCTTCACTTTTAACTTATAATTTAATTAACTATATATTTTTGTGTAACTTACCAAAACCCAGTTTTTCAGTGAAGAACCCCCTGGAATTCAAATTTGTATGATAGGAATGGAACAAATGCCCAACCTTTGGATCAGGGGTTTCATTTTCAGGTCTACAATTGGTATCAAAACAACTTCAGCTTAATGAGGCAGTTTTGGTGTTAGGACTTACATTGCTTTGTATATGCAGCACTAGTCCCACGTCACTGCATGTGACTTGCACAGCCTTCCTAAATACTTCCTGTAAAGAGATATCTGATGCTTAAACTTCCTTTATTGCTCAGTCTGTTTAATGTAGGATTTCCAATCCCCTGATCTGTTAATAGCTAGCTAGGCAGTGCAGAAGCCTCCTGTATGTAATTAAAGTTCAATTTACAGAGATGGGGATTCAAACTACTAAAGCAAGTTAACAGCTGTTTGAAAATTAAACCATTTTTTTCATGGAGGCTATGTCACTCTCAGCCAGGGGAGGTGTGGCTTATGTTGTCATGAATAGAAACAAACATTATTGACCTCCTAAATGGCAGACAATTCAGCGATGAGACCGCTTTATTAAGCTAAATTTGTTTTGATGCTTGTAGCATCCCTTTAACCCCTTAAGGACCAAAATTCTGGAATAAAAGGGAATCATGACATGTCACACGTCATGTGTCCTTAAGGGGTTAAGCAGACACTTTCCCATTTGCCTTGTAGGGATGGTCTTTGATGGACAAACATATTGCCTCTGTCCACAATACTACCTCTGCGGGCAACAGTTGGTGCAGTAAATGCAGTACTTTCCAAAAACAAAGCCAGGATCTCTACTGCTGGCGTACAATGAAAAGCAAACGTGTTTATTAATATCTACGAGCAAAATTAGAAAAGAAATGGATTCCGTTTGATTGACCAATGGTGAGGAGAACTTTGTTCTGCACATAGAACCCTGCAATGTTCATTGACAGACTAGACTCCAAATAAGTTCTATGACAACCAGAATATTCTACTTTATTACTCTCTGAATTCCGTACATTAAGTTTCTGAGTTGGCTTTAGTGAAATTTAATTCTGCAACGCCTTTGTGTATCTAAGAAAACAAGCAAATTAAATTACTGGGTGTTAATTAGAACTGAATGAAAAGTCACATTTTAGGAACTCGTATAAACATTGCACTGTGATTTATCTATTATGAGAAGACTCCTGTAAGAATCTATCTAAAAACACTTTGTTTTGCATAAATATTAATAGAAAGGATGGTTTGAAGTGACTCTCCATAAAAAGGCAGACATAACCATTTACAGTAGTTTAGTTAGTGAACAGAGAAATAGTTCATGAGAGAGAAAATGTTAAAGGAACACTTCAGTTACCATAACCACCATAGCCGGCTGTAATGGGACAGTGTTAGAAGTGTCCTAGTGCCCTCTGAGAGGTTGGACCTCAAACCATTTGAGAACAGTATGAAATCGTACTTGGGCCCACAGGGCGCTGTAGCTGACTCTATTGAAGCTAATGAAGAAAACAAAAAAAATAATTCAGAGTCCTAGTAGTATAGGTTTGACAAAATCAGGATAGGGATAAATTGATGTAAAAATGTCTAAACTGTATTAATATCACTTAAAATCACAAAACTTAGAGGGGGAGGGATTTGTACAGCATCAAGTTAGCGCATGTCGTGAGTCAGACTATTATATTATTATAATTCTAGGGGTCAAGTAGACATAGCAAATACAACGGTCTCATTAACCTGCCTGGTTTTATTGAACCGAAGAACCTACGAAAGAGCTTCTGGCAGCAGAGTAGGTGGCGATGGGTTCCCTATAGTCCTCGGATAAGTTACCAAACCATTTTTAAACAGGTTGACTGCTTATTTTGGGTGGGCTTCACTCCTACACTCCTGGTGCAGCCCAGATAGAATGTAATAAACACCTGCTTGGAAACCTCATGGGAAAGCACCAAGCCAAGATGTTGGTTAACATTGTACATATATGCACATTTTGCATTTTTTCTGTCTTCCTTTAACATTTTTGTTGTGTGAGTCGTAGGCTAATTGCTTAGTTGTTAGACTTTTAGAAGGAATTGGATGTTTCTTGTGATAATTCTTTTCACTATTTAAATTATGGTTTAAACGTTCTTTTGGTTAGGACGTCACAAACAGTCCAATATCCTATGCTGGTATCTAAGAGTCACGCTAAATAAATATTACCCTGGTTTTAGCATGGGGATAAGAATTAGCCAGTCTGTTCCTGTTGTGCTTTTGTTTGTGAGATAAAATGTCAGTAAATTTGATTGTATTGTTTTTTTTCTCTTGTATGTAGAAGATTAAACTTCCTGAAAAAAAAAATGCATTAAATTTAGTTCATATGATATTTTAACATATATATTTTGGTAAAAATGTAATAGAATCATTACAAATGTGCTCCAAAGTGTTGTTTTAAGCATTTTCAGTGGAATAGTGCTCCCTTTTAGTTAAAATCCCACAATGCTTAGCAAGACTATGACTAGCAGAGAATTATGGGAGTTGTAGTCTAACCACATTTGTGACGTCTTTCTCTTTTTACTTTACCTTCTAATTTAGGATATGACATTTAATTATCACAGGTGCAATATTTTCCTCTTTTTAATTTGCCTTTTTCAAATCCACTGTACATCAAATTAATACATTAAACATAAACTCTATTTAAAACAAATCAAATCTGATTAAATTTTCTTCTACCTGATGCGGCACATAGCAAATTAAATTGTTAAGTCGTTCACATAAAAATAATTCAACCATGCCGCTATATAATTCCCTTAATAAACATTTTAACTATGTGAACCTAGATGAAAAGGTGCCAGATGTTTTCAGGTAAGGACAGTAATTTAATTTATTGTCTTTGAAAAATCAGCCATTCATGTGTAATAGCTTTTATCTCCCTGAACATAAATTTTCATCTTATTATAACATTAAATGCCTTTCTTGTATTTAACATTGCAAATACGAGTTTCACACTTCGATTTTTTTTTTTTTATAAAAAATAAATAAATCACAGAACATTGTTTTGTCATGTTAGTTTTATACATAATTAAACTGTTTGTTTTATCACATATAAACCAGAAAAAATAATAATGTGATTTTAAGTCCCATTTCTAAATAGAAGGGGTGAGAAATTTGTTCCCACAGGGTCTTTCTGCTCATGACCTTTACCCCATACCACGGAGATAATTTTTATGCTTTACGGCACCTTGGACTGAGTGAGCCAAGCCCATTTTTCATTCATTATGGGCAGAAAAACACAGCATTATAGATAGTTTGTTCATCATTCTGACAGAATTCAACATATTAGCAGTCTTGCAATCATTCTATCACTGAATGTTCCCAAAACAATGAGCATATTTCTTGTGTTTGAATTATACTTATCACTTAAACGATCAAAAGCGGAAAATATATTCCCCGGTTTACAGAAAACAAATGAATGCCTATTTGTTTCATCACCTTGAAGGACCTTGTTATGGTTTAAGTTAACACATAATACTCCTACCTTAAGAAAGAGCCTTCCACATTATTTGCGCTCTATACATACCAAATAAAAGTAAAAAAACACAACACATATTTAAAAGAATATTTTTTTATTACATCTAGTGTTTCAACACTAAAAATATTTTGATTCTTCTGTTGTTTTCAAATATTTCCCGGGAATATATGTTATCATTACTCAGTTTCATAGAATTTCAACAGCTTAAAGTGGGTGAAAAATTAATTTGATGCTGAGGAGAATGGTCTGGCAGCATTTTCATAGAAATGGTTGCTACATTAACCAACTGAGCTATATCACTGCTGCTTATTGAACTCCCTCAGAGGCTAGATCCTACATTGTCATGTGCATGTTGTGCCCTTTATTCTGAGCATGGAATATGAGTAATATTAAAGAGAAATCAGTAAATACCATTTCACTTTTCTACTTTTCTTTTATTTCTACCATTAGGGTCTACACAGCCCTGTGGTTTTCAAACCAGTCCTCAAGGCATTTAGGGATTATCCTAGTTGTGTCAATGTGTTTTTTTTTTCCTTCTAAAAACACCTTAGAGATAACTGGATAATCCCTAAATAGTGGACTGGTAGATGTGACTTGAGGACTGATTTGGAAGCCACTGGCTTGGACTTTCAAGTATGCTAAAACTCAGGTTACTCACGCCCTGCTAAGAGCATCTTTTCCAAAGGCGGATCTACATAGACATTATTTGGAATTCAAAACTAAAACATAATGCACGAGAATCCTGAGGATGGACAACAACTTGACCTTTGATGGGTCTTCACTCAGGCCTCTAGCCAGCCTTACCTCCCTCATGATGTTTCACAGAGAACCTTCCATTTATATATCAGACTAACCTCACCCAAAAGGGCAGTCCAGATCCAAAATGGATGGAGATTATATGTTTTTACTGTAGTAAACATTAAAGCTGCAAAGTTTTCACCTAGCAGAGATGGCCACATTTCCATCTAAAGGTCTGTACTGTGAAATGAAATGTGTAATTAAAATTGAAATATTTATTTGGGCAAGTCATTTTTTAATGTTTTGTTCTTTGGGTGCTACTGATGTAATCTACAAAATCTGAGCATTTATAGACAGACCCTTTTTACACATGTGGTATGTTTTTCATAGCTACTTATGTCGAAAAATAATATTGACATGTAGAGTAGCATGATAGAGATGTACAAAATATCAATAGATGTTTTAGAATATTATGCAAGCATTTTTCATAGTTTAGTTATTTTCTGATGTTTACATTAAAAGGACACGCCTTTGTGGCTTTTTAAACCCGTTCTATGCAGTAGAACAGGGTTAGGCAACCTACGGCACTAGTACCATGCACGGCACTCAAGGTGTATTTGCACGGCACTCAAGGCTGCTAGAGCCAAACAAGCTCTGACCCATCAGAAGTCCCAGTGAAACTTCAGATATATGCTAATACGAAAAGGTGGTGAAGGACAATCCTCAATTTTTTTTTGCATTGCAGCACATAGAGGAAGTGATCTCAGATCACTTTCTTCCAGCACTTGTGAATGGGAATCCACACTGTAGTAGAGCAGCCTGCAGCTGCTGTTACTGCTCCTGTCCTTGACCTGTACCTGGCCAGCCTGGTCCCCACTGGAACCCAGGGAAGCCACCCAGACTGCTAGATATACACAGAAATGCAGAATAACCCTCCCCTCATACAAATAATATGAACAGCCCACACACAAACATACACACAATCTGCACAAACATAAGCCACTAACAATCCACATACAGGCAAACAACCCCACATGCAGCCTCTCACATGCAATACCCCAAACAGCCCACACACACTACCAAACACACAATGTGACATATCCATCCACACACAATTCCACAAGCAGCCCTCATATATAGCCCACATTTATATGTATCATACACAATACCATAAACTACTAATGAACATATACAATATAATAGCTCATATACACACAAATACAATGATACAAAGCAATTACAGTATAAATAACACAAGCAGAATACGGCAACATACACACCTCAATTTAAAAAAAAAAATAGGACCGACACGCTACGGGACATCACAATCCTATAGCGGCACAGTGCTGCTAAAAGGTTGCCTACCCCTGTAGTAGAGCATTAACACATTAAAATAATCGAAAATGCATTTCAAAATGTTTTAACATGAATTGATGTAGCCTGTTTGTAGCAATGCCACAGGATCAGAGGCTGAAACCAGAAGGAGATGACTAGACCACTCAACTAATCATGGTGCTTCCAATGATTTCAAAAGGACCCAAGTTCAACTCCTACTTGAAATTAATGATGGTTTTCATTAGAAATGGGCAGGAGCTACAGGACATGCAGACCATAGCTATGGTAATATAGAATCCATGCTGCAGCTGACAGTTTAATTATTAAAAATAAAATATGAATTAGAAAAGAAGCGCTTGAGCAAATTAATAAAAACTGATGAGGGATAACTTGACGGAGTGATTCTCATTCACTTTGTAAAAGAACAAGGAGCAACCAGTGGTCAATGTACTCATATGTGGCAAATTGCACACTTAGGAATTGAAAAACCTGTTGGATAAGTGTACTAGAGCATATTTGCAGCTTAAATTTCTCATAAAATTTAGACAGTTCCCCATTTGCTGTAAAACTACAGCTCCCACGATGCTTCAATATTAATGCTGACCTAGTATTAATGGAACTCTGTCATTTCAGTAAAACAAGGTAACTTATGTAGAAGAGATTACAATTTCTATATGTATATTTTTTGTATCATCCAAGGTTTGGTTTTTATTTTTCAGAATTATACAAATTATTTAATTTATACAGGTTTTCTTTCCTTGTCACCCCAGGAATTAATATTCAGCTGGATTTCTCTGTGTATATTTTAGCATTTATTTTTCCCATTTTTTTTTTTAAATGTCCACATAAAAAAAAAAAAAGAAGTTAATTGCAAACTAAATATCAGGCGGGTATCTAACATCACTTCTTCACTTCTTCCAGGAAGTGTAAATCAAAGCATTGTTTGATAAATACAAGTAAGGATAGATTGCTATGAGAACCCAGAACCTGAAGTTGCACAGCAGTTGCACAGCAGCGAGTGTTACATTAAGATAGAAACTTTTGTTCATACTTAGGGATGGAAAGATATGTTTTGGGAATCATTGTTAAAGGAAAATTAACCCATATTTTCTTTAGTTAAATTAGCTAGAGGACTATATACAGAATGTAATTAATTTCCAATAAAACATTTTTTTAAACAGATTTGTTTTTAGTATCTGCAGCAAGGCTCTGAGTTTTTCATCATTCATTTATCTTTTGTCAGTTAAATCATCTGAAAGGCATCTTCGTGTGTCTTATTTCAGCTCATTAATGATCTCAGCCAATCCAAAGCTTTCATATAGAAACCACATTCGAGGCTAGTATGCTTGCGTGCAATGCAGGACTGCAACAATCAGATGGCCTCTATGAGTTTTACATGGCTATTTCATCAGAAGCATTTGTTTTCATATGTAGGCAATGTTTTCATATGTAGGTATAAAAGTACAGGGACATGGCACCCAGACCAATTCACTGAGATGAAAGGGGTCTGGGTGCCATTAGTGTCCCTTGAAGATCCCTCAATACCTAAGGCATATTAGTAGTTTGCCCTTCATTCTTCACATAGGGATGGTGAATGAGGCCAATCAATTTCCTGGTTCTAGAGCCCTTGGATCCTAGGCCACCATTTAAGGTCAGCTTATAGTTAATCTGTCTCTGCTGCACATGGGAACTGGATGGGGTGGGGGTCCTCACTGTTCAGTGATCTTTGTAAAAGACAGAGCTCTAATGAAGATCCCTACTGCAAAGAGAAAAAGTTCATTAAAAAAAAAAAAGAAAGGCATGCAGGTTTCCAGAGAGGCTCGCTCGGTGAACAATGGTTAATCAACCCCCACCTCCAGTATCAACAAAAATAGAATTAACAGCCAGCTGGGATTATTGTGTCATCCTGTTATGGTGACTAAATACACGCACATATATGCAGTGACAACTATGCCTGGCTGTTTATTCTATTTTTAAAAAAACGTACAGTAAATATGACATCTAGTAACTAAAGTAAATGTGTGAATAAACTTTGAATAAAGGGATACTCTACGTGCCGTAAACGCTTCATCATATTGAAGTAGTTATGGTACCTGGAGTACCCTGGCACCGTACCAATGTTCACTTTTAAATTGTTTTGAAATCATTAACACGTAAAAATGGACGCTGTGTGCTTGCAGTTTTTTTTTTTTTATTTACCGAAGAGTAAAGGATGACAATCGTCAGAGCATCAGCTGAGTGCCCATCTCTGGTATGGATTGGGGTTAGGGGACGGACCCAGAGACACTCTGAGACTTTTAAACTATTCAAATACAGTTTGGCGGCATTAATATACTCCAGATACCTTAATTACGTCAATAAAATTAAGTAGTTATGGTGGCCATAGTGCACCATTAGGAAACAGTAATTAACATTTTTATTTAATTCAAATAAATTGCATTATATTATAGATTAATCTATACACAACACAAATAATGCAGAGAGTGACAATTATGTGTATCACCGGTAGTGTAAGGATTAGAACTAAATTAAGTACTGCTTACAGTTATATTACAATTCAGTGTTTTTCCATAAAGGTACGTGTCACTAATAACTGGAGTACATAGAATTCTATAAATAATAATTACTTGTATTTATATAACGCCTTTCTCCCAGTGAGTCTCAAATCATGTTGCTGCGCATTCTCTTGGAATTAACCAAACTGGCATCTGGATGAAGAGTTGAGTTGATCCGGTGACCTTTAGTTTTTTGAACAGGCTCTGTAGTAAGGGAATTTATCAACTGAGCTATCTCACTTTTTATCATTTCAGTGGTGGATTTGAGCTAAAATGTATTATAGAATTCTGAAGTCATCAAACCAGACACCATGTTTACCCATGATACATGCTTACTATTATGTGATTTTTTTATGTATTCGGTTTAGGGCTTGGTTTAGACTTAGAGTTAGGGTTAAGGCTAGGATAGGAGCAAGCGTATGATTTAGGGCTAGGGTTAAGGCTTGGTGTTTGAGTTAGGGTTAGTTTAATGCTAAAGACTAGAATAGATATTCCTGGTTAAAGTTAGAGTTGAGGTTAGGGCTAGGATTTGAGTTACGCTTAGAGCTAGGGTTAGGATTTCTGTAATCTTAGGGCATTTACATTTTCTGGACTAACTGATATTGGTGTGAGTTGCATTCTTCACACTAAACACACTCTCTTTCTGTCTCTCCTGTTGACATATCAGTAACATGTAGGAAACAAAATCAATGGCAGGAGCTGCTGCTATGCACTACTCTTGGGCAGGCCTGGACATGGGTGCTTCCTGTGATTTAGAACCCTATACTTCACAGTGTTATTCACACCATAAAAAAGTTTAGCCTCAATAAAAGCGAAATTAAAGGACTGAAATGTCACTTTTAAAAAAGTATTAATATTGTGAAAGAATATTAATATTTATGTGTTACACTGTATATGTTACATGTTCTTTCAGACTTATTTCTGATTTTAAAACTTTTGTTGTTAGTAAAATCTTCCCACATATCTCCAACACATTTCAAGCTCTAATAAATGAAATTATTTATTAACCAGTTGATAGATTAGTCATAAAAATCACTTTGTAGGTGGTGATATGATGATATCTTTCAAATGATACACAGTGTCTAATATACATCGTATAAGTAAACTAAAGTGTGTACATATAATACTAATGAGCAAAATTGAAAAATATATATTAATATCACGCGTATGTATCATACTTCCACTATATTTGTAATTGTATTTCTATTTCATAATATAGACGTGTAGAATGAGTACATTTTCCTGAAATATTCTATTATGCTAATATTCTAGTTAGCTCACAGTAAAGACCAGAATGGCAATCTGAAATATTTCATTTCACTTTATTTAACCTTTTTACATCACCCTCTTATATCTTACAAATATTTTTGTAAAGACAAAACCAAACACAGCTAGAAGTCTTTACTTTCAGACGCACCAGAGAGATTTATCAGACATTTCTGAAAGGTGTCATTTATTTTCTTTATTCTGTTCATATATGTTAAATGACCTAAAAGGCATTGGCTTTCCTCTATGTAAATAGTTTGCAGGAATATCTATTTCAGTACCAAAGACCACAGAATTTCCAGTGAAAAAGAGAAGTGAATCTAAACTCTTTTGCGGTGGAAAAAGTGATGGTAAGATTGATAGATCTATTGGGTCACCATAAAAATGACTTGTATCTAAAATGAAAGTTTGGGTGCAAAAGAAGCAACAGATAAAAAAAAAAAAACACACCAAAAAATTTAATAAACTGCACTAAAAACAACAACAAAAATCTTATCTGTGACACTTTGGTACATTTCCCACATTGACTTTATGTGTTGTGTTAATAAACTTAATTTTCTTTAGCCGAGGTGTGGATCCCCATTTGGAGTGCCAAAATGTGGATCCCCATTTGGACTGCTGTTAGAGGTGGAGCCACTCCTATGCTCATCCCAATTATTCAAAACCTTAACTAGTGACTCCTTCATTTAAGTACAGATGACACTATACGCACTCAGACCACTTCTTTGAAATAAAGTGGTCTGGTAGCCTTGCCCCTGTCATTTTAGCCCTGTGAAGAAAACACTGCAGTTTTGGAGAAACCGCAATGTTTTTTATGTGCAAATCCTACCTCTAGAGTCTTTCTTTGTGGATTAAACTCCACTTTTTAACATTGGACATCCTCACGCTTAGCATAAGGACATCAAACGACATCTATATTTAATGCAGTCAGCTCTGATGTGAGCGTGCCTGCATTGAAACCCATTACTGCAGAAGCCCCGTAGGAAAACATTGCCACACAAGCGTGCTAAGTCCCCAATGCTTTAAGAAGCATTGCATTGGACCTTCATGGAGAAGATCATGTCTCCTCCATGATGTCGCTGAAGGAGGAGAACCAAGCAGTACCGAAGGAGCTCAGTTGCTGGAAAAAGGTAAGTAAATCATTTATTTTATTAATTTTATAGTGACTGTGACTTGAACTCTATAGTGTTCCTTTAATTCTACGGAATATTTTACATGATGTGCCAGCTTGGTTAAAAAAAAGGTCTTCTCTCTTTGTTATATTAGCTTGATTAACTCCAATTAAAACTTCGTCATAGATGATCAACAAAATGCTATCCATCAATGTAAGTTGAGATAAAAAAGTACTATTATGCTGATATTAACAGATTAGCGACATTACAGTCCATTAAAGATGTGCTAAAACATTAATTCGGATTTCACTTAATACGTCATTTAGGTTTAATTTAACTGTTAGCTTATGGACTACGCTTGCAAAATGATATCGCTTGTATACAATATATCAGTTTGAAGCATGATCTGTCTATCTTACCTTGCTAGGTTAATTGTCGTGCATATAAATCAGCCAAAAGCATGACTTCTGTGAATAATTTAAAATTAAGTCGTTCACACATTTTAAAACTTGCCTAAATTTATATCCTGTTTAGAGACTGCTTATATTACAAACAGATCTCATTTGATTTAAATAAAATACATGAAAGAGACACTCAAGGAACCAAGACAACTTTAATTCAATTTGCTAGTAGTTTTGTCCTAGATAATGTGCTGTATTTTTGCATGCCTATTTTGTTTATCTTATTTTGCCTTTTTCTTGCATGCTATGCACATTCTAAAAATATTATTTGAGAATGTTGCAGTAGCTTCATGCAGCTCCCTTTTTGACAACCCATCCTCTTCTGCAGAACCTAAGATGGTGAATGTCGTCAGAATAGAATATAGAAATAATAGCAAAGGTTTTTGTGAGGTGTAGTGATTCAGCTAACAGCTTTCGAGTTTTCAAGGTTTATGCTGATAACTGATCTACAAACAGTGGCGTACATACCGGGGACACCACGGGGCCCGGCCGCCCTGCAACCTGGTATGTATGCCAGTGCGGCCAGCCTCTTCTCCTGGGGGGCCCAGGAGCTGGCCACCTCAGGGCCCTCCGAGGCTGGCCCTGGTGTCACCCGGTGGGCAGGCTGGCTGGCGGTCAGCGCGAGGGAGCACTCTCCTCTGAGTGCTCCCTATTCAGCTCCCTCGCGGACCGCACTGATGCCGGAGCCGGAAGATGACGTCATCTTCCAGCTCCGGTATCAGTCAGCGGCGCGCGAGGGAGCTGAACAGGAAGCACTCTACGGAGAGTGCTCCCTCGCACGCACGCCCGCCAGCCAGCCAGCCCGCAGGACCGGCCGCCCAGGAGCACCACTGGACCCCAGGGAATCCCCTCAGCACTCCCAAAGTTAAGGAGGCTGGGGGGGATTAATTTAAAATGTGTGTGTCTGTTAGCTAGTCTGTATGCGTCTGTTCATTAGAATATGTGTGTCTTAAGCACTTACCCCCTTCTCCGCCCCGATCCGCCTCTCAGCTCCGAATGCGCATGCGTGGCAAGAGCGGCGTGCACATTCAAACCGCCCATAGGAAAGCATTACTCAATGCTTTCCTATGGACGTTCAACGTCTTCTCACTGTGATTTTTCACAGTGAGAATCGCGGAAGCTCCTCTAGCGGCTGTCAATGAGACAGCCACGAGAGGCTGGATTAACCCTCAGTGAAACTGCTATGTTTTCAGCTGCATGGTTAAAACTAGAGGGACCTGGCACCCAGACCACTTCATTGAGCTGATGTAATCTGGGTGTCTGTAGTGGTCCTTTAAGTGTATGTGTATCTGCATGCACTGGCGTACATACCGCGGTCACTGGGGTCACAGCCCTGCAACCCCTGCGACCAGGTGCCCACCGCCATGTCTTGCGGCCCCAGCCCATGCAGAGTAAGCATGCAGGAGGGGGGCCCACGGACCAGTTCTCGCACCAGGCCCCATGGGTTGTGTGTACACCACTGTCTACAAATACAAGAAATCTCTGCCTTGAGCAGAAGTTTTTCACAGAAATTTCACACCTGAATTCTCACAGTGCTCTGGTAAACATGGCTAACTCCATAAAGAAGAGTGAGATGGTTCTGATCAGCTAGGATACATCCTGGAGTGGGTAAAGTGTTGATGACAATTTCTGCTTCCTGGGATATGGTGAATATAGACCAGTTAGCCGCTTACGAACCTAGTGAAGTCCGCAGATGAGAGGAACTCTAGCCAATAGAACCATTGTTGGATACTTCTTTCTCTCCGTTGGCCACCTTTTGTTTGCTGGCTGGAGAAAGCATTGGCTGTAAAAAAACTAAAGATGTCATTTTAATTGGCAATGTCTCCAGAATGCTTCGAAACATAGATATGTTGGTGTTGTCCAAACCCTTCCTTTCCCAGTTTATTAGCGATATAAGTAGAAAAATCTCCAGAACAAAACAGGCTTTTGAAAAAAAAAAAGTGGAGTAATATGCTGTATGGAAAAATACATTTTAATGTGCAAGAGAAGTAAAAAAAGAAAAATAAATACACAATTACAAGTCCAACATACCAATTTACTTATCCTGCATACAGTTCTTATGGTATTAACTCAATAAAAAACAATTCAATAAAAAAACTATACTCCTTCAGAACTCAGCATTAGTAGGTGTATTTAATTACTTATTTTTTTGAAGACAAGGGGTCCACTAGCTTCCCGTATTAACCAAGGGGGTGGTCAGAGCTTTATTTTCGTTATTCAAAATACTCTTGGCCAAAACAAGTCCCCCTCATGTTCTAGCACATTTATAGTTAGTACAAAATGGTTGCAATTTGCAAACCATATATCTAACTGAAAATAACACCCTCTGCCCAAAACAATTCTATAAATAAAATACAAATCCAGATTACCCTGCTAGAAGTTTACAAAATAAATAGTTGTTTAGTGGGACATGGCTTTTATATGTGGCTACCAGTTTTTATTTTAGTGTGTAACGGAATCAATTACATTGCACCAGGGGTCAAGTCCTGGGGAAAAAAGTGTGGGAACTCACCCAAGATTCCCGCCGCCCCCCCTTTAAAAAAAAAATTACACTCCTATGCATATAGTGCAGTGCAGGGTGTGTATAATGAATGTAGTGTGTTTGTAGTGAATGCAGAGTGTGTACAATGAATGCAGTGTGTTTTTAGTGAATGCAGAGTGTGTACAATGAATGCAGTGTGTTTTTAGTGAATGCAGAGTGTGTACAATGAATGCAGTGTGTTTTTAGTGAGTGCAGAGTGTGTACAATGAATGCAGTGTGTTTTTAGTGAATGCAGAGTGTGTACAATGAATGCAGTGTGTTTTTAGTGAATGCAGAGTGTGTACAATGAATGCAGTGTGTTTTTAGTGAATGCAGAGTGTGTACAATGAATGCAGTGTGTTTTTAGTGAGTGCAGAGTGTGTACAATGAATGCAGTGTGTTTTTAGTGAATGCAGAGTGTGTACAATGAATGCAGTGTGTTTTTAGTGAATGCAGAGTGTGTACAATGAATGCAGTGTATGTAGTGTGTTTGTAGTGAATGCAGAGTGTGTATAGTGAATGTAGTGTGTAGTGAGTGCAGAATGTGCATAATAAATGCAGAGTGTGTATAGTGAATGCGGAGGGTGTATAGTGAATGTAGTGTGTTTGTAGTGAGTGAAGAGTGTGTATAATGAATGCAAGTGTGCGCGCTGGATGACGTGTGTGTGACTGGATGATGTGTGTGCTGCTGGATGATGTGTGTGCGTGTGCTGGATGATGTGTGTCTGTGTGTGCTGGATGATGTGTGTGTGTGTGCTGGATGATGTGTGTGTGTGCTGGATGATGTGTGTGTGTGTGCTGGATGAGTGCTGGATGATGTGTGTGTGTGCTGGATGATGTGTGTGTGAGTGCTGGATGATGTGTGTGTGAGTGCTGGATGATGTGTGTGTGTGTGTGAGTGCTGGATGATGTGTGTGTGAGTGCTGGATGATGTGTGTGTGTGTGCTGGATGATGATGTGTGTGTGTGCTGGATGATTGTGTGTGTGTGCTGGATGATTGTGTGTGTGTGCTGGATGATGTGCTGGTGTGTGTGTGAGTGCTGGATGATGTGTGTGTGTGCTGGATGATGTGTGTGAGTGCTGGATGATGTGTGTGTGTGAGTGCTGGATGATGTGTGTGTGAGTGCTGGATGATGTGTGTGTGTGCTGGATGATGTGTGTGTGTGCTGGATGATGTGTGTGTGAGTGCTGGATGTGTGTGTGTGTGCTGGATGATGTGTGTGAGTGCTGGATGATGTGTGTGTGAGTGCTGGATGATGTGTGTGTGAGTGCTGGATGATGTGTGTGTGTGAGTGCTGGATGATGTGTGTGTGTGTGTGCTGGATGACTGTGTGTGTGAGTGCTGGATGATGGGTGTTTGTGTGAGTGCTGGATGATGGGTGTTTGTGTGAGTGCTGGATGATGGGTGTGTGTGCTGGATGATGGGTGTTTGTGTGAGTGCTGGATGATGTGTGTGTGAGTGCTGGATGATGGGTGTGTGAGTGCTGGATGATGGGTGTGTGAGTGTATGTGTGCTGGATGATGGGTGGGTGGGGGGGTAGCATTTTTTTTAAAACTTTATGTGTATGTATATTTTTTATTTTATCCCCCCCTCCCTGCTTCTTACCTTGTCAGGGAGGGGGGAGATCGCCTGGTGGTCCGGTGGTATGCTGGAGGGAGCCAGCCGCTGCACAGAGAGGTCATCACACGCAGTGTTCCCTCTCTAGCTCTAACTCTCGCGAGACTTGCCTGTGCGGAGCGTTGCCATGGTAACAGCCGCGGGTCTCGCGAGAGTTAGAGCTGGAGAAGGAACACAGCGTGTCTGGCCCCTCTGTGCAGGTAGCAGGGCCGGTCCTGCAGGACAGGTAACGGGAACGGCGTTCCTGCTTTGGAAAAAGTGCAGGAACGCCGTTCCCATGCGTTCCTGCAGGACTCGAGCCCTGCATTGCACCCAAACCACTTTATTTTCTGCAGGGCTTTCTGTGTGATGAGTATAAGGGCATAGACCCTGGACATCTTTTATCATTAATTTTATAAAGCGTATTTTTTTAGCCTTTCAGACCCACGTAAAAGAGCAGCACATTACTCCTCTACCTTCGGTGGCATTAAAAGGGTTAATTTAAACTTTGGTCTGTAAGTCGTGTCATGCTCCATTAGATAGCTTGATTGGCATTATATAGCTCGGTGGAAGTGATGAATGGTCCTTCTGATATTTACACCAAAAACAGGCTGCTATATGCCTGCTAGACACCTTACTATATATCTTGATAATCTCCATCAGGGAAACCCAATAACCAAGTCCTCTGAGTTGTGAAGCGATCTCTGTAGGTATGTCCTCTGAAGGTATTTGTGATCGTGTGACTTTGTCGTACATTTTATGACTTTTCTGATGAGTTTTTAATATTATTTAGCAAGTATCAGGATTTATCTTCCAGATTGGCTGCTCAAGTTTCATTTTAGAAAAATTTATAAACCAGTGCTGAAAACAGGAAATGTGAGTTTGATGAAATAATTGCCAAAAACAATCATTGTTTTGGCTTAATCTTAAAATAAGGCTAAAACAGTTTATTTGTGATGTAGGAAAAGGAAATTTAGCTGGATGAACAACAATTTCTACAGGATTTAGGGAATTAATTGTTTAAAATACATTTCAATGTATGGAAACATTATCAAATTGCCAAGAAAGTATACTTCATTAATATATATATATATATATATATATATATATATATATATATATATATATAGTTTATAGGTGTTAAGTGACTATTTCACATTCAAAAGCAAATTGCATTCAAAATGGGGTAGATTATAATTTGTTTGGAAATAAAAACATTTTATAGAATTTGCACAGAAATAAAATCCTATTAATTAACACGAAGCTTTTATTTTGTAACAATGTAATCTCTAAGAGACTCTGGATTGACTTTGGTCTGTTTGGCTATACTTTACTGGCCTGAAAGTTGAAATTTTGTTTGGATTTCACATTGAATTGCCAACAATCCATACCTCAGTGAGGAACACTTCTAGAAAATGTACTAAAGGATCACAGTCAGAGTTCTATCAGAGGTTTTGGAGGAACTTGTAAGAATAAGAAGGGTATCAGTAAACTAACAAACAATATGTTGCTGGGGCTATCTTACATCACCTGTAACCTTAATCCTTCACCATTCATGCACAAGAAAACACCTAAAACACTAATTGAAGCAGGCATACCCATTTCACTGTGGAAGGTAACATATTAATCCCTATCTAACATAATTATTTAAAGGCACACTATAGTCCCTGCAGTGTCACTGCTCAATTATCTGCCATTTATGAGTTTAATCACTTTATTTATGCACCTTAGTCACACCTCCCTGCATGTGACTTGTACAACCGTCCTACAAATGTCCTGTAAAGAGTCAGCTAATGTTTACTTTCTTCATTGCAAATTCTATTTAATTTAAAATGTATTATCCCCTGCACTGTTGATCGCTTGCTAGACCCAACAGACGCATTCTGTGTATAATTAAAGTTCACTTTAGAAAGCAGGCAATAAGAACTTTTAAACTAAGTTACATGTAATTGAAAGTGAAACCATTTATTTTCCATGCATGGTGTGAGAGTCACAGCCAGGGGAGGTGTGACTAGGGCGGCATGGCCAGAAACACAATACTCCTAAATTGCAGAGAATTGAGCAGTGAGACTGCAGGATCATTGACTATACATTAATACTGCTTCCTTAAGCTAACGTTGTTTTGGTGACTATAGTGTCCCAAAAAAACCCTCAAAAAAAAATCCAAACAAATAATGCTGCAACAGGAGTTGTGTCAGGTAGACGCTCTAAATAATAGCAGAGTAAAAACATCAGTTATCTTGGATTTTAAATAACCTGATCTCACTCACAACTATGCTACACATGTCTAGAGTGTAAAAAGTCTGGTTGTAATAAGACTCACGTCCATCAAGTTGAACATTTCACACATCTTTTTCTATCCAAAACGATTGTAAGGGTTATTCCCTATAGTGAGAATTCAAAGCGAATTTTAAATTCAAGGTTAAAAGAGCTATTACCAAAAAAAAAAAAAAAAAGTGAAAAGAGATGGCGCTAAAAATATATAATAAAAAAAATTATTTGCTACTAAAAGCTGCACCTCACATGTGTAAAAGCTCAGTAAACTCTACAACATAAAACCAACCATAACATAGCTAACTTAGAGAATGATTCCCATCCAGGTATTTTTATCTTAAAATCAACTTTTTATTTGGTTTATTTTAGGGTAAAAATAACTGAAATTGAATCATTCTCTAAGTTAGCTACGCTTTCAGTTTAGCTACTTCAACCTGAAATTTGTAATTCACTTTCAATTCTCACTTTAAGAAATAACATTGAGTGTGTTCTACTATTGCAGAGAACATATTTGTATATTCTGGATTTCCAGAGTACAGCAACATTCCCATGTATATCTTAGCCAGGTTTCCAGGAGATCATTTTCAAATTGTAGGCATGTACTGATTTGGATGGACTGATTTTCCAGACCCATGTCAACTTGTTGTGGAACAGCAGGCCCCACAATTCAAAGTAGCCCTATCAAGTCATTCCATTTGTGAAATAACAATAGTTTTTCCTCCTAAATGTTGACCCTGGACTAACTAAATAAACCAAGTATTATTGTAACCCATAATGTGATCTTAATTTAATCTTAATACTTGCTTCGTCTTAATTCTAATCTAAATCCTAATTCTTAATCTACATCTACTTCTACTACTACTACTAGCCCTACAGTGGGACATCAAGACAGAGTGATTATCATGATGAGAGGCAATCGTAGTGAACTTGTTAGTTATGGTAGACAGTCTAAGTCTACCTCACTAATCAGAGAGTTTGGCAACAAATGAGTATGTATTGCTCAACTGTCTGACTTGCACATGCATCCAATTTCTGTGAGAGATGGGTGTTTCTTTTGACATATAAGCTACATAAAATGTATTTATACTATCAAGAGATAAGACCACCACTGCATGTGGAGAGGACATAACTGCAGCATGGCGCACTAATAACATTCTACCCCAACTGCAACCCTCAGTCAAACATCGGGACAGACCCAAACTCTTCCTGAACAGGCCAGCATTGTGTACCTGCTCGTTGAATACATGGGGGCTGGCTGGTGGTTACCCCCAATCGCATTATATAGTCAGCTGGCAGTGGATTTGCTTTGAATATATAATTTCCATTTATTTCCATTGTTTTTCTTTTTTGTTATTTCACCTTCTCTCATATGCACCCCCGAGTAGTCTGTGCATGCATAATTCTATAGGAATTCATCATCTATGGATAACATGTTATAAAATTAGGTATTCATATCTTTCGTACTATTGAGAATTATACTCTCTGCATCCTCTAAACAACAGAAAATTATCTGTAAGCTCATTTACCTCAATTAAACACTGATCACCATAAGCCAGTTATAGTTATTCACAGCCTATGGAATCTATTGAATCTGTTTAAGCCTTGGGTTGCAGGTTCAAATCCCGGCAGGGTCAACTCAGCCCTTCATACTTCCGAGGTGATTAAAATGAGTACCATTAAATTGGGTAATAGTAACATCCCCTGGATATGGAGCAAATGTAACATCCCCAGGATGTACTTGAAAACCAGAGCAATCTGAATTCACCTTTCCTGTTTAAATACTTTGTTTAACATGTTTAGCTTGGAGGAAAGATGAGACAGGTGGGCTATGATAGAAACATTTAAATATATAAAGGGAATCAACACAATAAAGGAGGAGACCATATTTAAAAGAAGAAAACTACCACAACAAGAGGACATAGTCTTAAATTAGAGGGGCAGAGGTTTAAAAATATCAGGAAGTATTATTTTACTGAGAGGGTAGTGGATGCATGGAATAGCCTTCCAGCTGAAGTGGTAGAGGTTAACACAGTAAAGGAGTTTAAGTATGCGTGGGATAGGCATAAGGCTATCCTAACTATAAGATAAGGCCAGGGACTAATGAAAGTATTTAGAAATATTGGACAGACTAGATGGGCGAATGGGTCTTATCTGACATCACATTCTATGTTTCTATGTTGCTATGAATCAAATTCTTGACAAACTGGGAAGTCAGTGCATTGACTTTGATTGTAGAAAGACAAAATATTCCAACACATATTCAAGGAGTTGAACTTACTATGCAAACATTCTCTGTTAATAAGATCCTACCCTTCGAACTTAATCTAAATGTTCAATTTGTAATGCAAGTAAGGTATGTTTGAACAAATTCATTAGCATGTATTATAATTATGCATTATATATAATTTTGTAAATGTTCCCAATAGACATTGGATGAGCACTGGCTGAATGGCTTACTATAATAGTCACGATGAAAACGCAATGTACCAAAATACTATTTTAATTATTTAAGAATAAATATTTGAAGACATTGACAGGGTAATCCAGTAAAGTGAGAATTCAAAGTGAAATCAAAGTGAATTTGAAATTTAAAGGGACACTGTGCACCATAACAACTTCATAAGAATTAAGTAGCTTCCTGTTCACAAAACTCTGGTTTGTAAATGGTTAACTACTGGTATTCTTGGGCTATAAACAGAAATGAATGGCCAGAGCAATTGGGTTCTGGATTGAAGACTGAGAGGTTAAACCGTTCATCAGCTGTTTAATACAGTGTTTCCTAAATCAGTCCTCAAGACCCACCAAAAGTCAAGGTTTTGTTAGTATCTCTATTGGAATAAAACAGGGAAATACAGAAATCCTGGATTGCTGGTGGGCCATGAGGTCTTGTTTGAGAAGCACTGGTTTAATCTGTTCAGGTAAGCAAGCACCAAAACCGTCCCATACCATAACAACTTAATTCAATTATGTTGTAAAGGTTCCCATAGTGATCCTCCAAGGCTGAACTGCAAAAATCCTCTAAGTCAGCTACTCTGGCCTTAAATTTGAAATTCACTTTGAATTGACTTTGAATTTTCACTTTAGTAAATAATCCTGTGAGTATTATTTATTAATTAATTACTTTCACCACAGACTAACTAATATCTAAGAAAAAAAATGTGTTGATACTATTTCTAAATGTATGTATATTTTTCTGTTAGTCTTAGCTTATCATATGCTAGATATTGTGGTATACATGTCTTCATTTAAATATTTTGGAGTGGGTGCCCTAACGTTGTTCTGAGCTATATATCCCAGAATGTTGTGTTGTATTTTGTCTAGCACAGGATTAATGTGATGGAGTTCAACAGCAATTAAAACGACAAAGCGCATGACCATTGTATTAAAGAAAAAACAAGAGACGTTCACAATTTACATTCAGCTGCGGTGAATGAATCAAATTCCTTATTAATGTATAGGCGAAGGAATTGATTTGTTAAACAATCTGAGAGGGTCCATTTGTTTCCCCATAAACTGACTGATATTTGATTTGTTCAACACAGCTGAAGAGGATTAGTGCACACGGGTACAGAACACACAATGTAAATACAAAGACATGCTTTCCAAACTCATTAGCTTGCTTTAATAAATATTATTATAAAACATTTTCAAGATACTGTTTTATATTATTTAGGCCATCTGAGAACAATGCTCATGGCACAGAATTTAGGCAACTGGTGTTCCCCAATGGGATTTTACACTAATCCCAAGAAGAGACAACAGAATAAAACAGTAAGTACTCCACCGGTGGTGCAAAAGGTAGCTTATTCATGCAGTGGTTTATTTACAATATGACCTTTTACAAATATTGTAAAATGTCACTTTGTTACAGAATTGTTTATGTTTCTCACTTTTTAGCTTAGCTTAGTGCATTCTTTTCTGTGGTTTGCATCACTTGAAAATGTTTTGGTAAGGGTCATTTTTATCTCTCTCTCTCCTGATTATCTTGTTTGGTCATCTGTCTATCCATCCATAATGCTATTGTCTTAAACGCTCAACACCTACCCATAATCTTGCATACTGTAATAAAATATATATATTTAAAAAAATGCTAAAATATTTATAAATATACCTAATTGTCATGGCAAGCACTTAAGGAATGTGCTCTATTGTTTTGTTATAAGGTTACTTGTTAATTAAAATTTTACAATGTATCAAAAAAAATCATTAAATAAAAAGAATTGAAATTAAAAACCTTGCAATGACCTAGGTACACAACATGGTGAAGATATGCTGCCTTAATTACATGTTTTATAAGTAATGCAATTATCAGGCAAACTCAGAAATAGATTCATTTTCATAGAGCGAGAAAATTAGATGAATGATTCAAGATGGGATCAAGAACTTTAGCTTAATGAAATATTTCTCTTTAAGAACAGCCACGTTGTCGCGTAACAGTGTCACAATGTCATTGCAACGTTCGTGATTTACAGTACTTTGATTGACCCAGCTGACCTTTTACTCGGGGGTAGATAGAATTTAGCAGCCATTAGTCAAAAATGTGACCAGCAAAATGTATTAATATAGCGTGGGATTACAACGCCAGGCAACACTATGTTAAATAGCACTATAGCAAGCTGATCTTTAATTGCACTTAGTGTCATTTATAATGCTTTAATCGTACAAAAAAGGAGGCTAAACATACAGTCACTTATACTACTCCTTTAGATACGTAATTTGGGAGCTGACACAGTGTAATTACAATTACTGTGATTTAATAAGAAAAGTTATATTTTGTCTGCTATTGACATGTTTGCAAATAATCTCTTTAACCTTTACGTAGATGGTGTGAAAGCAGAACTATTGGCTTGGAAAATAGCAGGTGCTGTGGAGCAATGGCTCTGAGAGATGTTTGTTCTGCTTCCAATTATATTGACTATTTTTCTACAGAATTCTATAACTGCATCTTCCTTTAGACCCAAAACATGTACTGTAGATTAGTTCCTAAACATGTCGATCCAATACCGATATGTGTCAAACTTTAATCTCCCACTGAACTAACCATAGACAGAAGTCAGATGGAGAGGAGAGGGTCACAGCATTTAAATGATAGTTCTGGTTTGCCTACAATGAGCAGTAAATCTTTAATAGCATCGCCGTGTTAATAAATATAACAAGTATAAATCTATAAGAGGCTTATCTTCATTCTATTGATGTTTATGTTAATTAAAGCATTTTCTAAATATAGATACTATATCTTAAACCGGATATTCTCAACTTGCATGCAAATTTGTGCAAACAAAAATAATAGATGGAAAGAATAAAAATTCACATTGCTTCCAGCAAACGTCTGGAAAGATCTGTTCTGCTTAATGATCTGTGGAATCTTCCTAAATATCCAATTAGTCCTTTTAGCTTTTATTGTTATTATTATTTGTTGAATAGCTTGTTGGCAACGAGATTGCTAATCTTGTCCTTATGGCTAAATGCGCTCATGAACAAGGTAATCTCTCAGCCAGGGATTTAAAAAAAAAAAAAATGAAAACTCCCATAGTTCTATGCCAGCAACGGACTTGCAGAGAATTATGGGAACATTCCAGCGTCCCTTCTGTAAACATTGAACTTTACACGGACACACTAAGACCATGAGCCCTCTAGTTAATTGTAGTGTACTTACATGATATTAGTATATAGGCATTTTACAGGTTCTCTCCAGCACCGAAAGGCCCAGCCCCTCTCCTGTCACACTTGCAATACATAATTATATTTACTCACTATCAAGCACTAAGCCATTCAACTTAGAAGGCAATGATATACTGTGGAAGTGGGTTATAATAATTATAGTGCTTACTTTCTCACTTTAATCTATTTACAAATATCTTCAGAATTTAAAGATGGTATCTATAAGGTATTGGTGGACGTAGAGCAATTTTCTGGTCACTGGATTTGACTATGTGGCTCAATTGAGCATTTACTGTAAATATTCAAATTCTTCCTATTGAAGTCCAGCTTCACTCTGTTATATGTGTTATATATGTAACCTATTAAGCCATGTGTCAATGCCGTTATCTACCTTTGATTGCTCCAACTGTCTCTGCCCCTATTATGATGTCTATTATTAGTATTTTATTTGATGGTATTTATGCCCTGTGCTCAATTTATAATTTACAGATTTTAAAAAAATAAAAAAAAATATTTGCAATTTTCAGTTCCAATATATAGTAATACAGTTGGTTGATATACAATAAGATGTTATAAGGCATGGTAGGTGCACATGGCATAATTAAATATATTCTTAACATTGTGTGCCTTGAGAACTGCACATCAGCTTTTTTATATTTTAAGATATGGTAACGTAACAACAGGTGGGGGTATAGGGGATAGGGGAGGGGGAATTAGGGGAGGGAGTGGGAAGAACATGCTATCTCACGTAAATTGTTTCGATTCGGTTTGCTTATATTGTACACGTTGTAGGCATTGCCATGGTCACAGCTGTCGGAGTTGATACAGCGCCTCACTGGGTAAGGTGATTATGATGTCATTATCAGCCTCAGGGAAGAGGGGATAATAAAAAGTTAGATTGATACAGCGCTGACTCAAAAAAGGCAGCAAACACTGGTACTTGGATACTCTAACAATCCAAGATCATGAAACAGACAGAGAAAAAGAACAACACAGGTTACGCCGACCAACTAAATATTTTCCTTACTTGCAAATAAAAAAAATGTAAATAGTAATAACTTAGCTATAAGTCCACAAAGATAGCCCTTATGTTAAAAAGTCAAGGAGAGTTCTTGACAATGATGATAGTTGCAACAGGTAATCCCAATGTATTCACCGATGTACGCATGTCCCAAGATATTAATTGACAATAAATAACAGAGAGAACAACAATAGTGTAATATTGTTTGTGGCAGAGGTAAAATCAAAACTATGTGTAAAATACACTCACAAACGAGGAGCTGTCTATTGGCTCAATTGTAGCTGCTTCTGGCAACATAAGTGATGCATCAGCCAGGTGCTTTTTGGGAGCACAGATACGTCTTTTAGAAATTTCAGAACATGTACATCTCATATGAAATATATAAAAAGAAAGAGTTCCAATAGTGCAACTCAGTAATAGCAGATCCAATGTGTATATAAAATAACTTTAAAATGATAAACCTGTTGCATCATCACCATTGCCAAGAACTCTCTTTGACCTTTGAACATAAGGACTATTTTTGTGGACTTATAGCTAAGTTATTACTATTTCCATTTTTATTATTGACAAGTAAGGAAAATATTTAGTTGGTTGGCACAACCTGTGTTTTCTCTAACAGGGGATAATAACCTGGGCCCCTATCTGCCTAACAAACGGGATCCTCACCTAGGAAACAACATGAATATACAATATGCATTACTGGACGCACATTAAAGAAAATCTCAGTCTTTAAATCTCAGATGATGTGCATATTGTGTAATACTGGCTCCATCAACTTGTTGTTCATTGTTTAATTGAACTAGCACAAACAACTTTGAATAGCACCCAATGAAGAATTGTCAGTGAGGCTAGAAGATTTTACAAAATAAATAGTTCTAATTCCATTTCTTATAAATGAATAACTTATTAGTCAGTTTTTACTCTTTCATGACAAGGATATCAGACAATCCCCACTATGTAACCACTGATGGATAGCATGTTGGGCCTGTTGCTGATGATTACAGTGGGTCTAATTACAGAACCTTATTGACAGAGAACACTAACACTCTGAAATCTCCCACATGCCCTGTATCCGTTGAAGGTGGTGCCACAGGAAACTCATAGGATGTTTTTATATGAATACAAATACCCTATGCCAATCTCTCTCTTCCATCTCTCAAGCCAGCCTATCTGTCGATCTTACAAGTCGCACAGCTCTCAAATCCTGACTCTTCTCCTTTCCTTCACACTTGAAGGCAGAAGTTCTTTGTATGGAGCCTTGGACAGAGAAAAGGTGGATGTAGTGAATGTAGCAGCAGGAGAACATGCTACAGGGCCTCATGATGATAGGAGGATGTTGGGTTCTAAGAAAGATAGAACCAGTAAGAGCATTTGCCCAGTGCACACAGTAAGCTTTAAGTTAATGATTTTGTAATCAGACAGGCCACAAACATTTTGCTCTCCTGTTTTCCTCCTGAGCCTATTCCATGGGCCTGGACCTGCAGCTACATTAGCGCTTATGCTAATTGAACCCGGTACATTATGACAGAACGGCCATGAATATGTTAAGCTATCTATTATATTTGTCACCTGTATTTCAGCACAAAATAAAATTATAATAGGAGTAAAATTAGTAAGAAACTGTACATTCTTATAAATCTAAGAATCTGCTGATTCCCACTGAGAACCTTCTAACATTCCCTGAGATGTAGAAATGTAGCAATTATAATCTGTGTATTTACTCTTTCCTTGCTATACTGCCATTTAACCCTGCAAATCTTCATATACACCTAAGAATCTGTACCTTTCCTTGTAAACCTGCACATTTACCCTGAAACTCTGCGAATAGGCCCATTGACCCTGAGACTCTGAAAATCTGCCCATTGACCCTGAGACTCTGAGAATCTGCCCATTGACCCTGAGACTCTGAGAATCTGACCATTTACCCTGAAACTCTGAGAATCTGCCTACATGCTATGATAATATACACCTCTCCTATTCATCCTGAGACAATGATAATCCTCACCATTTCTCAGAAATCTGTGCATTCACAACGAGAACCTAAGAATCTGCCCATGTACCCTGAGAATCTGCCTATATATACCATGAGAATCTTTACCTTCCTTAAAAAAAAAAAACTTCTATTCACCCTGAGACCATGATATTCTGCACGTCTTCTCGAAAGCCTGCCCGATCAATCAATAATTTATCTATACTTCTAAAGAATCTTAACATTTAACCTGAGTATCACCCAATCTGCAACTTAAACTGAGAATCTGATGAAATCCCCCCATTTACCAATAACATGAGAATCCATCTATTCACCCTGATAAGCTGTACCATTCCCAGAGACCCTGAGAACCTCCCCCTTCATCCTGTATATCGCACCGTTTACCATGAGACCCAGAGATTCGTCCCAAACATTTTGAGGCTCTGAGAATATTCCTTTTTCACAGGTTGAAATAAAAATCAAGAATGCTTGTAAGAAATTGTAAAATAAATCTCTAGTAGAACAAAACCCCAAAACATCTCGTCAGAAATATATTAATAGAAAAAAATCTAAATAGTTGAGCAGCTGAAAGAAAATGTTAACACAGCATATAGGAGGATTTTGTTGCTATGCTGACTAATCCAACAAATTTGTATTCTGAAAATTCACCCTTTACATCACAACTTGTCATCAGTTTTATTTAATATATATTTTATTTAATATATTATTATTATTATTATTATTGCCATTTATATAGCACCAACAGATTCCGTAGTGCTTTATATATATATATATATATATATATATATATATATATATATCTGGACTAGGACAAAAATTTAGCCTGGGCATTTAAAGGCAGGGCAGCCCTGGGAAGGGAGCGACTTGAGCAGGTGCATGTTGTGTCATCACTAGTGACATGCATGCCTCTCCAAAGTGGGTATATCTGTTTAATACACCCAGGGCAGCCAATGTGTAGTGTGTGGGGCACAGGGATGTGTGTGTGGGGGGAGAATATAGGGGGATGTTGTGTGAGAGGGGAAATAGGAGATATAAAGTATGAGAAGGGTACATGGGGCAACAGGGTATGAGAGGGGCTGCAGGGTGTGAGAGGGGGGACATGGGGCTGCTGGGTGTGAAATGAGATCATGGGGCTGCAGGGTGTGAGAGGGAGTCATGGGGCTGCAGGGCGTGAGAGGGGGATACAGGGGTTGCTGGGTAAGAAGAGGGACAGGGGCTACTGGATGAGAGGGGGCAGGGACTGCTGGGTGAGTGGGGGGTACTGGATGAGAGGAGACAGGGGTTGCTGGGTGAGGTGGGCAGGGACTGCTGGGTGAGGGGGACATGGGCTGCTGGGTGAGAGCGTCAGGGCTGCTGGGTGAAGGGGTCAGTGGTGGCTGCAGGATGGGGGCAGGGGCTGCTGGATGAGAGGGGCTAGGTGCTATTGAATGAGAGGGAGTCCTGGGTGAGAGGGGGTAGGGCCTACCGAGTGAGAGGGGGCTGCAGGGTGAGGGGGGTGCAGGGGCTGCTGGGTTTACTCCCCCTTCATTACCTTGAGCCTTAGTAGCAGGAGGAGAAGCCAAAGAGGAATAATATTCCCTGGTGGTCCAATGGATGAGGTATCTGGTCTACACCGCTAGTGGGTGCAGACCATGTGCGCTGGATCCGCACAGTGCATCATGCTGTACAGCCTGCACAGGAGCATACAGTGTGCAGGCCGTGAGAGAGATCTAGAGCTCCCTCTATGGGCCAGAGGTCAGGAAGCACAAGCCCTAAAGTTGCTGGCCAGGAAGATCCCTTGAACTCCCCTGTTGACCTCAGCCCCTGGCCATCGCGGCCCACCGATAGCCAGTCCGGGCCTGTATATATATACATATATATATATATATATATATAAAGTCCTTGTTGATTGGTTAATACAACCATATACTTAAATGATGGCAAACAAATTCAGGTATATAGAAACAAGAAGTGGCATAGGTCCTGCTCAGATAAGCTTCCTTTTACACAATACCTAAAGCAGTGTGATAGTTTTGCAATGTTTCAATATGATAACAATTTGCCTTTTTTTGCTAAGTAAACCTGGAATTCTATTTGCATCAACTCCACTATTAAAGCAATGCTGGAGGTAAACCCCCTTCTAGCAGTAAAAAAATAAAAAAAATAAAAATATGTCTGCTTTGGAATACAAGGACTGTTTCAAGTTTTAAAGAGATCACTTCCCAGGATAATTAATATCATGTTTATTTATTCCATATATTTAACAAAGTTGCATTTGTGAAGTCTGAAAAATATAATTTGACGTAGAAATCCACTCTACTGTATTTACTCTTGCCCTAGAACATAGTGTCCCAAACCAGTCCTCATGGCCCACCAACAATCTCGGATTTATGTATTTCCCTGTTTTATTCCAATGGAGATACTGACAAAACCTGGACTGTTGGTGGGCCATGAGGACTGGGTTGGGTAACACTGCCCTAGAACTATGCTCCTCCTCGGTTTTGCACCCTGTCAGTCGTTGTTGTAAGCTCTGCCATTTCTATCTTTGAACGTGGAGATGTTCTACTCCCGATGGAGTGAGGGCTAGAGCCACACTGTGGAGGTGGAGAAACAGAAAAAAAATCAGTTTCTCCTCCTCCAATGTAATACGTGCCTTGGTTGTGCCAGGACTGAACTGGATTGGATGTCAATTGCTAAATATTTAAAATATATTCATAAGAAAGTGGTTAACATGAGTTATAGCGATCTCCAATGTTTTATTCAATGTCATTATTTGCAGAGAAGGGACAGTTTCCATTTGTTGACAAAGCTTGACTCTGTTAATATTACAGTTCTCGGTGGTTTGAGAACTTTGAAAATGAACATGCTCGTTAAATCTTGATTTTGTAAGTCTTGTATTACTTGGCGTCATGGGAAACACAGTTCAAATAATTTTCAGTGTCAAAATCAGCCACAGGTGGCCTAGCACATCTCTTAGTTGTATTGAAACAAGACAGGAAATGCTCTTTTTTACTGCCAAAGGCTTAGACTCATTTGAATATTTTGATATAGTGGGAACATAACATATACTTTCAGCACCTTCTGATTTAAGTTGTTCATTTAAATATCATTAAAGCTGTGAATGTGATTTTGTGGCACAGGTTCACGAAAAGTTGTTTTCTCTGTAATAATTAAAACTTCACAGTTTGTAATTTAGATTCGGGTGTGCTTAACATACCCTACATGTTTTTCCCAATGTTCACATAAAAATTGGTTTACGCCTGTAACGTCAGGGAGCAAAAAATATATATAGAGCGACTGTCATCATGATTTTTCTACTACGTAGCAACATTGTCAACCCCCTCCCCACTTCTGCCCATGCTGTACAGAGGACTATAAGGCTCAAAAATACAGGGCTGTATTCTAGTTGCCGTGGAACATGAGCAGGGAGTGAGGGCTAATGTCACAAAGTGGAACTTACGTGCAGGCTGCAGCAGTCTGCAATACCCTAAATAGTACAGATGCCTGGTTTTAGCCAAGAAACTGTATTGTCTTATGCTGGCACTTTACCAAAATACATTTATAAAGTTTACATTTTACAAATGTGCATTCCCAAAAATGCTAACCAGTTTCTTACCATGAGGATGATATTGAATTTTTTATATATATAAAGATATATATATATATATATATATATGTATATATATATATATATATATATATATATTTTAAGTAACACTGTATTGTTTTTTTTAACTTTTAGGCAATAGTTCACAAGTAGCCTGGAGTATTGCAAGATAAGGCATACAGTGTGCTCTTTTACACTTTCTTTGGCAATGAACGAATGCATGAATGAATGACTGAATGAATGAATAAATGCAAAATTGTGTATATTTACAGAGGAGTCTTTTGCCCACTTTATATAGAATCTACCCATCTCATGGATCAAATAAATGTTCCATAATTTTTGTTTAACAAATAACTGACCAATATATCAAGAACTCACTAGAATAAACAATGCAATATAAATGAATAGATGATTGAAATAATGTAGAAAAAATGCTAAAAAAACGACATAATCATACGGTAATTTCATTTATTGCAATAAACTTTCTGTCTATCTGTCTTGCGAACAGTAAGCAATACACTACGTTGTAATGATTTCCAAATTATTTTGCTTAATTGCCATTTTAAGCAAGCTTTCATTGATCACATTCATTGAGCATGTCACCGAGTCAACCACAAATCAGTACTGAATCACAAAATGTAACAATATAGTTTTGTCATTCACTAATAACCATGTCTGACATGCCATTTGTATTTAAGGGGTTAATAATATCACGGATCAGATGATTCAGACACGCCGGACCACAACTCCCATTATACCATTGCAGTCACTGTCAGCAAGAAAATGATCAGAGATTTAATTGGAGAACAGCTGGTGGGCTGAGAATGAAGATACCCTGACATTTAACTTTAAGTGCTGTTCTGTTTGTTTGTTTGTTTGTTTGTTTGTTTTTGTTTGTTTGTTTTTGTTTGATGAAATAGCTAGAGATACTACTTTGGTTTTTTGCTTTGCTACCTTGAAAAAAAAAAGGCCTGCGTAGGAAACAAAATGTAACCAAACTGCAAGAATTCTGCAGATACCAAGGAAAAACCAATATTGTGGATTTTTAAGATGAATTTAAATTGTATCCATTTTTATCTAGCTGTGTTTTTTTTCTTCGGGAAGGAACATGTTTTATCCAGTGTGTTTTTCATTTAGGTAGCAAAAACCCTACAGTTAAACCGTGTAGAAGGTAAGCAGCATTTCATTGTCCTGTGTACTGCCAGTATGAAAGAAATGTGTGTCTTATCGCTGGACTGCAGCTCTGTAATTCATTGCTCCGCTAAAGTGGCTAAGGAAAAAAAAAAAAACATTACATGCGGGAGCACAATCCAAAGCAGGATTAGAATTTGACACACGCATTCTGAAAAACTAATCAATCAACTCATGTAGTCATATGAGGAAGCAGCTCTTAAAGAGGGTGTTTAATCTCCTTGTTTTTTTTTCCTCTTTCATTTGATTTATTTATCTTTTTTACATATTGCCTGGAAAGTACAACTACAGTACTGGAGATGTAAAACAGCTAAGAACTACCCAAAAAAAAATAAAAATAAAAAAAAAAGGACTTTGTTGTAAATTTTCTTTTTTTGCATATACAGTGTTTATGCAAATTAATTCTGCAATCAATTTATTTAATAATTTATGTGGTGTAAATTATGTTAGGGGCTTTTCAGATAATGGCTAATATAAAGCTATGAAAGCTGTCTGTCTGTGTGTCTGTATGTCTCTCTGTCCATCTACATGAATTTATCATGAATAGCACTGTCTATTAAAGACAGTTTGAAGGTTACTCATGCGCTTTTTAATTTGTCTGTGTTAGCATAACAAGTTTGTTTCCAGCAGATTAGCAATGAAACAGAAACATAGATTATAAGAGCAGATAAGGACTACATGAGCCAATCTCCAATCTACCTGAAGACGCATAATTATTTGAATTAATTCAGCCTTAGGTGCTTCTAGAATTCCACTATGCTGGTTGCCTCTAACATCTCTGCTGGAACTAATTTCCTGGTATCTACAACCATTTGCATAAAATATATTTATATATTTTAATAAGATCATTTGCGTAGGTATTATAGACACTGGTATATTAAGGCACGTGTATATTTCTTTATTTGTCATATGTGTCACTCTGTATGTTTTGTGCATTTTGGAAAGTAAAAAAATATGTTTAAGTTTTGATTAAAACAATATAATGCGTGTGATCAGATCGGCCCTCCAGTTAAAACTGTACATGAGAAAATCAGATTTAATTTGCTGACAAAAATGTTTCCACTTTTTGCAAATACTTATGACAAACATATACAATTCTATTTATTTTTCTTAACTCCTCTGTGAAACAATAACAATCAGAAATATTCCCCCCCCCCAAAAAAAAAAGATCTGAATGAAAAAAAAGAAAAATATAATCACATTTAACAATGTATGATTAAAGAAATTACTATCTGTTGATACCACAAACAATTTGTTAAAAGTATCACAAGGACTCACGGTATCACAGTGGGCTTAAAACTATTTATATGCGTATAAAGTAACAGTAATAGAGGATGATGAAAGATTATCAATAGTTAAGACAATAAGATCAATAAATCAACAACTGGTAATGATGAGCATCAACTCTACAGTAAACCATTTCACATACGCATAGAACATTATATTAAAGGAGAACGATAAGTCTTATAACAAGAATAAAAAAATACAAAAAAATTGAAAGATTACAAAACACTCATTAACGCTCAAAGGTGTCTTAGATACAAAATATATTTAAAAAAAAGTATAGTAAGAAAAGTTAAACTAACAGTATGATTATTATTCTTTAAAAAAAAAACCCGTAAAATAATAAGAATGTAGACTCAGGTATGATTTATGAACTAGTCACTTTGGATATTAATGGACAGGTACAGATATTTGACAAATTGATGAATTGGAGAGCAGTGAAAATGTAACCCGTTCTAATTGAAGGTTACATTACAATCGCCTACTTGTGCATTTAGGGAGATATCAGTCGCATTTTATTTTATAGGAATATTTGGACTTACCAGATGGAAAAGACACTTCACCAAGATTAGAGACAGGAGATGTAGGTCCATGATTTTGCTTTGAAGTCTAGGAGATAATTTCTCTCACTTGAATCTTGCACATAGCCACTTTCAGAGGCAGGACTAAGTGCAGGGACATACCACTGTGATGATAACCTTCATAAAAAGACACATAGAACATAATCCGTAAGATGCAAAAGCGAACAAGGCAACACACATCCAAGTGCACTACAAAAGTGATATAAAATGCAAAATTACTTAAATACCATCACATATTAAATTACCTTAAAAAATCCCAGATACCAATTCCACGAGGATTCCTTCTCTGTGCCTGGTCCCATACAGGATTTAATGATGCTGATATTCTTCTGACTTCCAGATATGAAACAAATGTTTAATGAAATACGACGCTTATTATATACATCCTAGCTGGTTTGGGTAGGATTCCAACTTTTCAGCTTTTAGGAAAATAATGTTGGAGTACATTAGACCTAAATATCTGAGTTAGAGAAAAATATGCTTTGTAAGTCATCTGCTGTGCTTCAAGTCTTTTATTTTAGGTGGTTCTCCCAATAGAGTCTTGCACAGACTTAATTCAACATAAGTAAAGGCAGTGAAGCACTACAGCTGTATTTGAGCAGTGCAGAGTCACAATTCAGCTCCAGAGATCAGCATTTCAGCTCAGCATCCCATTAATAGCTAGGCACACCTCCAGCTCTGTAACTGGCAGTCACTTCTTGTAGAACACGAATGTGAATTGGACTTCAGAATGTTGCCAGCATATCTTGCATCTGATTATAAAAGAGTACAGCCCGACTGCTACTTGTTATCTGGCTTTCACTTTTAATTCCGCTGCTAGTCCACTTGTGATTATGCTGATTATCTGTATTGTGCAGCGGGAAATTTATTGGAAATGCAAAGTTACAATGAACATGCGGAGCTAGGGTGGGGTGGGGGAGCTTATTTATAGTGACCAACTATTCTAGCTTAACTTTTAAATGTTCATGTGTCTTGGGAACAGCTGTAACCCTTTGTTTAACCCTTTCAGCTCTATAAACATTATATCTTCTCTGATGATCAAAGGGCAAAAGATTTACTATATGAAATAAACACAAGTTAAATAAATAAATGTTGTTTTTTAATTTCATCCACCTTTTGCCCATCTTAAAGCATTTTATAATTTTATTTTATTTTTATTGTATTTTAATTCCCATTAGGTAGCACAGTGTATTACACTTTAACCCAGTAAAGGCCTATGTCATTCCATGCGTTCATCATTGGTCCCTTGTTAGCCTCCCCTTTTGGTATCATCTAACACTTGCATTCAATTCATTCTGTTAAAACATGAACTAAACTAATAAATCTATTCAGAAGATGTATCTGAGGAGGAGGATGCCAGACTAGGGGCGAGTGGAGAACCCAAGTAAGAGTTAAATAATTTGAAAATAATTTGACTCTTATCAATCAGTACTATAACTACTGCTTAATATTATTGTGGTTATGGTTTCTAGAGCAGCTTGGGATTAAAGGGGTATGCTAAGCACCAACACCACTTCATCTTAATGCAGTGATTCTGGGGCAAAGTAAGTGTCTCTGCATTCTCAGCAGTGTTTACATCTTAGAGAATACGGGGTTTACATTGCTGCTTAATGTCACCTTTTGTGGCAGTTACTCAGACAACCACTAGAGGCCATTCTTGGTGCATAACATTGGGCATCTACAAGCTCTGCAAGAAAAGGCCAAATGCTTCCCACACAGGTGCATTTAGTAAACGCATCTCAATCATGAGGTCCTAATTGGTGCAGCACAGTGATTACCTCAAATGTAATGGGCCTCCAACGCTTTCCTATGGAATCAATATCAACGATTTAGCCAGCGTTGGAGAGGCCACCTGATGAGACTGGGGGGGGAGGGTGGGGGCAGTGATAGAAGGTAAGTGAAACTAATTATTTTATTATTTCTGGGAAAAAGTGTTTATATTCCTAACGTTAAAGTGTTCCGTTAATAACAAAACAAACATCATATTTATATTTATTTTTACATAAAACAAAGCACCATATAAAATGTTTTAGCTGAACTTTCTGTGTCTAAGAGGAACAGACCCATGTTGTTTCTACTGTTATTTCAAAATATTTATCATCAATCCAGGGGTAAAAGATTTTGATATAAATGCTGGTAATTCATTGTATGCTTGTAACATTTGTTATGTAGTAATATTTTCTGTCACATGATGAAAATCTTCAAGCCTGTTCAGTATATATTGCAGAGTTTGGACACTTTAATCTTCTTTAAAGCGGCACTGTCATACCGAACTTACCTTTCTTTAATCGATTCCTCTTCTCCCCCTCTCTCAGGATCTGTTAATTATTTCTCCCTGTCTGCTCTAGTTTTCTTTAAAACATAAGACAAAGTAGGGATTATTTTTGTCTTATGGAGGTTTCCTACGCCTGAACATCTCTGACCAGCGGAGGAGCAAAGTGTGCTCCATTTCCTATGGTCAGAGACATTTTCCCACAACTCTTACCTTTCCTCCATGATCTCGCGATGCTTCCTGTCAGTATGTAATGTCAGTATGTAATGTTAGTATGTAATTTAGACAGGACGTCGGCGAAACCACTGAATTTCGTCCTAACAGAATGAGATCAGTTTCTCCATTCGTGTTAGGACGCAATATGGGACTTTGTCCGGATTGGAGTTTCATTCGAAACCTTAGTTTAATTAAATTACAAATTACAGGGCGTATAAAGGCTGCAGAGCTCAATCTGCACTGTGCGCTCGCCGGGTAAAGATGGATTCATTTTTAGTGCTGGGGAGGGGGGGACTTCTAATGGTAAGTCTGATTTTTTTTTCTCCAGGTATTTAGTTTTATTCTCTCCTCCCTCATTATTTTTAAGGTGAGGGGGTTAGGTAGGGATTGATTTAATTTTATTTGGGTGGGGGGTGACTAGGGGCTTGGGCTCCCTTAGTCACTGGGGAGGTTATTTGAACACGAGCGGGCCACTATGTCCCCCCTGCTAGTTAATAGATGCACCACCATGGGACCATTTGTTGGAAGAGGGGGTTATTTTTACAACAGTGAGCACCGGGGGGAGGACAATAGATGAGCTCACTGTTTAATACATGCCCCTACTCGCAGCATAGCGAGTAGGGGCATTCGGGAGATTTCAATCTCACTTATGCTATTATGGGGGTCATATTTACCCCAACAGAGTGAGGGAGGACATGGGGGGCTTAGGAAGTGGCAGGAAGCACTGCTCCCTGCAGCTTCTATTTTTACATTTTACCAGGAGGGAGCTGCGAGTCGGTAGCTCCCTCCTTGTAATAAACTGAATGAACGAACAAACGAACACCAATAGTCAGTGTTTGTTTGTTCATCTGACATTTCTATTCATTAATTCATCTTTATGATGAATGAATAGATGAAATTCACGTTCGCATGCCCAAGTGTTTAACTTGGTATGCGCAGGAATTTCACAGCGCTATCTAGTGTGGGCAGATGACGTGTCCCACCTTACTTCATCTACCCACACAAAGATGGCAGTGCCAAGGAGGTAGGTCCGGGCAGAAAATAAAGATTCAAAACTAAGTAATATGGGGGCCTAGGGGCATTTGGGAGTGACTATGGGGACAATTAAATGTAGTGGAGTTGGGTTAAAAAAACCAAAACATGATTCGACCATGACAGTGCCGCTTTAAATACACCACATTGTCAAAAATTACTTCTTCATCTGCTTATCAAACAGCCTCAAGCCATGGGCATTAATACAGACCTCCCAACCATCCAGATGTTTGTTGGACAGTCCTTATATTAGGGTCCCGTCCCAACCTTGTTCCCTGATGTCCTGTTTTTGACGTGCTTGTCTAAAACTGTTGCCAGAAAGTCGTAAATAATAAAGAGAATGTAGATGTAGCACTGGCATTGACTGTCACTGGAACAAAAGTGCAAAGCATGAATTGTGAAATGCGTAGTCTGAATCGTTATATACAGAACAAGACCTTTATTCTTCCTGCACCAATCTTAAAAATTACGCACTATGGCGTGTGACTTTTTCCTGGAATTTGCAAGATGTTGAAGAGGTAGTCATCACTCCAAGAAAACATTTCTAATGGCTTCAGAGTTGAATGCTAGCAATATGTACACATGGTAGCCAATACATTTAATATATGTTACTCGAGGTATTAACCAAACATTAGCAGTTTTATCCCCTAATAGTAAGTTGTTGAACTGACTTCTGACTCACAAACTTTAGACCACAAAGCATCAGAAAAAAACATGCTAGATTCTTAAACTAAGTTATTTTAGTGTAAATGTTGTAGGTCACCTGTCAACGGAACACAAGGCACTGATATAGACCCAATATTTTCAGTCCTTTCTTAATTCATTCATTTTTTTTTTATTTCTTTGGGTTCTACAAAATGACAGTTTGAGGGATTATGAAGGATTACATTTTAAATCGTTATCTGAAACTAATATATATACATACACACAAGTTTGTAGCTAAAAACGAATTAAATGAGATAAGAAGAAAAAGCAGTATGAAATGAAAGAGACATCTAGTTATATTTCATATCAGACATAAAGACAGTTCAAAACATCAGGGTGCACAGTTGCCAACTGAAAAAAAATCCCAATTTTTTTCACCAGTTTTATAAAATGCAACGCCGTAGGGTCCCCATTAGGATGAGTTTTAATGTGCTCTGACACAATACGTTGTTTGCAACCTAAAATAATGTTATACACCTGCTCATTAGACAAGCAAACACACCTGCGCTGTATGTATTGTATATCATTATATCTCAACCTTTGCACAGCAGTGGTTTATAGGATACATGTCGTAATCTGTGTGGCAAGATTGGCTTAGAAATCTTAGTCAAAATTGGAAATTTGTTTTGTTGCGAACTGTAATTCATTCAAATGTTGTTGTCCGAATTCTTAATTTTCTAACTGCATTATAGACTAATCACAAACGACTTGCGCAATTGGTAAGCATGTTCAATTTGATTTTCTATTTAGAGTTCCACCCGAGTTACCAAAATAAGAGGATTGTTGGGTTGGAGATAGTTACTAAATGTTGACTTTATTTACATACATAGAGAAGTAACCAGTATAGGGAAAAAAAAGGAAGAAAACTTAAAGGACCATTATAGTTCCAGGAAAACAAACTATGTAGTCCTTAGGTACCCCCACCCTCAAGTTAAAACCCCTTCAGCCACTTACCTTTATCCAGCGCCAGGCTCCCTCAGCGCTGGTGACCTCTCCTCCCCCTCCGACGATGGCTCCCGAGTGGAGCCGAATGCGCATGCTTGGCCAGAGCCACGCGCATTACAAATGCCCATAGGAAAGCATTACTCAATGTTTTCCTATGGACGTCAGTGTCTTCTCACTGTGATTTTCACAGTGTGAATTGTGGAAGCGGCCTCTAGTGGCTGTCAGTGGCTAAATTCTGTTGAGCTTAACCACCACATGCACTAAATTATACCATCCTGAAAATGTTTTTCTTTCGGGATGAAGTTGTTCTGCCAAAACACATTTTTCCGTTGAGCGTAGGTTTAATTTCAGCTAATTTGTTTCTCTTCTGCACTTGTCCCTATAACTTGGTGGCTATTTGACACATCTGAATTAAAGAAGATATTTTAATCTTAATATTTTTATTTTATGAAATACAATGTGTAACCATTCTTTAATTAGTTACCTTTAAATAGAGTCAATCTGACGGCGTAAGTTGTTGGAATAGCCTGCGAACATAACACTCTAAACCACCAGAGTTTGATTAACTCGATGACAACAGATCGATGGGAAATAATGCAGTGTATGTGGATCATTGGAC